GCACTATGTGGACACCAATCAAAATCCAGCGGATCACGATTCCAGAGGCCTCACAGTGGCAGAACTGATCAGTTCAAATTGGTTCACTGGATCTCATTTCCTGTGGGAAAGAGGGTTTGTCACACCAAACTCAACTCCAGACCTTCTGGTAGGTGATCCAGAGGTCAAAACGACACAAATACTACGTACAAAGGTAGTAGAGGACAGGAACTTCTTGGAGAGACTCAAAAGGTTCTCAGAATGGCATACAGCAGTAAATGTAGTTGCTAGGATTCAGCAACTAGCAAAAAAAGCCAGAATACAACTAGGAAATAGAAAACTATCGAAAGAGGGTGAAAGGCAAATAAACCATCCACTCTTGAACGCCCTATACATAAATTAGTGGTCCTAATAGAGTGTAATTAGAATGTTCCAGTGGAACTTCTGTAAATGTATATGGGATGGTTAAAGTATTAGACTTGACTTGCAAGATTGTCACAATTAAGTACTGTTTGGTTCTGAAAATTTCTAGATTTATTCAAATTATTAACAGTTCATAAATCTTAGTAATTTGGTGGGAGTGTAACTGTCCCTGAGACAGTTAAAATAAAGTTGTTTATTTCAAATGTTTCTGTGATAGAGAGATGCTTAATTTGGTTCATTTAATTACTAGATAAGATGATAAAAGTGTAACATTGATTAAAAACATGTCTAAAATATGTGATTACAAAATAGGGGTTTGTTAAATATGTAACATGCTGTAAAGTTTGTATGAGGTAGAGTTTGTAATGGTCACATGATCAGAGTTTGGTTTAGAGCGCAACCATAGCAACTGTAACTGCTGTTGTAACTGTAACTGTAACATAGCATGGATACATGGCTACAGATGCGTCTATAGCCTCGACGTTAATGTCATTCTGCATGTGGTCCAAGAGGCGCACACGTTTTCACGGTGTCTGAAGACAATAAGAGAGAGAGAGCAAAATAAACATCCGAAGACATCAGTATGATGCGTGGCCATTCTTTGTTGGGCCCCTGTAGTTACAAATTATGTTGTACTACTAGCCTTTGCTACCCTTTTCAGTGTATCGTCGTCATCTTCCTCCGCTTATCCGGGTCCGGGTCGCGGGGGTAGCATCCCAACTAGGGAGCTCCAGACTGTCCTCTCCCCGGCCACCTCCATCAGCTCCTCCGGCAGGACCCCAAGGCGTTCCCGGACCAGATTGGAGATGTAACCTCTCCAACGTGTCCTGGGTCGACCCGGGGGCCTCCTGCCAGCAGGACATGCCCGAAACACCTCCCTAGAGAGACGTCCAGGAGGCATCCTGACCAGATGCCCAAACCACCTCAACTGACTCCTTTCGGTCCTTTTGGTCATTACCCAAAGCTCATGACCATAGGTGAGGATTGGGACGTAGATCGACCGGTAAATCGAGAGCCTGGCTTTCTGGCTCAGCTTCCTCTTCACCATGACAGATCGGTTCAGCGTCCGCATCACTGCAGATGCTGAACCAATCTGCCTGTCGATCTCCCGATCCCTCCTACCCTCACTCGTGAACAAGACCCCGAGATACTTAAACTCCTCCACTTGAGGTAGGACCTCTCTCCCGACTAGGAGTTGGCAAGCCACCCTTTTCCGGTCGAGAACCATGGTCTCAGATTTGGAGGTGCTGATCCTCATCCCAGCCGCTTCACACTCGGCCGCGAACCTACCCAGCAAGAGCTGAAGGTCAGAGCTGGATGAAGCTAGGAGGACCACATCATCCAAAAAGGAGAGACGAGATTCTCCTGTCACCAAACTCGACACACTCCACACCACAGCTGCCCCTAGAAATTCTGTCCATAAAGGTAATGAACAGAGCCGGTGACAAAGGGCAGCCCTGGCAGAGTCCAACTCTCACCGGGAACAGGTCCGACTTACTACCGGCTATGCGGACCAAACTTATTCTCCTCTGGTAAAGGGACTGAATGGCCCTTAACAGAAAGCCACCCACCCCGTACTCCTGGAGCGTCCCCCACAGGGTGCCCCTGGGGACACGGTCATAGGCCTTCTCCAAATCCACAAAACACATGTGGATTGGCTGGGCAAACTCCCATTACCCCTCCATCACCCTTGCAAGGGTATAGAGCTGGTCCACAGTTCCACGGCCAGGACGAAAACCACATTGCTCCTCCTCAATCTGAGATTCAACTATCGATCAGACCCTCCTCTCCAGTACCTTGGAGTAGACCTTTCCAGGGAGGCTGAGGAGTGTGATCCCCCATAGTTGGAACCATCAACATATAAATATGTCATACATATTTATATATGAACACACCCTCAGGTCACCCTTCTTAAAGATGGGGACCACCACCCCGGTCTGTCCCTCTACAGGAACTGCCCCGATGACCATGCAATGTTGCAGAGACGTGTCAACCATGACACCCCATATAACATCCATAGCCTTGAGATACCCAGGACGAATCTCATCCGCCCCCGCGGCTCCGCCACTGTGTAGTTGCTTGACTACCTCAGCAACTTCTGCCCCCGAGATTGGACAGTCCATCCCCAGGTCTCCCGGCTCTGGTTCCTCATCGGAATGTGCATATGTGGGATTGAGGAGCTCCTCAAAGTATTCTTTCCACCGTCCGACTATAGCCCCAGTTGACGTCAGCAGTTCCCCATCCCCACTGTAAACAGTGTGAGCGAGTTGCTGCCTTCCTCTCCTGAGGCGCCGGACAGTTTGCCAGAACCTCTTTGGAGCCGATCAATAGTCTTTCTCCATGGCCTCACCAAACTCCTCCCACGCCCGAGATTTTGCCTTGGCAACTGCCACTGCTGCATCCCTGCTTGGCTATCCGGTACCTATCTGCTGCCTCTGGAGACCCACAGACCAGCCACGCCCTGTAGGCCTCCTTCTTCAGCCTGACGGCTCCCCGAACCTCTGGTGTCCACCAGTGGGTACGGGGGTTGCCACCACGACTGGCACCGGCCACCTTGCGACCACAGCTAGCAACAGCCGCCTCAACAATCGCAGAGTGGAACAAGGTCCACTCGGAGTCAATGTCCCCCACTGCTCTCGGGATGCGGTCAAAGCTCTGCCGGAGGTGGGAGTTGAAGACCGTCTTGACAGGTTCTTCTGCCAGGCGTTCCCAGCAGACCTTCACTATGTGTTTGGGTCTGCCAGGTCTACACGGCATCTTCACCTGCCATCTGATCCAACTCACCACCAGGTGGTCATCAGTTGACAGCTCCGCTCCTCTCTTCACTCGGGTGTCCAAAACATACGGCCGCAGGTCAGATGATACGACTACAAAGTCTATCATCGACCTGCGACCTAGGCTGCCCTGGTACCAAGTGTACCGATGAGCATCCTTATGTTCGAACATGGTGTTTGTTATGGTCAAACTGCGGCTTGCACAGAAGTCCAATAATGAAACACCACTTGAGTTCAGATCAGGCGGGCCGTTTCTCCCAATCACACCCCTCCAGGTCATGCTGTCATTGCCCACGTGAGCATTGAAGTCCCCCAGCAGGACAATGGAGTTCCCTGATGGAGCAATATCTAGCACTTGTCCCAGGGACCCCAAAAAGGGTGGGTACTCTGAACTGACATTTGGCCCATAAGCACAAACAACAGTCAGGACCCGTTCCCCGACCCGAAGGCGCAGGGAAGCTACCCTCTTGTCCCCGGGGTAAACCCCAACACAGTCTTGGGGCTAACAAAAAGCCAACCCCAGCCCTCTGCCTCTCACCCAGAGCAACTCCAGCAAAGGAGTGTCCATCCCCTCTCAAGGACTTGGGTTCTAGAGCCAATGCTATGTGTCGAGGTGAGTCCGACTATATCTAGCCGGTACCGCTCAACCTCTGCCACAAGCTCCTTCTCCTTCCCTGCCAGCAAGGTGACTTTCCATGTCCCAAAAACCAGTTTCCTTGTCCGGGAATCGGATCGCCAAGGCTCCCGCCTCGGTCTGCCACCCGATCCACACTGCACCGGACCCTTCATGTTCCTCCTGCGGGTGGTGGGTCCACAGTTGGATGAGCCCATGTATCCAGTTCGGGCTGGGCTCGGCCGGGCCCCATGGGCGAAAGCCCGGCGACCAGGAGCTCGCTCACAGGCCCCAACCCCAGGCCTGGCTCCAGGGTGGGACCCCGGTAACCCTCCGGGTCGGGTACTACGACTTTTTGATTGTACATCCATGAAAGATCCTCTGAACCGTTCTTTGTCTCACCCTTCACCTAAGACCAATTTGACATGGGAGACCCTACCAGGGGCACAAAGTGCCCCAGACAACATAGCTCCTAGGATTATTAGGGCACTCAAACTCCTCCACCACGATAAGGTGACGGTTCAAGGAGGAGCCTTTTCGGTGTAAAATAACAAAACAGTATACCCTCATTCAATTTAGCTGTCATTTTCAGACCGTTTTGGGATGAGAAACGATTTTCTTTATGCACACACTTCAACAAATGATAAACTCTGCTAGTTTGTTTTAAACATTGTACATTTCACAGTAACTTATTTTTTTATTTCAGTCTTATTTTATTATTAATTTACAAGTCAAACAAGACATTTTAAGTTTAACAAAAATGTCTTTCTTAGCTGTAGTTTTTTGGTCTATAATGAAAATTTAAAACTAAAAAATTAACAGAACTTTAACAAGTCTGGTTTAAAACTTTTTTACAGTTGTAATTAATGAGCCAATTAATTTTCAGGCATTCTGCGAGGATGTTAATGGTGTATTTTAGCGTAAATTTGTTTTATACATTAGTCTGAAACTCAAGTAGTTGAGTTTGTAAAGCAATTAAAAATTTAACAGATAAAAACTAAGATTTGCAAGAATTATTTTTTTATTATGTTGAAACTTATTTATGCACAATGTATTATCAAAAGACCAATGCAAAGATGACACTCCCCAGATGATGGTTTATCATCCTATAGTCCGTGGTCACAGTTATATATCCAGTTTGTCTTAACGGGGATGTGCTGAGTATTTGATACACCAAAATATTGTGCAATCAATGTAAGTGAGTCAAGCAATGAAAAGTTCAGAGGCATGTTTATTTTAAGTTTTACAAACATTTGAAGTGTGACAAAAAGCCACGACTGCCGTATAAAATGACAACTATACAAGTTTTACAATAAAATAAACACGATGTAGCATTTCTGCAGCAAAACCAAACCTCATAAAAAAATTGCATTCAAATTCTCCAGGTTTGTATTCTTCCAAATCGACTTTCTAGAAGAAAAAAAAAATGCTCGGTAAAAATAAACCTAGAAATCATTTACTTTTAAAACTGAATTGAGGTGATGAATGCCTTATTTTTTCTTTGTCAAATTTCGAGGGGAAAATTTAAGCAAGTCTCTGATACGCAAGTACGTTCCTGTGGCCTCTGCTACTTCTGTGAACTCAGGTGTATCTTCAAATGGAACGATACCAGCTGCAAACTTGCTTCGATGAGGAACAGATGCGATCTTCTCCATTTGTGCAGGAGAAGCTAAATTTCCAGACCCCAAATTACAGACCTCTGGCTCGGGGCTTTGAGGACTATCATCCTGGGACCTGATGGGCTCGGGGCTTTGAGGAGTCTCTTCCTCAACTTTAATCTGTCTGGGGCTTTGAGCGCAAATCTCTGGTACGTCTGGTTCCTGCTGATTCTCATTGCTGTTGCAAGGTTCAACAGGTCTCACTGTGTCCACTGGCTCTTCAAACTCTTCCATCTCTGTATCCATGCGCGCTGGCGTAGAAACACTTGGTGAACTGGGTGCAGGTGTTCCTAAAGCAGGAGTCCCACTATCACTATTAGTGGTTGTGTCTGCATTTTCCAGAGCTGCCCAGATCTGCCTCTGCTGCTCTTCCAGTTCCTCCAGAGTCAGATCATCTTCTCCCACAGCCTCATCAACTACTGTCCAGTTACTGTAACGCCCTGGCAGAGCTGGAGAGCCGTTGTTGGGTGTAGGTGGAGGTGTTCCTTTTGGAAGAGGTGGAGGAGTGGGAGTAGAAGGGGGTGTGCCCTGTGGTAAAGGAGGGGGTGAACTGAAACAAGGAGAGCCAGAGCCAGAGCTGGGAGGGAGGGGAGGCTGGAACTGGAAGTCTGCAGGGCCGTGAGCATAAGGCATCCCCGGATCTGTGGGGAGTAAAAAAGTTAAACGCGCAGGCTAGTGCTAGCCGACCAAATAAAACTCATTTATAATTTAGTTGTTATTCTATTCATTTCTATATTTGAGCTACACGTTTAAACAAGACATTAGTGCACATAAACTCACAGACTAACTACATGAAGAAGAACAAGATTAAGATGAACAGCTACCTGATTCAACATCCATATCTGAGCTTCTGTCTGAGCACCGATCAGGACTTAACTTATTCCTTTTCCTCAGCTGCAAAGAGGAGTCAGACTCGTGTTGTCTCTTGTTGGAGGAGGTGGCACCAGGCTGATAATGAGGACAAATTATATTTTTAGGAAATTTAAATGTTTTACATTATTGTTAACATAAGATATTAAAAATCATTTCACAGCTGTGTGCCTCAGGCCTAAGTGTTTAAAGGAAACACGGATACATGAATGCATTTAGGACAAATACCTGGGGGAAGTTGTCAGATAGGTACGCTGCATAGTTCTGCTTCATGTGGCTGTTCTGCATCGGAATCGAACCATAATGCATGAACTCCTAGAAGTCAGAGAAACATTATTTGCACAGATGAAAACAAGAACTTCTTAAAACTTCTGGAATAAAATTGTGGGGTCCGTTTAGGATGCCAAATCCGCGTGCAACAAGAAAGAAAATCCAAGTCAATTCATAGAAAACCAAACACTTACATCTTTCATTTTGTGAGGTGCTGGCACATTGAAGCCTGGGAAATCCACCAGTTTGGAAACATCGTAAGAGATGTTTTGTGACAGGCTGCCAGGAGTTTCACTGCCATCTGGTAAAAAGATGATGAAAATCTAGCAACCTCTGAACTATGTGTGTTTGTGATTCAATACAGCAGGAGCACAGTGTTAAACTTAACTAGAGGAGAGTAAATTACACATCTGACCTTTTCCATCATACAGTGATAAGCCAGAATTTTCCATCTCTGCTTCTTTCAGCCAACCTGGTGGGTAACCCAGCTGCCTCATCCGATAAATCAGAGGAGAGAGAGTGTTGCCTTCAACTCCCAGGGCGGTCAACAGCTCATCACTGTTCAAAAGCACAACGCAAAGACATCTATCATCAATAGTTCCTTATCATTTTTCAGATTCAGTTCTGATATGCACAAATCAACAATCAGACCTAATGATTCCGGGCTTGAATTTAGCAAAGCGCTCCACCACTTCATCTGCATGGTAACGCTGGTTACTCTGAATGGCTGCGTTGTTGTTCTGATTAAACTCCTTTCTTCGCTCATTAATAGCAGCCATGTCTTTAGGCTAGGGAAGTAAGTGTATAAATGCAGAAAATCAAGTTTGGACTTTATTTAGATTCATGCCATATTAACAACACAAAGAATTGTACCTTGGGACAGTCTCTAAGCTGATGGCTGCTCTCACCGCAGTTAAAACACATATTCTTGGGTCTGTGATGGGAGAATTAAATGAAAGTTTAAAAAAAAAAGCAAGTCAGCAAACAGAAAATTACAAACACAATAACTCAAGGAGAACCTTTTGTCTTTCATTTCTACTTCATGTCCATCCGCTCCAATGACTTGGTTGAAAACTTGTTGATAGCTGTGCAACAATTCAGGAAGTCATTTGACATTTGCTGCATCGGATATGTTGACTCGAAGTAGATTTAGAAAGCAACCCATCTTAACTGTTGAATTGCAATAAGTCTACACTTTTGTCCACGAGTGACTAAATTTACGTTTCAGGGTGCACTTTGTGTTTTAAAATAAATATTTTAGATCTGTTATAAAGATACATTGGAACGTCCCATCCATCTGTCAACTGAGGGTTTTCATTCACCAGAGGCTGTCCAAGTTTGTCAACACCAAAGGTAGCAAAATATAAAACACTTCCAACCACCTAAAGGAGAAAGAAAAAGACAATTATTATTTTACTTTGATGACACACTTTCCAATCCATAGAGAAATAAAATCTAATACTCACTTTAAATGCTTCTGTTGTTGTTTTCACACTACTGGTGGACAACTTCTGGGGATCTTCATCCAAAGCAAAAGCTGAGTTCTTTAGAGATACAATAAACACATATTTTTTTGTAAATGGCACAGTTGTAGCAGTTTCTACATTTAAATGAAAAACATTTTGCAGGAAATATTTACGACAAAATACCTGTGGCTTAATGTGAAACAAAGTTTTCGATTTTTCACTTTTTGGTTTCTGGTGCTTCAAGAACACACTGCAGATGCAGTCTTCAATTTCTTGACGACACTGCCTTGAAGACAAACAATGTTTACGATATTTATTTTGCTAGAGCCAGGTCATAGTTTTATTTAGCATCTTAACCCTAACAAAAATTACATCCAATAGTAAACAACTGAACTTACTTTGATATGCTACTATTTGTATAAAGAACCTGGAGCAGGGGTCCATCCATGTTGACATCATCAATGGTGATTCCACTGTAAAACCAGGCAGAAATTAACGCTGGGTGTTATTTGACGGTTTCGTTTTATTTGAAGCGTGCGTCGGTTGCCAATAACCGACGTCAGTATTACCTAGGTCGTGTCAAAATATTCAGTTTTCGTTGCAAGACTTTATGTGGAGGAGAGGTTAAGAAAATAAACATACATACAAAATTATCCCAAACATATAGTTACAGGTCTTGCGCTTTCTGTTTTGAATATAAAAGGATCGCGCTGTGCTGCTAACATGCTAACAAACACTGAAGCAAGAAGGATATTCTCCTCAGACAGTCTCTGAATGCTGGCTTCACACTCTTCGAGCTTAATCTGAAGTTGGTTCGACTCATCCTGGTCGTCATCGTCATTTGTGAAACGAATGTGCCTCGGGACAAACGGCTCCGAGTCCTCAAGCTGCTGAAAGAGCTCACGATCACCGAAATCAACGTCGGACATTTTTCCTAGTTTTTCTTCTTTAGTTGTCATAAGGCGGTCAGTAATTAAACATTGCGGCGCATTACTGCCACCTACTGGGTATCTGGTTCCAGACAAGGGAACTCTGTTAATTCATTGGTTCTTTTTGAGTCACGTGAACTTCACCCAATGCAAAGTCTTAAAGGATATAGAGAATAAAGTTAAATAAAAACCATCTAGTCTTTCTTCTACATTTTTCAAAAGAAGTTAAAATAGAAAAAAGGACGCACATAAATACAGCTGTTCGCCATTTCGTTTATAACTTAAGCAACTTGCGTGTATATGTTCTGCGAGTCAAAACTGTGGAATAACTTGTCTAATTTTGACGTATTTCCCATCGACAAACTTCCGGTTTATTTCATTCAGCTTGTTTGAGTTTTCAGCTTTATTGTTATCATTTCGTGGGTTCTTGTTTGGCAAAAGAGGCAATATTTGTGACACTTGAATTACAAGAAAGCTCCATTTGTCTTCAACGATGTCGAGCCGCTCGGTAACCCACTTAGCCTTACCGCAGTGGGATGGTGGTTCTAGGAAAATTCGTTTTATTTACCTGGTAAACCTAACATCGTTTAAATTGACTAATTGTCCTAACCACGTGAGTCTCTTGCTTTATATAATTGTTTTAATTAAATATTGTTTTTAAGCACCTGATCATTAAACGTTGAATTGTTTTGACAACAGGTCTTAACTTGTACAGAAAATAAAGTAAAATAAATAAATAAAATCTTGTTTGGGATTTTTAAATTACATATATATTTTATACACCTAGCAGCCTACACACTTGACCTTCATGTGAAAAAAAAAATTAAAAAATGTTTATATATAAATATATATATATAATTCTGTTTTTGTCATCTTTTCCTCAGGGCACAGTAACTCCGCTTTACTTGGGAGCTGATCTCCTCTCTAACACAGATATCCGAACAGAAAACCATCCCAGATACCATGCCAGGTTTGCCAAAAAAGGGCTCGCCACAAAAATAAATTTTTCCTCAGGTAAAATCTAAAATAAGCCTTTTGTGTTACGTAGATAAAGAGCACAACAACTGTGGCTTGTTTTTTGGTCTGTTGCAGCATTCAGGTTCCAGGGGTTGAAGGTGCCTGCTGCTAATAACAGCCTGTGGTTCTACAGCATTCAAGGACTTTTTCGAGTTGCCTTTGAAATGTTCAGTAAGCAAGATCAGCTTGCAGTGCTGGAGAACTTCCAGGTGCGTACACATGTATGCACTCTGATGATATCGCTGAATTCTGTGTTTAGTCTCTAATGCTTTTGTGTTTTCTTTATAGGAGGTCTGGAAATCACAGATAAATGAAAGCCCTCTGAAAATGACCTACAGCCTCAGTGTGCAGCTCGACTGTTTATTGTCTGCTGATGTGTCTGATGAGTCAAAGAGTGGAATGCCAGGGCATCATTACCAGGCCGACGGAGACATGGTGCATGTGTGTGATGGTGGGACAGTGGATACATCAGCAGACCATGATTATTGCTCCTCTTCAAGACATGGTTTGCAAACTGAGCAAAGCCAGATGATTGTAGATGCACTCACAGAAAAGTTGCACAGTTTGGAGGACCAGCTCTCCTCCCCATCTGAAAGTTGTGCAGAACGACTGGAAACTGTACTGTTGCTTTTGACATCTGTCGATCAATACATGAAGGGTAATCTAAAAGAAGAGGATGCAACTGAAACAGTTTTGGCCCTACTTAAGGCTGAGGACTGGGTCAAAGACTCTGTGTATTCCAGCTACCTGCTTACCTGTGTAGGGCGTTGGCTCGGCCAGCAGTTCCACGCAGCCAACAGCAGCATCAGCCAGAGAGTAGAGGGCTTCAAAGTTCAGCACATTGAGCGAATAAGTGACTTGCCGCCTGCTGAGGAACTGACTGCAGAGTTGTTCCCTGAAGCTATGCAGACACTGCTGCTTCACTGGATGGGCTTCTGTGAAGAGGCAACGCTAGAGAAGAGGCATAGCGAATACCCGATCCTGCTCCTCATTTTAGAGTTTGCAAACCATAACCTCATTACTGGTGTAGCTCATGTGTTGTACTCAAGTCTTATATGCAAGTGAAAATGAATTTCTGCATGGATTCATACAGCAAAGCTGCAATGTTTCCTGACATGTAGATTTTCAGGACACTCAGGCAAATTTTATGCAAGAACATTTCATCTCTCTTTATTGGGTTTGTCTTTATTAGGATAAAGATTAGCTCTTTCATTTTCTTTCACACCTACAAGATGTAGAAAACTTTAGTTCTGTGCTAAAGTCTCAAGCTACTCCTAAGGTTTTTGTATTCTGTTGAAGTTCATAAAAAGTGAAACTAGTTCATAAGACCAAAAGCACAATTTAATTTAAAAAAAAAAAAGTACAGCAAACTTTGTTCTTCATTGTAGCCTGAACTTTTTTAGAGAAGCTTATTTCTGCGTTATATTATCTGGCAGGCAGTTTTCATCTCGAAGGACATTGTAAAATTATTCTTCGGAAGCTCACGTTTAACTTTTTTGAGATTAACCCATTCAGCGTTGTCTGCTCCAATAATCCCATTATTTTGGGATGTACTATCCCTGTAGGCTCTCGTTGCAGTGGTAGTCTGTGGCTCTAGAATTTGGTTAGTATTATCCCACGCAGTTTGGTTTAGTTTATCAATGTTTGATCAGCCTGTGTTCATAACTGAAATGCATCATCACTCCATAACAGCTGTTTTACTGGCATCTTCTGTTCATATTGATTATTGGAACAAAGTTTTATTTACCTTTTCTTAAGCTGCTTTCCTATTGGACAATTTTCACTTTCAAGTTCTCCATAAAGTAGATTAGGTTCGGAATCTGTTTATTGCTCCACTTGCGATCATTTTAGAAACTGCATCCACCTACCGGTAATACTAAATACACAAGTAAAACCGGTACCGTCAAAGCTTTAAACAGCAGTCATGAGCCTCACCACAGACATTCTGATGTCCACAAGTCTCATAGGCTACCTACTTGTGATAAAATAACCCAGGGTACATCTTCTGCCTCGTCTGAACCAGTATGTTCATGTTACTGTTACTTTTCTAACCTGCTTGCTGACCTGACACCCTCTCAACAAATCTGATTTAACCTTTCACTCTTAATCTGTAAAACTCTTCTTCCAACACCATTAAATTCGAGAACATGAAACTTTAATCTTTCAAGCTGACTTCAATCCACAGAAATCCAGAAGACAACGTCTTTTGCTAAATGGATTTAAACAGCATTTACTTAGACCACATTGTATTCAGACTATGCTCAGACAATTGCATATCTATATATAATCCAGTTTTTAAAAAAGCTACCACATTACTGAAGAGAAAAAAAAATTACTACACCTAACATCAATCAGTATGATGCTTTTGTTTACAAAGATGTAGATTGCTAAACACCGCATCCTGCTATTTACAATATGTGAGACCTACGTCTCTAAATAAATTACAACTCCAGAGCAACATCCATGCAAGCTTGAGGGTTAGCGATGAAGTGGTGGTTTTTAAAGATGAGAAGACTGCAGGTGTTTGGCACTAGACAGAATCCATTCCACGAGAGAAAGAGGTGGAAAAGCCGAGACCCATTCCTCTCTGGGTGTGTGTCTGAGATCGAGCCATCTCATACTGTACATCAAGGTTCCTAAACATCTCTTCTTGCTTCTGAAGAGTCTTTATGCCTTCATCGTTTAGTGGTTTGGAAGCTTCTGTCTCATCTTCATCTCCCTGTAGAAGCAAAAGTAAATGTTCACTGACAAGTAAAAGCTCAAAAGAAGCAACACTGATAAATAAAAAAAACTGGCTTACCTTAATACCCATGAGTTTTCTAAATTTTACATTTTGGTCTTTATTTCCAAAGTTGAGCTTCTCCCACAACTCTGTTGTTTGTGACTTTTCCTTAGAAAGCAGAGAACAAAAAGCTAAGTATCATCTAAATAACCCTAACTAAAAACACCCATCAAAATGACTTACCCCTTCCTTCTTGCCCTGCCATAGCTTTTTCCTCTTTTTCTCCTGCTCTGCAAACTTCATGGGATTCACAGCAGACGGGTTATAGAAGCTCGGCACCGCGATGCCCGTCTCTGCCAGGGTTTTGGCTTGAAGGGCAGCCATCTGTGCAGCCATAGCAATCTGAGGTGTGACTTGTGTTCCAGTGGCTAGAAGGGCTGCAACGTTGAGGGCAGGGTTTGAGGTGGCCGCTGCAGCAGCTGCTGCTGCTATAGGGGCAGCAACAGCTAACAACATACAGAGCAGCATAAGTAACAGTCTGAAGTGAATCGTCAACATTTTATTCAACAACTATTTCTCACCTGCAGCTATTTCCTGCTGTTGCTGCTGCTGTTTCTCAAGCATTTCCTTTTCTTTCTGTTCCTGTAGCTTCTTAGCTCTCTCCAGCCTAGGCAATAAGAATTAAGTTTCAAACCACCACAAGCAAAACAAATCAGGCTGAATGTCCTTAACTCAGCGGTTTACTGTTGCCTTACCTTCTGGCTAAAGCCTCTTGTGCGTCCATAGCTGTGTTCCGACCACGAAAGATCAGGGGACTAACAGACCTACTTCCACTCTTTTTGTGCACTTTCTCAACCCTCTTCTTTCGCTCCCTGGAGCAAAAATCAAAGCTAATTAATAAACATATTAGTAATGTAAGCTTTCAAAGAGTTACAACAAATAGCCTTTTATGAATTGTCCTCACCTGCTCTTGCTACGGCTTCTGCTACGATGACGGTGTTTGGTCCTTGAACCTGAACGCGATCTAGCCTTCTTCTTCTGCTCCCTGCTGCGCGATCGTGACCGCCGTTGTTCCCTACTTTTGCTGTGGTGCCGCCTGTAATTGGACATTTAAATCAGATCAAGACAATAGATAGAAATATGATCCAGCAGCACATCCAAAAATTACTTTCCAATGCATTATTATCTGTTATGTTGTTAGTTGTCATAACTTCTAACAATCTTTACTCATTATGGTGAATATTTTGCTTAAAATATTTCTAATAATTAGCTTTTTTAACCCTTAGAGGTCCCCCGTGCATTGTTTTGCACAGGCGGTGATGGTTTTTAAATTACTTTGGCTGTATTGATGCAATTCTTTTTGTTTTTTGCTCTGCTGTGTGTTCTTGGGTAAGTCTACTAAAAATGAAATGTCCCCACCCCCTACTCCATTTAAAACATTGTATAGACATAAAGAAACATTGAGGTTCCTGGACTCGGAAGATGAAAGTTTTGTCCCAGCAGGCCCAGAGTCTGACTGATGAAGAGATGGAGGAGGGAGGGGCAGATAATTCTTCGTGGAGTTCAAAGAGCGGCATGCTGCAGGAGAGCCATCATTTTCGGCGAGAAAAAATCCCACATCCCGGTATCACTCGGTACGCCGTGAGCCGGACAGAAAGCATTGAGCATGGTTTTAAATATTTTTTTTATTACGGATGAAATCCTCAACCTGATCGTTTGCCACATGAACACGGAGAGGATCCGGAGAAATGCCAAGTGGATGTTGATTGACGCGACGGAGCGGCAGGCTTATTTTGGGCTACTGATCCTGGCTAGAGTGTACCGCTCCCAGAGTGGAGACGGGTGGACCAGCAGCAGAGCAGCCCTCCGGAGGAAGAAGGAAAGGTGCCATCTCTGCCAAGGCAAGCGAAGCATGTTTGCCTGCTTCTGCTCCAAATGTAACCTGGCTGTCTGCAAGGAGCACTCCACTGTTGTGTGTACTGTTTGCAGCGTTTGTGCAAAAGTAGGGAATGAACACACACACACACTTTGTTGTTCCAATAAACTTTCAAATGACTATCACTGTTTGAGCATTTTTCTGTGCGAGGGACCTGGATGTGAGTTTTTCTGAATATCTGACACTACACAAAAAAAAGAGAGAAAACAAAAAATATTTTTTGCTCATTTGTGACTCTCTAGATCCCTCACAATTCACCCCCAAAAGAGGTCCTCTGGACATAACAAACGAAAAATGATTTAGGTTGAAATTTTTTATAAAGTTGATTTTTTTTTATAAAACTTAGCGCTAATGGGGTTAAATCTCAAAAACCCTCAAAAATGTTATTATGCTTGGTGAGGACTGAAGCTAAGGAAAGAATCTGTGAAATATTTTTTACTTTTGAAATATTATATAAATTTTATTATACATTTAGCTGAAATGCATTTTGAATGTGAGTTTTTCTGAATATCTGACACTACACAAAAATACAGAGAAAAAAAATAATTTTTTTTTGCTCATTTGTAACTCTCCAAAGCCCTCACAATTCAGCCCCAAAAGAACTAATGTGGACATAACACAAAAAAAAAATTTGTGTTATTTATTTTTACACTGTTGATTTTTTTGACGAAACATGGTACTAAAGGGGTTAAATCTCAAAACCACTCAATTAATTTACCATGTTTGGTGAGGGCTGAAGCCAAGGAAAGAATATGTGAATTTTTTTTTTACTTTTTAAACATTATATGTTTTGTTTGGTTTTATTACACATTTTGCTAAAATGCATTTTTTTGGTGTGAGGATCCCCAGTGTAGCTTTTTTTAAGGAACCTCCAAGGGTTAAACCAGAACAGTTTTTATTGACAAAAACTGTGGTGTAAATATGAATATTAATATGCTACATGTTAAGATTTTAAGAGGAATACAACTGAGTCCAACAATCAATATATATTCTGGTATCTTGAAAGCATTAACTTCTCCTCTTTGTCATTTGAGGACAGGACAAACCTCTCTCTAGAGTGTGACCTGGACAAGCTTCGCCCCCTTGACGTCTTCCTCTCCTTGCGTCTGGATCGCTCGTCCCCATTCTCAGCTGAATGTCTCTCCTGCTCTAGCAAATCCACTGTTTTTCTGTGAAATTTCGACAGCTTCGCAGTGTCCCTTTTTCGTGCCTGTTTTAAGAAGAAGTTGTCTCTTTCAGGAAAATAGTGCAACAAAAAGAGTTAGTACCATGGCTTACAGCAGAAAATATGTAATAAAACTGACAAGATGAAAAGAGCCTTGTCATGTCGAACCCATCTTAACAAAAACAGAACATAATCCTCAGAGCACGATTACATATGTGACCATTTATGTGTTTGTACAATTTTGGCTGCACACATGAGGATAGAAAGGAATGGTAAAAGGAAGCGAATAAAAACAGCAATTTGGAATGTCTCACTAGATTTAAACAGCGTGCATGCAAATGTTAAGTTCTGATTTTCAGATTTATAAATTTAACGATAACAATTTGGTGCAACCTAAACACTTTGAATTTACAACCACAGAAAAATTAAGAGTAGGGATGGGCATCCAGCTTGCATTGTTTGTAAGACTTAAAGCAGTTTCAGATTCAGCAAATGCCCATCCCTTGCTGCAAAAAAGAAAAGTGTTAATACCACTTTTTCTACTCATAATGTGAGACAAATAGGAGTTTGAATGGCAGATAGTTACCTGTCCCAGTAGTAGGCATATTATTTTGCTATGTCAGCAGGGTCCTCTGTTCAGTCTCTTCGTGCAATAGCACGCTGAGTATAATTTATTGTAGAAATGTTATCATGTGATCTACACACAATATTTAACAAAAAAATAAAGGAAAAACTACTCTTCACCATTTCATATGGCTACAATAATGACAGATATCCAAGGACACATGTTTCCTTTCAGACATGTGAATATAAAAAGGGTAAAAGAAGTTCCCTTTTCACATGAGCCCATCATCACTTGTTTGCTCTGAACTAAGGCTATTATAAATATTTCTTTACAAATACATACTCACCTTAACCTAATGCTAGCAACTACTGTTTTCAAAATCACTAACCCTGTTTCTAATTATAGAAATCAATGCATCAATTACCTCTTTGCTCCTGCTGCGACTTCGTCTGTATTTTCTGTCACCTGGAAAAGAGCAAAAAACGAATTAATAAACAGAGTGCTGAGAAACACACATTTTGAAGTTTGTCTTTTCACCCTAATCAGAATAAAACATGAACAAATGCACAACAGAAATGTAGACTCAAGAGCAGAAGAATCACCTGTTTATCATGCTTTATATGTGGAATTTCCTAATGTTAGAGTAACCACTTTAGAAAATTTACAAACACTAAATATACATTTGTGGCAATTCTATTGGTACAATTCATTCAAATGATAACATTCCAATGATAAAATTCACACATGTTCTAATACTGCTGACGAGTTCTCTATTGCCTTGCCTTGCCTTGTGTTTTCAAATACTTACGTTTTCGGTCCCTGGAGCGTGATCTTGACCGTGAATGGTGGTGTTTGGATGTTCTGGGAGATCTAGATGACTCCATGCTGTGTTTTTTTCTGTGACGAGCTGGAGAGCCTGCAGCAGAGTCGTCACTGGCCTGAAACAAAAGGACGGAAGACTGTCAGCAGTCCCACCATTTATTGGAAATAAGTGTTAAAAGTAGTGATCAGAAACATATATTTTGAAAGAAGTATTTTTTTAGACTTGATCACAAATCACTGTTACACAGATTAACTCCGACGTTTGCTGTGTGTTTAACCCACATTGTATAAGACATCTACAAAAGGTATAGAGGGTTAAACTCGTTACAATTTGATCATTTTAGTGAAGTCGACTTTTAAATGTTAATGAACATTTGTAATGTAGCTTGTACACTATGACTGAGAATTACAACTTTATTTATTTATTACAACAATTTCCAACACACATTACACTAATTTAAAGTACATTAATTTAAAATGTATTTAATGACCATTGCTTAGTACTTTTACCTGCTTATTTAGTAACTTTTTATGTGTATATTTGAAATATTTTCTTCATTGTTCATTTCCTGTTTAAAAATATTAGATATTTATACTTTTGAGGTTGCCTGTGTTAGCTTTCTTTCGTATTCCAACTATAAAAAAATAACAGGAATTGATTGAAATGAACTCAAAGCAAAATCTGAATTATTTATGTAACATTATTGTTATCATACTTGTATATTTAAAACTTACAAAAAACTTAACGTTATTTTAGGCTGGCGTTTTGGAGAACAATGAGTCGTGAAAACGCATCAAGCACAATAAATAACAGGGTTGCTACATTTGTTTTAAGCTAGCTGACACATTTCACCTCATTTGTATAATTTACTCCAATTGAGCATACCTTGAATATTACTAATGTAACCTCGACAAAATATATAGATACGCAAAGTTTATAATTGATAGGAAATTTATAATCATTTGGGAAGATTGTTAATGTTAGCTCTGTTGCTAAACTCGCAAACGCTGTCCGCCATCTTTAAGAAAAATATCAGTTGAACTACAGAACCATTTGTAGATATTTTACGCAAAAATAACTTTTAATGTGTATCTATCAGTAGTCTTTGTGTTATTATACTTACTGACATAATCCAGAAGTACAATATGTATAGATGTAACAATTGTAATTGTAGTTGTTTCGAATGAAACCTGAAGTAGGTATCTGCCGACTACCAGGCCGAGGTCTTCCTCAGCTAATCTGATCTGGGTTGCCAGGTTGGGATTTTAGAAGCTTACCCTAAGCAAAACAAACGAGATACTTGGACGGATAAAAAAACAGCTGTAAAAGAACAAACTTAAAATAAAATCAAGCAAGGAAATAACCATCCAATATCAGTATGTGTAATTCTGAAAAATGTAGTTAAATTTGTACAATTATTTAGCTAAAATGGTAAAGGGGTTCATCTGCCGTCGAACCTGGCAACGTTAGACCGCAGATGTAGTGTTGTGTTGTGCTATTTTGCCCTTAACTATTTTACCAGGCAAGAGTTATTTTCAGGTCACACAAATTTCAATTGAAATTATTCGGTTTTATGATCCGATTTAGATAAGAAACGCATTGTATATGAAAATTTGTTGTAGTGTGTGTTCAAGCTGCAAATTTTCACCAAGGCCGCGAGGCTTATTCTTAGCCCGAGAAATAAGTTTCTCCTGTAAGGCAAAACGCAGGAAACAAAAACCAACGCATAACTCCCAACGACCTCCCACCCCACACCCGCCAAATTCCAAAGCTAATGTTATGGAACAGCGTCGACGACGCGCTGTGTTCTTTCTTTCTTTGTCTCAACTGGTGAACTGTTATTACCAGCTAATGTTTACACTTTTTATCGAACGGAACAGCTTCGGTTTTATACGAGCAGGTACGTTTTGTTAGTTTGCTCATTTGTAATCAAATTTGAACGTAATTATCGTCCACATCTAGTAAGATTAGCAGACTGTATGCTTTAGCTAATGTAGAAAACAGCTATCAAAAGTTCCTTCTCGTCTGTTTTAGCTTCACGAAATGGCGATGTGGAGCGACATTGAACTTCTTACCAACGAGGATTCCAGCACGGTGCGTTTCGATGGAGTGTCAAAGGAGGGACATGGTAGCTGTTTGTACCAAGTGGACACACTGGTTAAAATATCTGCCAGCCAGGTACGTAGTACCCGTATTTACATTATTGGAATAAAAAATTCTGCTAGGATCTCAGATCTCACTAGGAATACAACACTGTATCTCAAGTGACTCTGAGACTTTATGACAGGTGATGTAAATGTTTGGTTTTGGCAGGTGCAGGCAGATCCCCAGCTGTCATCCTTCAATGGTTCAAACTGGGGTATTGTTGTTGTTGACAAGACAGTGATCATGTTTGATCAGAGCTACCAGACCATCCTGCTGCTCCTCCACTTTGGTAATACATCACATTTTAATGTTCACTGTATCAGTTTGATTTGATGAATTATTGATTTGTTTTGATCTTTTTATCAGAAACCGATGTGGATGCCATTGATATTTGCCTCGAAGGACAGTTTTTGGTGGTCTGTGAAAGAAACGGAAACCTTCATTTGATTTATGTCCCACACAAGAGAATCCTCCTCACCAGGGTACACGTGTATTTAATTTAAACATTAATATTAGCAGTAGGACTTTGTTGTTTTATTTCACTTTTGTATCTGATTGAAGTGTGATATCTATGTTGGCTTAATTTGCAGGCTTTGGTTGACAAACCTTCCAGTGAAAACAAGAAAACCTATCGCTATGTGGCCATAAAGGAGGACGAGTCATCCTCTGGTAAAATTTTCATACTTAAACTGAAAAGAGTCATTAATGTCTAAAAGATGGCATAATGTATTTTTTCATCTAATAATTCATTTGTGTCTAATATAAAATTTTCTTGGCCTAAAATCTTTCATTTTTACCTTTGTTTTTTTATGTCAGGAATGTTTCATGTGTTCCTCCTTATAAAAAATGGATTTTTCCACATTTCAAATTTTGCTTTGGCAAAGATCGAGACAGGTATTTCAGTTTTATTTGCAAAATCTTCTAAGTTAATTTGGAACCACTTTTTAAGTAATTTCTTTGTTCCTTTAATGCTGTAGCAATTGAAAAAATGGACGATGGGGCTTTGAAAGAAGTGAGTTAAGTAAAAATTTACAATGTTTCCCATTCATTAATAACTGTTTTATAATTATAAAATAATCTTTTTAAATTAGCTCCAGAGTCTCATCAAGGTAGACCTCACCTCCACAGAGGAGTACCATGACGAGGGTAACAGCACAGCCGTGATGTTTAATCTTGGCCATGAACTCCACCTCATGATTGGGGTCGGTGTCCCTTAGGAGACTGAGAAACATCTAATTCAGGATAGTTAAAATTTTGTAGTTACGCATGTTTTCTTTCCCTACTTTATAATTTGGCAGGGGGGCAAAGAAAATGTTGTGACTCACTGGAAGATGGATCCACTTCAGGCCAAGATGTGCTTTGCTCAGTCCATCGACAACAGCTTAATCCCTGGTAACATTTCATTTAGTCTTTTCGAATCCAAACGTGTGTTATTTATTTTAAAGTGATGGATTGTTGTAGTTTTGGGGTGTTTAAACCAATAAAGTGAAACAAGTGATAACAAACATGTAACAGAACTGAAGTTAAATCTTGACATGGGTTTTTGTGTGTTTTCTCTTCAGGTGTGAAAAAGATGATGGTGATGGAAAACCTGTTGTATATTCTTGACTCTGAGGTAAGTTCACTGGTAGTTATTAGAGACTGAAAATTTTAAATGGTAATAACTTTGTGTCTCACACTGATCCCTCATTCTCAGGACAATCTGAGTCTTTGGGACATCCACCTTCTTATAATGATTCATTGTTGGCCAGATCTTCCCATTTATGACTTTGAACTCACCACAGAGTGCGACTCTGCCTCCATGATAGTGTAAGTATCCGTTTGTCAGTAAGTGGTGTTACTTTACAGGTGTGGAACACTGAAAAAAACATTTTAATGGATATTTCTGATAATAATTGGTCACTTTTGAGTTTTAATGCAGGCTGAGCATGAAAATAGCATTAGCTTGTGATAGAAAATAGACGGTGAAACTCTAGGATTAGAAAAGCCTGTCTGTTAACATTCATGGACTCACCCATTTTGACTCGCGACAGGGAAGGCAGAGAACGTCTCAGCTGGTAGAAGCTAACTGTTAGCATTAGCAACTCTACCATGCAGCAGAACTCCACCAGGCTTGTATTATTTGTGAAGGTAAAACATCAACGTTGCAAAGCCAGTGGAGTCAGTGGTGGTTGTGTTTCTGTTAGCCAATTAGAGGGGAGATGTCCAAATATCAGGAAGTAAGACTCCAAATCCTGCCGTGTTGAGCTCTCCTCAGAAGTGGCATTTTTCTAGTTCCTGAAACAAACGTATTGATCAAACTATACAGAAAGATGCAAATATAATAAATTTTTTGCAGTCAAGAAAAGGGGGGCATGAAGATGATCATGCTGACAAAGCAAGGAAACAGTCAGGTAATAGCACACATCTAATGAAATTGTCAGATTATTTAAAAATATATATATATATTCTTATGTTTTTTGCTTTTTACATTCCAGATCCGCTCATTTGAAATAAGATGTCTTCCCTCCATGAGTGTTTGTTTCTCTCTGGATGTCTCCTCGGTCTCCTGTCTCGTCCAGATGAAAACAAACATGGTAAATAGTCAAATATAGTAAATTATCAGAGTTTTTGCCTGTGCCGTTTCTAGATTAAGATATTTCTTCTTACTTTCATCATTTCAGGACACAATGTATTTGGTTGAGGGGATGTGTGTGAACCCAGAAAGGTGAGAGGTCTGGTTATTTAAATACTTTTTCATCCATCGCTGGAATATTTATTTTTAAACATTATTGTTTTGTTCTGTGTAGTCGAGGGGAGCCTGTAGCTTCTGTTCTCATCAGATGTTTCACAGAGGCTTTGCCAGAGAACAGGTACCAAATTTTTTCCTTTTATGTTTTTCCACAAGTTGCAGTTCGTGCCTCATTATCACCTTTTATTTTTTATTCTGTCTCTAGATTTAGCAGACTTCTTCACAGACACATGTTTGAAGAGGCAGAAAAATTTGCCATCACGTTTGAGCTTGATGTAGAGGTAGACATTTTGTGTTCTGCGCAGAAGGCAACAGATTTTAAAGTCTCTTACTCTTATTTCTGGGATGCTTATCTGGCGGTTTTGTTTTCCAGCTCGTCTACAAAGTGAAGCTCGATTTTGTGCTGGAGCAGCTGGCCTCTGCATCAGTGGGTGGATATGGACAGGAGGTGTGGTCTGAACTTGTAGATGAGGCTAAGACCAACCTGATGAAAATCACAGTGAGCGCAACAAAGCAGCTTTTGTCTGACCTCGAGTCACATTTTCAAACGCATAACGTTTTACTAACAAAATGTGTCTTTCCTTCACAGGATGAGCACTATGTGGTGGAATATTGCCTGAAGGCCCCGTGGCCGACCTTTGAGACCGCAGAGAAGATGTTAAACCACGCTGCCTCGCGATACTCCTCCTTACAGATACAAGAGGCCTTAGCCAGGCTGGCGACCTTCTGCAACCTACACGGCTTAGAAAATTTCAAGTAAAGTCAAAACCTTTCTCTTTCAACAGCATGACTTCCAAATGGTTGGTTTATTTTGTGCGTGGATCAGTAATTTAAAGTTTATTTTTACTCACAGTGGAATTGCCTGGATCGAGTTTTTGAACAGCACCGACAATCTAGGAGATGTTTTGACTCATTTAAGAGATGGGGACATGAAGGGTGCACAGTTCATTTGGCTCAGATGTGAGGTAACAAATCGTTAAGTTTGTTTTATATTATTTTTCAGTTCAATACGCAACATCTTTTCATTTATCCGTCATTTCACCATTTGTTGAATAAAAGTAACTAAACAAAATGTTATGGAACAGGTGGGATGATCTCTAGTGTTTTATTTTGGACAGGGGCAGATTGCTGAAGAGTTTAATGAGAAGAGTCTGGATGCGGTCCTCAGCGCCATTCCAGAAGACCTGCCTTCCAAAGACCTCTGTCCCTGGTTCAGGACCGTTTTTGTTCCTTTTGTTAGGAGAGTCCTCCCAAAAGGACAGGTAGGAAATATTCACTTGTAAGTAAAGAGCTACATTTGGGGCATTTAAAATGTTTTTGTGTGCCTACAGAGAATCCTGGCTAAGTGGATTGAGCAAAAGGCAAGGAATCTGGAGTTAACTGAGAAGGTAAACAAATTAACTATTAAAAGATGGTGTTTGAGTCTTTTAGGTTATTTGTACAACAAAATACGTCTTAGTTTAAAGGTACTTTACGGAGTTTTGAATTTTTATGCTCGCAATTGCCCCCTCAGGTCAAAAGCGTAACGGCAACTTCAATAGTAGGCTCGTGCACGAGGCGCGCATGCTGTACGTGCACACTCCTTAACGAAAATAACAGCTGAGACAGTCCCTTGTGTGTGTGGCACGGAGGACAGAGGACAGGAGAACGCACAGCTAATTAATTAAATAAGTTGGTTCTGTACCTTTCTCTTCAGCACAGCCGACAAAGGTTTATGATGGGTCAGTCTCCCTGCATGCTCAGATCATTCCCTTCCCTTGCTTGAAAAATTGTTCCAAAATGAAAGTTGAACCCACATCTTTTTTTATCTGTGAATTTAATGCCGTTCAGCGAGTCTCAAATAAAAAATATACCATTAATGTAAAAAAGAAACTAAATAAGCTATGTTCACATCCAGAATCGAACCCAGGTCTATTGCATGAGAGTCTGACGTCTTACTAGGTGAGCTAAAGCGCCAGTGACATCCTTTGTATCTGTAACATTTATATCCTTGATGACAGCTGAAACAACGTTCAAAGAACGGTTCGGAGCGAAAATGGCTATTTTGTTGCTAATTTGCAGAAAATATCTAGAAGAAAGTAGCTAAGGATCCTCAGAAATGTAGCTAGGTTCATCACTAGGCGTTAGGAACAGCGACAAAGTTGCTGAGTTGGCACTACCTCACTCTCTGCTGCTAAAGCTACGGATAGCAAATGCTACGGGCTATGCCTGAGCGTGAACGCGCATGAAGCAGCCTGCTCGACCCGAGCAGCTCTCTTTCTGTGATTTTACAGAAAAACAGGCAATCACAGTAAAAATGCCAGGGCTCGTTCTACAGGACCAGGGCATTGCAGGAGAATGTATGAAGAAGACATTTATTATTTCTATACATATTTTGGCTGTCAAACTTCCATAATGCCCCTTTAAGCAGTTTTGGTGATGCAGTTGCTTTTTATCTCAGGGATCTTGGCCTCAGAATGGACTGGACCTGGCGGTGCTTGGACTTCCGTCTCTGTGGGCCTGGATGAAATCTGTAAAACATTAATAATTATTTTTGTCTCCTTCTTAGTAATGACCAGTTTGATTAACAGTATTGTTTTTTATAATTTGGTTAAGGATTTTAATGATGGTGCTGAGGAGCTGGAGAACCTCAAGTCCCTCGTGTCAAACCTCCAACAGCTTCTGGAGCTCCACCAGAAGTATAACTGCAGACTTTCACTTTCAGTATTCGAGAAGGTGTGTGTTAATATTGACACGTATCAGCTGCACCTCGTCTTTTTAAAGTGTTACATGTTGTACCTTTAACCCAAGAGATTAAACTTGATCAGATAAAATTAAATGTGGAAATAGTGGAAAACAGCAAAATGATGTATATTTTAGTTTATTTGAGCATCAAGGTAGCTCTGGTTTAGAAATCCTGCTTTAACATTTTCTATTTGATCAGAATGGTCGACTTGTCTGTTTGCTAAGAGCTGCAGTCATGTTGATTTAGTTTGTTTTGTCCTTTTAGAAGAGAAGTGTGTGGAGCGTGGCGTTCTTCATGCTGGACAAAGTTGCTGCTCCAGAGCTGATCGCCACCACGGTGGAAAACGCCATCTTGCCGTACGCCGAGGAGCACAAGATTCCTGTCAATGAGTTGCTGCTGCAGTACATCAAGGTAAAACACTGCACTGCTGAATGTTATTCTAAAGAAGTCGCATTATGCATTGTGCTGCCACGTGGGTCTCTGCTGCTTCTACAGGTCCTTCTCAAAAAATTAGCATATTGTGATAAAGTTCATTATTTTCTGTAATGTACTGATAAACATTAGACTTTCATATATATTAGATTCATTACACACAACTGATGTAGTTCAAGCCTTTTATTGTTTCTAATATTGATGATTTTGGCATACAGCTCATGAAAACCCCAAATTCCTATCTAAAAAAATTAGCATATCATGAAAAGGTTCTCTAAACGAGTTATTAACCAATCATCTGAACCAACTAATTAACTCTAAACACCTGCAGAAGATTCCTGAAGCTTTTAAAAACTCCCAGCCTGGTTCATTACTCAGAACCGCAATCATGGGTAAGACTGCCGACCTGACTGCTGTCCAGAAGGCCATCATTGACACCCTCAAGCAAGAGTGTAAGACACAGAAAGAAATTTCTGAACGAATAGGCTGTTCCCAGAGTGCTGTATCAAGGCACCTCAGTGGGAAGTCTGTGGGAAGGAAAAAGTGTGGCAGAAAACGCTGCACAACGAGAAGAGGTGATCGGACCCTGAGGAAGATTGTGGAGAAGGACCGATTCCAGACCTTGGGGGACCTGCGGATGTAGTGGACTGAGTCTGGAGTAGAAACATCCAGAGCCATCGTGTACAGGCGTGTGCAGGAAATGGGCAACAGGTGCCGCATTCCCCAGTTCAAGCCACTTTTGAACCAGAAACAGCGGCAGAAGCGCCTGACCTGGGCTACAGAGAAGCAGCACTGGACTGTTGCTCAGTGGTCCAAAGTATTTTTTTCGGATGAAAGCAAAATTTGCATGTCATTCAGAAATCAAGGTGCCGAAGACTGGGCAGAGGGAAATGCCAAAATGCCTGAAGTCCAGTGTCAAGTACCCACAGTCAGTGATGGTCTGGGGTGCCATGTCAGCTGCTGGTGTTGGTCCACTGTGTTTTATTAAGGGCAGGGTCAATGCAGCTAGCTATCAGGAGATTTTGGAGAACTTCATGCTTCCATCTGCTGAAAAGCTTTATGGAGATGAAGATTTCATTTTTCAGCACGACCTGGCACCTGCTCACAGTGCCAAAACCACTGGTAAATGGTTTACTGACCATGGTATTACTGGGCTCAATTGGCCTGCCAACTCTCCTGACCTGAACCCCGTAGAGAATCTGTGGGATATTGAGAAGAGAACGTTGAGAGATGCAAGACCCAACACTCTGGATGAGCTATCGAAGCATCCTGGGCCTCCATAACACCTCAGCAGTGCCACAGGCTGATTGCCTCCATGCCACGCCGCATTGAAGCAGTCATTTCTGCAAAAGGATTCCCAACCAATTACTGAAAATAATTATTTAAAGGTTGATATATTTTTTTGTATTAAAAACACTTTTCTTTTATTGGTCGGATGAAATTTGCTAATTGTTTGAGATAGGAATTTTGGGTTTTCATGAGCTGTACGCCAAAATCATCGATATTAGAAACAATAAAAGGCTTGAACTACTTCAGTTGTGTGTAATGAATCTAATATATATGAAAGTCTAATGATTATCAGTACATTACAGAGAATAATGAACTTTATCACAATATGCTAATTTTTTAGAAGGACCTGTATAAACGCTCTAAACATGACAAAACTTGTCCATCCATTTTCTGTTTGTGTTTGCTTTTAGAAACGTTTCGAAAAGTCTCCCGAGACTTTCGACTTTCGAAACGGCAAAAAAATAAATTTTCAAAATAAAAATCTCAATCCATATATTTTTTCAGGCTTTTATTTCATCAACATGTAATTTTGTTTTTATTCAGAGAAATTCAATTTAATGCACTTTTCCTTTTTATAAGATTACAATGTCAGTGCTTTGTTTTGATTTTGGGTTTTGACCAGGATCTGCTGGAGCACTGCAGCTCTCAGACATCAACACTTTTCACAGAATGGGAAGCCAAAGCAGTGGCTGTTCTCTGCTGCTTGACTGACACAGATGTAAGTTTGTTTTATTTCATTTTTACAAGTTTTGACTACAAAAGATCAGCCTTAGCAGCTGCAGAAAAGTCAGACAATGAAGAAAAATGTTTTTTGCTGACAAAGTGTCATGATTGTGTTTCCTGCCAGCTGATGGTGGATGCTGTGCTGGAGCTCATGGAGAAAGCTGTGGTACCCTGGAGCAATGTGGTAGAAACGCTCGTACATCAGTACCTAGAGATGGACGGACCGAAGTATGAACATATTGGTTTTGCCTATAAAATAGTTACTGTTTACATAATCTAGAACCAGAGAATGATTTTGTTCTGTTTTTATCAGACAAGAGCTCCTGAAGGAGAGCTACCGTATGATGGAGATTAGGAAACTTCTCCGAGGCTACGGCATTCGCAGTCTCAACCTCTCTGACAACACTAAAGTCATGGTAACATTATTTCAGTTGGATGTGAATTTTGTTGCCAACCAAGTAACATCCATTCAATGTTATGTTTAACAGACACTGATACGATGCATCCTGAAAAAAAACTTACCGACGTCTTTGGAGGACGCTCTGACCTTAGCGGAAGCATATAAACTCCCAACAATGCAGATTCATTTTCTTTACCTCATTCAGCTGATAGGCCAAAGCAAGGTATTAAAATAAAAAATGAATGTAAGCAACTGTTACTGGTGTATGCTTGTGGGATACTGTGAGGAGGTTCTCCTGCTTCTTTCAGACTGAGGAGGTGCTGACTCTCCTGAAGAGTCTGTCACCATCAGAGGCTGCGTGTGTGATCGAACGTCTCACCTCGTGGGCTCGGCTGCAGCTGGAGGATAAACGCCACATTTCTGAGCAGGTGAGAACAAGAAAATATCCTAACTGTTCATTTAAATGATGCATGAACAAAAATAAACGGGGAAATGCTACTTAATAAATTACCAACGTAAGTCCTTAAAAAATAAAGGTAAAAAATAAGCCTTAAATGATCTGATCTAATTATCACAACTTCTTCCTTGTTTGTCTTTACTAGCACCAGAAACAGCAGATGGTTGTAGCTCAGGTGATGGTGGAGGCTCTTAAATATCTGCATATCATCGTGAAAAGTAAGTGATGAAATTGCAATTCGTTTAATAGTTAGTTTTTTTTTCTCACCGACATGTTGGATTCAGAGTTTCACCTAATACATCTTGACAAATGAGGATGAGAATTAGATTTTTATTTAAGGTTGAGACAGTTACCACAGTTGGTTCTAATTTAGTTTAATTTGTACCAAACAACCTTGATGAGACTTTCTTTACCTGATCATTGACCAACTTCCAACTGCCGAGAATTCAGTGAATAAATATATATAGGTATGTATATATATATATATATATATATATATATATATATATATATATATATATATATATATATATATATATATATATATATATATATATATATATAGGTATGTATATATATATATATATATATATATATATAGGTATGTATATATATAGGTATGTATATATATATATATATATGTATGTATGTATGTATGTATGTATATATATATATATATATATATATATATATATATATATATATATATATATATATATGTATATATATGTATATATAAATATACCGGTAAGCTTGTACTGCATGAATCTAAGGCAGATGTCAGTATTAACATTCTGAATCATAGCAATGAACATTTTTAAATGTGCACTTGTTTTTAGAGTAATACATCTGAAGTTTTTCTTTTTGCAGATGATGCTCTTATAAGCATGCAATGTGAGAATGATCTCATCATGTTCCAAGCGATCGCCCACCTGCAGGTGAGACTTGTTTACAGAACTCATAAGTCTAGTTTTGATTTAGTTTTTAACTTGCCATTTTTAAAATTCCCCCGTTAGGAGGATTTTGATGTTTTCTTCACCCCCTCCAACTACGAGGATCCAAATATCCGAAAACAAATCCAGGAGCATCACATCACAGCTTATGAAAACACTCGAGCCCGACATTTGTCTAAAACGAAGGCGTTGACAACACCGGTCATGGCCAACGACCCCGATGGCAAGACCAAGATGATCTCAGCAGAAGCTGGTTTACGTCGTCTGGGACGGCAGCTGCAGCGCTCTGAACAGGAGCTGTGGTCCGATTTGGGCCTGAGAGCTCTGAGAGTCGGGAAAGTGGACAAGGCCCTGAAGATCTTTAGGTGTGGAGGCTGAGGTGTTCATGAACGCCGATAAACGGGGAGCTGATAAAGCTTACAGATATTAACTTGAACAAATTGGTGTTTTATTTACAGAATGAACATTTATTTAATGTTTTGTTAATTTTCTTTCAGTGAGCTTTATGAGCACCACTATAACAGCAGTACAGGGAAGGTTTTGTTCAGTGCTGCTAAGACATTATGCCAGATGTTGGAAGCAGATGTTCCCATGGTGCTTCCTGAAGGCATGGACTTGCCGGCAGTCATCCATGAACTGGCTTGTCAGGCCATCACTTTGTGTCACTCAGGTAATAAGAACCCGTGACTCACCGACATGATTAGTCAGAGCTGGAAGTCTGCAGCAGAATGTTTGATGGATGCATTTGACTCCAGTTTTGCTGCTTTATGAAGCATCCAGTCATTAAAAACACTCAAAAAGGATGTTAATGGTTACAGATCTGCTGCTGGATTGCTTGGAGCTTTGCAAATGCACACGAGTAGCAATGGATGTTTATCATCAGTGTCAGCTATCAGATGACTATGGGTTCATATCCAAGGTCAGTAGCTTATAGAGATGTCTTGATTGTTCTAGTTTTTGTTTGATACTTTATCTTATTTCTCATATTTCACTTATCAATCTCTACGAATTAAGGTGTTTATTTTAATTACAGTAAAAAATAATTAAAATAATGTTTTTCATAAGTGTTTAGCTTTTACAGTACAGGTGAATAAAAAATAAAGTATTTGATTGTTATCAATGACAGGATTTGAGCTTGGAGGCTTCACAGTGGACCTTTCAGGATGTTTTTAATGAGGATTGCATTGTGCTGGATCCAGTGTCTGTGCTCCCTGTTCAGTATAAAATTACCAACTGCCTGCTGCCAGTTTCCCAAGGTAAAGATAAAAACTTTTTATGTTACATCTTTGTATTAATCTGCACCTATAATCATGTCTGGTCTTTCTTGCAGATTCTAAACTGTTTCCACTGGACTGCTCCTGTCTGTCACATTGCTCTTTTGAAGATGGTAGGTATTAAAGGCAGCATTTTTTTTAAACTTTTCCTTAAAATACTGAAGTTATTCTTGCATTTCACTTGCCTTTTGTGCAGGTTCAAACTACATGCGGCCCCTCCTCGGTCCCCTCACCAACATGTTGCAGATGCTGCAAGAGTGCAGTCAGCTGGAGTTGGCCCTCAGAGTTCTGGTCAACCTGTACTGCAGCTGTCTGCAGCACGTCACCTCTAATGTGATGGACGTGAAGCTCAGCATGCAGGTGCATGAACAGCACATCTACAGCAACAGTCAGCTGAATTTATTGTGATCTTTTATGATTAAACTAAACTGTATTCCTCAGCTTCATGATGCACAAGAGCTTAAGAAATACAACGTGTGTCTGAATGATTTCCGAAAAATTACAACGTCCTCTCTGAATGTCGTGGCCTTGGGCCTTTTGAACAAGGTGAGTTCAGTGTTGTTAAAAGGAACACAACATTGCAGCGTGTTTCCAACTACCAGTCACATTTTTCTTTTTGCTCTGCAGGTGTTTAACTGGAGAGTGGTCGACTGTGATCTGGCCATCGGTCTTTGTACACTCCTCTCTAAAGCAGAAGTCTTCAAATTACTCTGGAAAGTTATCGACAACACTTGGCAAAACTACGACAAAATCTTGGTGGGCAAAATCTCTGTTGTTCTGCTTTTTACATTTTTTTTGGGTGGTGGTGGTGGTGGGGGGGTGGGTAGTACAGGAAGTAAGTTTTTAAGCACTGTCGGTCTGAACAATTTGCCTTTTTCATGTGATCTAGCTCATTAGTTTACAGTCATGTTTACACGTGAAATCTTAGAAAATATTCAATTTGCAGAAAAAAATAAAGTAGATGGTCATATATTGATTATATCTGTTATTGTTTCATATACTGATTGTATCTGTTATTGTTTCATATACTGATTGTATCTGTTATTGTTTTAGGCCGTGGCAAGGATTGGCGCCAATCTGAGCAGTTTGTACAACAAACCAGAGGAACATGAGAAGTTTCTCTCGGTGATCACTGATGCAGAGTGGGGGGTCAAGCTCAGCAAATTAGAGGTAATGAAGCTTGCTACAGACCTTTAGATCTGAAGAAATGTGTGTTTATTATCGCTGTATGTCCTCATTTGTCCTTTCCGTTCCTCCACCTCAGATATCGATCCAGTCGGTGTTCCGGCAGTGTTCTGAGAGGAAGAGCAGTCTGATCCCTGAAATGGTGAAGAACAGAAAGATCACACCAGATATTATCCTCCAGTATTGCAGGTCAGATGCATAATCCTGTTAACCCCCCCTTTTTTTTTTCCACCACACATAAAAAAGTAAAATGGTACAAACGGGTGCTAAAAGCTACTGTTTTACAGTACCTTTGGTTTAAATCGTGACCACATGATCAACCGCTACATAACAACCTTGCTGCTGCTCCAAGAGGATGAAGACAGCGAGGGTGTCATCAGCTCAGGTCAGGGACAGCTGCAGTCTCCATGCAGTGCTGACGCTCTGGAGCGAGGCTTGCAGATCATCCCGATGTTGCACAGCACCAGCGAGCTCATAGACAGTCTCTGTGCAGCCATGTTCAAGGTAAGGGTGACATGGTGCTGCAATATTATCTTTGTCATGTAAAAGTTAAATAATTTTTATGCAAACAAAAGTGAGAAATCACAACTCACAATCATCAATCCACTGTTCCTGTTTTTAAAATTACCATAGAATAGCATTCCCTGCTTATTTCAAACACATAAGTAGTTTGTTTAAACTATTTATTATGGCGCTTCTGCTGCTGCCAGAAAACCTGATGTTTACATCTCCCCTCACATGCAGCTCAGTCCTTACAACTACGAGAGAATCGAAGTGGTGCTGAAGATCATACAGGCTGCAGACGAGAATGTGACAGCCATCTCTGTTAGTCAGGTAGGAACAAATTAATAATTTTGCATTTAAAATAATAAAAATAATCTCAAATGTCTTTTTAATTAAATTATGTGGACTATGATCACTGTTTCAGGCTATGGGCCTTCTTCAGCACCTGAAGTCCTACAGGCGCACTTCTCCTCCATCAGACGTGGAGAACACGTATCTTCTGGAAAACGGGATGCTGCCAGACTCCCTGTCCAGCGGGAGACTCCCCTTCCACCTGCTCATACAGACAAAACATTACTGGAAGATTATCTGTGAGTTCACCTCTGTAATGTTGAAAAAGATGGATTTTATTCAAACTCCATCAGTTCAGTCCTTTTTGTCTTAAACTTGGCTATTGAATCACCCAAATGTATTTGTTTCCTGTGGCTATTTTAAACAATAACTAAGCTTTATTTATGTAAATTGATAATATTTTTGTTTTTAGCTCCCGAGATGAGTGACGAAACGTTCCCAACTCTACTTCTTATCAGTAAACTTATGAAGGTGCGGCGCCCAAACTGTAAATGTAATCTCTCTCTTTTATAATCAGATTTTTACCGTCAGTCCAACCCTCCTGTCTCTTTCCAGGTGAGCCTTGATAAGCTGTACATGTCGGCAGCAAACCACGTGTTTGAGAGGAAAATGAAGCCTCTCATTTTGGAGCAAAGACAGAAGGGTCAAGGTCATTGCTCCAACAAGGACACTTTTAAAGTGGCCAAGACCATGATGAAGTACATCCAGTGCATCCAGAGCCCAGAGTGGGCTGCTGCCACAGCCCATAAGATAGCCCAGGAGCTTCCAGCAGGTTTGAGCAGCACGTTAGAAACTACATCTCACATCTGTAGGGCACACATTTGTTTATTTATGTTATTTATGTCTAAATGTTTCCTGCTCTTTGAAGGCTACGAGAAGACTAAGGCACTGGAGTTCTGTTTGGCTCTTGGGGATGCTTGGCTTAAAGATCCAAATCTAGAGGTCTGCGTTTCTGCTTTTAGCTTTAGATATCACATTACCAATCTAAAAACCTCGTCAAGCATTATTTTTTTATCTCTACTCCCTGATGCTGTGAAGCAGGAGGCTGCACGGGCCCGTGGGGAGACCTTTCTGTCCAAGCTGAAGCTGCAGTTTCAGCGTTCTGCCACTGAAAATACGTTGATTATGAGTCAGCTGGGCAGCCCAGAGCATCTGAAACTGACCGGGCTACCAGCCAGGCTCATCGTGGCCCTGTATGAGCACAGCAGTGTGGAGCAGCGCTTCAGAGAGACCACGGGTCTCGCGTATCCTGGTGAGCACGTTTTAAACAGTTAGGTGCCTTAACATGCAAAACAATGCAACCCTCTGTGGAAATGTTCAATTCAATTCAAAAGTACTTTATTAGTCCCAGAGGGAAATTGATTGCTGTAGTAGCTCAGAATAATAATAATAAGTCATCAAAGAGTTATTGTATATTACAGTGGCTGTTGGCAGGAAGGATCTCCAGTAGCGGTCAGTGTTGCAGCGAAACTGAAGAAGCCTCTGACTGAAGACACTCTTCCGTTGTCGGACAGTCTTGTGAAGAGAACGCTCAGGGTTGTCCATCATTTTCTTGATTCTCTGGAGAATCCTTCTTTGCATTATCTCCTCCAGCAGTTCTGAAACTGCCGAAACTCTGGCTGAGTCCTTGAAAGGGCTTGGAGTTCCTCCATCTTTTTGGCTAGTGATCTCACATTGCCCATTATGATCGATGGAAGAGATGGTTTCCTCTTTCTCTGTCTCCGTTTTCCTCCCGCTCTGCACACACGCTTCTTGCCTTTTAGCTCATTTGGGATTTGTGGCTTCAGTTGAGGTATTATTTCAGCCTTTCCAATATTAATCAGCTGCTCCTGATTGTAAACCAGCTTGTTGCCATGGTTACGCATCACAACGAATGCTCAAAAAGTGAAAAAATCTAAAAAGAAAAGCATTAAAAATCCTCCAAGCTTCACAGCACCAGAAACAGAAAAGTAAAGTGTCCAAAAAAATACAGGTTTTTTTTGAGAAACTAGAATAAAAAATACCCAAGAAAAGGCAAAACTTACATATAGTCAGCAGAGCTACTCCAACATGCAGCCACCCAGAGCAGCGCAGTTTTATATAATGCAGTGCTGGACTGTAAAAGGTCCTAAAGAAAAAGGATGTTGCTCACGCTGACTTTAATTTTCAGGAACCGGACATTTTTGTTATAATTTAAAAATAAGATTAATCAAAATGTTTGGCCTAGTTAATAGAAATTTTGTTTTCATACCAGTTTGTTTATTCTTGTTATATTATTGCCATTTTACTAGAAACACTGTCTAGTTTTGCAGCATATCATGAAACTTTCAGACTATAGCTCGCAGTCATTTCTTCTTTGTAAAATATGTTGCAGACATACACGCTGCGGTGAAGGAAATCGCCTCCATCAATAATGTGGATCTAGTGAAAATACGCTGCATTTTGTTAGAAAAGTGGATCTGTAAAACGGGTCCAGCTGTGACCAAGGTTTGTCTCTTTACTACTTTTACTTAAATTAATTAGTTTTTTATGTATTCCTGTGAAGTCTGCCTTTTTCATGTTGCATCAATGATTTAGTCTGGATTTTATTTATTTTTAATAAGGAACTTGGAAATCAAGACTGTTTCACTGACATTGAAGAGGATCCTGATTTAATGAGGTAATTTTTCAGTCACTTATAGCAGATTTTTGTAGTTTGATTAGTTAAAAGAACCACAGAGCTGAAACTCTGAGATTCTCCTGTTTGTATAAACACAATTTGTATTTAGATTCTAATCTTTAAGTAGTTTCTGTAATAATAAGACAAGTATTTAATTTTCTGTGTATTTTTGATTCCTGAAGGGTGGTCTACATACTACAGTCCTGCCCTGTGGAGGATGCCGTTGATCTTCTGAAACCTGTTTTAACTGCTGAAACCTGGGTGTGTTTTTCAAGAATGGTGCATATTTATGGATTAAATGTTCTCCAGATAGCTGCAGCTGATGCTGTTTTCTGGATTCTTCTTGCAGCCGCTCAGCACGTCAGGTCCTCGACTGACTTTCTGCCATCGAACTCGAGCGTTGCTTTGTCTCGTCCGCCTCGCAGATGCAGAAACTCTGGAGGCCCAGTTACAAATACCGAGGAACAAATCAGAGTAAGAAACAAATAAAGGTTAATTTATCTAAGTGAACGTCGGAGGAAGTGATCCTTCTGTATCTTATTTTCTCGTGCAGGTATTATCTGAAGTGCTACATCTTTGTGTCCCAGCTGGAGGTGCTGAACATTCCTTACACGTTGCAGTCTTTCCTCAGCAGTCCCAAAGAGGGTTTGGTTAAAGGCTTGTGGAAGAACCACAGTCATGAGCCACAGGTACACACAGAAGCAAAACATTAAAGCTGATCCGCACATTTCCACCAATTTACATTTTAGTTCTGATAAATTTGTTGAAAAAACTCTTTGTCGTCTCAGGCTGTGCATCTGGTGGCTGACTTGTGTTTGGAGTACCAGGTCTATGATCCTCAGCTCTGGAACAGTTTGCTGCAGAAGCTGCTAAGCTTCAACTTGGTGAGGGGTTTATTCACCAAAATGTGCTTTTAATAACGCATCGTATTAGGATTTTCTGAATTGTAAAAAACAAGCTTCCGTGCTGAAAGAAAACTCATGTCTGTGTGTTTTTTTTTTTCTGTGCAGATCAGCCACCTCCAGAAGGTGCTGGAGGCAATAGTTGCTGTCCCAGCTTTGTGGGAGGTAACAATACAGTTCAGTTATTTCAGAAATACTAAAGCAGACTAAAATAAAACTGTACTAATGTTACCACAGAGACCAGGTAAATGTTAGATGTCGTTGTTTACTCTTTAGCGGATGTCCTGTTGTAGTTGAGACAAATGTAAGACAAGTATTTCTGAGCATCGCCACGGCAACAAGATGAAGGGGATTTCACATGGAAAAAAGCAAATCAGCTTTAGCGCTCTTTCGTTATTTTTTCATTTTTAATTTTACAGATTTCGAGTTTCTCCAGAACGTGGAGGAGTTTGATACTGGCACCTTTTGTTTCAGGTACGTGTGTGTGCGTGTGTGTGCGTGTGTGTGTGTATGTGTATAAAATCCTGATAATCTCTGTTATGCAGACTAAATTGTGTCTACACTGTATTCTATTTCCTATTACATGATGCCTCAGTAAAAAAAGAGAAGGTTTCCTTTGTTGCATGTTGCACGCCGACTATTATTGGCAGATGTGTTTAGTTTAAACCCCCTTTGTGGTTTGTGTGTCATGCTTATATAAAAGGCAGCTGTCTGTTTTTAAACTCCGAAGATTGACAACATGCACGTTTCCACTGGTGGATATTTGTCTTGAACACACCCGTGTTTCTCGTGTTTTTATTACAGCTTCACTTCCTTTGAGCCCAGATCAACGAACGACTCTCTACAGAACCTTTGTTCTCCTGCTCAAGTATGTTTTCACTGACTTTAAAGAACTGCTGCATATACGGGTAACAGCATAAAACCACATTTATTCACACATTTGATAAGTGTAAGTCTTTCACAACATCCTACCAACTCTAATTTCAGTGTATTAATGTTTAGGTATAAACCACAGACGCCAACCATGATTTTGTCCAAATCCAGCAACTTATGGTCTTTTCCATTATTGTGATTATTTGCTAAACAATCTTTGTCAACTGAAAATCTATTAAGAACATTATTTTTCTAGTATATGGATTCAGTTTGGAGGTTTGATCCAAACTCTTGAATAAGTGCATCAAGTTATTTTGTTCATGTTTTAATGGGTAATGTTTTAATTACACCCTCCAAGGTGCCCCATCCTGCTAAATTTGGATTTGATCGGAATAGCAAACCGCTTTTCTCAGTTCAATCTTCCCGCATTCGCCCTGGGAACGCTGCTCCTCATCCCGTGTGCCGGTAAAAAGACGCAGCAGGTCCAGGTGAGTGACTGTCCGTGCCACATGTCTGGAGTTATTTTGAGCCATTTATAATAACTGGCTATTCCGCTGTTGCAGGGCTTTCTGTCCATCTGTAACCCGGTCGCCGTCCTTGAGCAGGTGGATGAACTTATGAACACCGGAGAGCTAGCTGGAATCCCTTCACAGGTTAGACGACCTTTCCCAAATATTTCACTTTCCTGCAGGTTTGTCAGCCTAACTGCTTTTGTTGGACCACATTCCTTTTCCCCAGTTGTGTCTATTAATGTTATTTATTGATAATTTATTAGGGTGGTGATGCAAGCACTCTTTTTCAGTTGTTTTCATTTGTGAGAAAATCCTTAAAATAAAATGGAAACTCCAATTTCAAAGTGCCATATGAAATAATTATCCAAATGCATTTTAAACATTTTATTCTACATAATTAGCCAATCTGAGTTTTCATTTCATTGTCTTTATTTACACTAAAATTGATTATTTCTATATTTTTTTACATTAAACAAAAATTTCAAATGCTAGTTTTTTTTTTTTACTTTATTGTTCCATAAAGTTTTTTCTAACAAAATCAAAACAACCTGTTAATGATGTAAAAGAAGCTTTGGCTTTGCCAGACACCTTCATGTGTTTTTGTCCTTGCACATCAAGGCTGTCAGATCCTCAGCTTGGCGTGAGCAAAGCTGTTCAACAGGAAGTGATTTAGGATTATTTTGATGGTGCACAGTGCATCGTTCTGTTGACTAGATGTTACCACGGTTATATAAAAACTTACATGTCTAAGTAAGCTCAGAAATCATGTGAACAGATTTGTTTATCTAACACAAAAGATGTTTAAAATTAATCTGGATTTTATTTTTTGTGTTCTTGTTTAAAATGACCTTTTCTGCTCCTTCAGATCAGACAGACCGTGCTAACGTTCATCACTCAAAACAGACAGCACCAGAAACTAATAAAAACAAAACACTTCAACCATCTGAAGCAGTTTATTGTGACAAGTGGACAACCTAACCAGGTGAAGGACTTGGTGGACTGCCTCATCAGCCAGAACTGGTGAGATTTGTTTAATACATTATAACTATGTTTTCGTAATTTAGTCCATGAGTAGGTTTTATTTTTCACCGTAAGAACCACTTGGTACCACATAAAAAATAACTCTGCTATGATAAGTGACCCTAAAGAGTAAACTACAACAGAATCCAATTAAACACAAATGTTACTGAGGAGATGAAGGGCTGCAGCCTCTGTCGTCTCTGGGTTGTTGAAGGTCCCTCCTCTGGAGCTGGTGAACTTTCCATCATCATCAGTTATGTTATGGTTATTGTGTTGCACAAAGAATGGTAATAGATGTTTCCGTATACATTTATCAGACGCACATCATGAGAATATGTTTTTTTGGTCTTTTATTATCCAAAAATGCCATTGAAATTCGTCAGAATATGCTTGGTTGAAAGATTTGCCAGACTAAATAAATTCCCCCATAGATTCTTTCGTGATTTTTTTTTTTCAATTTTATTTTGGTTTTAATAAGTAGAATTTTAACTGTTTAATGTGATGATTTCATCAAACTAAACTGGGAAGGATTACTGATTTGTACAGTTGTTAAAATACAGAATGTATAAAGTATTATGTCATTCAAGTTTTACAAGGTGTGAATTTAACTTGCATATCTGGGGCAGCAGTAGCTCAGGAGGTAGAGCGGGTTGCCTCATGATCATGGTTCATGGGTTTGATTCCAGCTACCGCCAGGGGTATCCTGCTGTTGTGTCCTTGGGCAAGACACTTCACCCAACTTGCCTGTGTTAGTGGTGGTCAGAGGGGCTGACGGCGCCAAAATGGCAGCCTCGCCTCTGTCAGACCTCCCCAGGGCGGCTGTGGCTACAAGTAGCTTACCATCACTAGCAGTGTGTGAATGTGAGAGTGTGTGAAAACGTCTTTGGGTGTCTAGAAAAGCGCTATATAAGTTCAATGCATTATTATTATTATTATTATTATTATATCTGTGAATCCCCAACTGCATATTTCCTCCCGCAACATGCATGTCCAAAGTGTGGCCCTGGGGGCATTTTTGTCCCCAGTAGGCATTAGATATTCACAATGGGGAAAAAAATTTTTTTTATCTAATTTCTGGCCCTGATGAACTTAGAACTTGGCAAATTAGGCCCTTGTCTCGCAAAGTTTGGACCTCCTTGTCCTACAAAGTTCAGACATTACATGTAGGACAAATGATTTTTTCTTACATTATTTTATATAAATCTGTTTTTTAGTCAGGATGACGCAGACTCACTTACTCATGAGTATCTGAAGCACAGAGAGCGTCAACAAGGGAAAAGGCTGAGGAACGGCTCCATTTCACACAACTGTCTGAAGGTAGAATCACATCCTGTTTCATGAAATGTTTAGTGGTTTTTTCCTTAGATTGTTAAGATTTTACCTTGTCTTCTTTTTTGTTTCTGTTCTGTGATCAGACACTAAACTTTTAATGTAGTTTTTTAAATTTTGTTTCAGGAGTTTCTTCAAATGGAAAATGAAGTTTCAGAATAAGACGATTATACCCTTCAGTCAAATTTATATATTCTGTTTTTTTTGTGCCTTAAGCTGAGCTGTAATATTTGCGCTAACTTTCATCTTTTAACTGTTCATGTAATTCTTATTCACTAAATAAAACATTTCAAGTTCAACCTTTTAATGGTGCATGTTTATCTAATCTCTTTCCAGATTGTTCAATTTTATATAAGAAATTAAACCATTTTTACTCTGGATGAAATATATCACCTTAACTAGGATTGTGGCTCATTGGAAAAGTTATTTTTATTTGTATTTTTTTCATCAACTCAGAAACTTAGTTGTTTGAAATCCTGCCTGTATAGAAATGATAAAAGCACTTTATTATATTGACTCACAGGTAAAACCTACTAAATTAATTTAAACTAAAATGCTGAAAGAAAAACCTTTTTGTTAAGAAACAAAATACTGTGCCTAAACAACTGTACATCTCAGGCAACAGTGGATCATTATAAAGAATAATTGACATTTTTGTAATAAACATTAACATTTTTAACATGTTTAATAAGTTTGGGCACAAAAGAAAAGTTTTCTTTATTTAAGTGGTAAAATTAATGACACACATGTGACCACATGCATGTACTGACATTTAAATTTATTTTCATCCTTTTTTCCCTGTCTGGAAGACTTTTCTTGTAAAACAGTCATAGAAGCTTGAATCTCTAAAGGTCACGCTTGCCTTTGCTGGAGCAGTTCCTTTTATTTCGGCAGCAGGACGTGCATGCACTTTTGTTAGAAAGCAGACATGAAAATTGCAGATCCTCATCTATTGGATAGTTTGACTCATGTTGAAAACACAACTGTACAAACATTTTGGCTGTTTTGCACTTCTGAAAAGTTATGCGTTACATTGTTAGTCATGGATAACGACGAGAAAGTAGTTTTCAATGTTACAGCGATTCTACACTGCATGACTTGAGGTTTGAATGAGGAACAGAGCTGTGCAAACTTCATTCTTTGGAATTTTTGCAACATCACTGATCATCTTCCTGGCTTGTGTCACTGTTTCTGAAATTTTCAAGGAAACAAGGTGTTTGTGGTTTCAGGTATGAAACTGATAAAAAGTATGCTCAGGATGTAAAAATTATAACTTGCAATGCACTTTCTTGTAGCCTTTCTACAATAAATAATTTCATAAAACGTTCTTTGATCAACCAGGTTGATTTAATTTACTTTCAGTGAACAATATACACTGGAAAAATGAAAGTCCTCAGTTAAAATGACTTATTTCTTACATATAGTTTCTACATAATTGGATTAAGTTGGTAAATGAACATGACTGACTTATGTAAGGCTGTAAAAGGGTACAGGGGTTTATAAATGATCTTTGTTGGGGTAACATGAAGATTGTGTTCATGATTCAGCTCGCTGATTACTGGTTGGATGGAACAGATTTCCCAGCATGGCACTCTTTCTAAATGTTGAAATTAAAATAAATCAGTCGGTTACAGTTTAAGCTCAATTCACATTTAAATAATTATTAATTAAAGGAAATATACATGTGCTAAAACAATTGTGTATAGTTCTGAAGTTGGCAGAGAGCAAAAACATAAACCAGGAATTAAAGGGATAGTACAGAGGGGTTCAAAAAGCACTCAGCAGTATCTCTAACTAGAATGACACATGGAAATCACAGGAAGCATGTGTCACAGATACACTGAAAAAAGGACTTTAGTGAGATTGTGGAAATTATATGAATGCATTTTGTGTTGAACCCTTTTTTTGGAACACGGCCGTTTCATGTTATAACATGTTAAAGTTGTAAGAAGAAAAAATGATCATGTTCTAATAACATGTATTTATCATGTTGGCATTATATAATAAAGTTATAAAACCAAAACTCAAAACAATCTAATTTCATGCAACCAATGTACATGATTAAATTATGTAAATCCAATAGACTTTTTCTTTCAGTGTAGAAGACCATATAGACAGTAAAATACTTTGTTGGGCCTTAAAAGTATATTTATTTCATTGATTTTTTTATTTTTTGTGGAAAGTACTTGAATGTTACACGAAAATCAAATTTTGCGATACATCCTAGTGGTAAAAACAGGAAAATGTATTTACTTATGTCTTAAAGCCAGAGCAGAAAGATATTTTCTAATAGTTTCATGAGAGTATGAAAAATATTTCAACTTATAAGTGTAAAAGAAGTTAATTTATATCTAATTAAGGACCCGTGAGACATTAAGATTCATAGTGAATATGAAATCAGTCTTACGAACCGTTGAGTTATTTAACCAGAAGATTGGAACTTTTTATTGCAGGGATTTTGTAACACTTTGTATTAACTGAGAGACAAGAGAAGAGAGAGACCTTTAAAATGTTTAAGATGATTTATTTCTAAACAATTTAAACAATTTTAAACAAGACTAACTACTCTAATGATGGATGGATCTGGTGAATGAGATGTGAGATGAATGGTGTGTGTGAGTGGTGTTATTATCAGAACTCTCGTGTCTGGAGAAGCAAGTCTGAATGATGGATGATGTTTTTCTTCTAGCTATGATCAGAGTTTGATCGGAGTTTCATAAACACATGAGACGCCATTTTAGTCGCTCCACACACACCCTTCAGAATGAGACTTCCGTACAGATCCAGATCGTCAGGTCCTCTGACCCTCCTTTTGTACTGGAGCCGATGGAACAGCGTCAGCAATACGGCAAACTAGTCTTTGGATCGTCTCCAGGTAAAAAGCGACAGATGGTTCACAGGGTCAAAAGAGACCCTCCTTGGGTCAGCGAGTTCAGCTTTTATTCTGAAAGGAACCGTTGCTTGGTTGGTAAAATGCTACAGATTTTATCCAGCTTGGTGGTTCTCAGCTTAAAATGGAAGTCCAGATGGCCGGTCCGATACTCCGCTTAGCATGCGGTGAACTCCAGTGAGATCTTGAGAACTGAACTAAGATGGTGTTGGAACTGGTTTTATTAATCTGGATGTTTTGAATTCTGGTCGAATCAAAGTTGGCAGATTTATAAACACCACAGAGACTATGCCACGCTTCAGAAAGGAAGGTTCTGATTGGATCAGTAACAGCAATGTGTCCTGCATTTACATTACATGTATCAGCGTGTCTAGTGACTAGATTAAAGTCATTTACTTATTAAAGCATATTAATCATAACATTGTTATTTCACAGATCGGTCAACATTATATTATTGACTAACAGTTGTTTTGATTAGCTTTATTAAAAATAGAGTTCTTTGATTTATTAAAAGAAAAGAGTCCTTTATCTTCATTCTTCTCTTGCTGGAAAGTAAACAGATTTAGAAGCAAATACATGACCTTGAGGCAGTCTCATGCACTCTAGTACTGTGTCAGAGGTATCTGTGGAGAGAGGTTAAATAACCTTGGAGGAATATCTCCTTCATCACGTTACATAAGGCAGTATAAACAAATACATAATTTAAGCAATGGACTTGAATTTACAGTAAATAAACTGCAAAATGAAATGTCAAATAACACTGCAAGCTGAGTTTAACCAGGTTTTTAAGGAAACGTGTCAAATTGCTTCGCAAGAAGTTAAAGCATCATTCTGGCTGATCCACTTACAAGAATAATGAAAAGATCTATTTCGTTATCTGGTGTTAGCAGTGAAACATCCTGTTTCCGCATGCTCACAGCTGGCTGATGGACTGGGACGCTGTTTCTCTCGTTTTCCTCCCCGTGCTCTCGCTCATCTCGTCTCGAGACCGATGCAGAGCCCTCCTGCAGATGTTTTTAATGGCCGGGCTGGAGAAGTAGTAAACCACAGGATCCAGCACGCTGTTGAGATAAGTCATACTAATGGTGATGTAGAAGACTGTGGTCAGGTGTTCTGTAGCGGCACAGTCATGGAATCCCTCCTTGATCCAGATCAGCAGCAGTGTGATGTTGCTCGGTAGGAAGCAGATGATAAACAGCACCACCACTACAATTATGAAATACAGAGCCTTCCTGAACTTTGCCTGCTGTGACAGCTGTCTCTTCCTGAGGTGGCTGGTGATGTGGAAGGTGCAGTAAAGAATCACTAGCAGAGGTACACAAAAGGAAACCAGGAATGTGAACTTGTGCCAGGACAGATTGCCTTGGAAGTTGGTATCAACCGCGAAGCTCTCGCAGCGGGTCGTATTGATGTGCTCCAGTGAGAAGACATGAACGTTCAGCAAAACGGGGGCCAGCCACATCCCAAGTGCTCCCAGCATGGCTTTGCCCACGCTTAGGGAGTTGATGGAATGGTGGGGATGCACCACGCGCATATACCTGTCCACAGCTATGGCCATCAAGAACAAGGTGCTCCCACTGCGGTTCAAGGCCAGCATGAAGAGGCAGATGTTGCAGAGGCCGCTCCCAAACATCCACTTGAGCTCAGAGAGGTAATAGCTGGCACGAAGAGGAATAGCCAGGATGAGCATGAAGTCAGTCACTGCCAGGTTGAAGAGGAGCACCGTGCTGCTTTTCCACGGCCTCAAGTGGAAGCAGAAGATGAACAGAGCCAAACCGTTTCCAGTGAGGCCCAAAATAAACTCCGTTACCAGCAGCGGAGGGAGCACCTGGATCAGCACAGGTGCACTGATGTTGCACAGCATGTTGAGTGGTTGGACTCTTTGAACGCAGATCAAAGTAGTGGCCCCATGAGGGCTGTCTGCTTTCTTTAAAGGGAAACAACAACACAGGGGAAAAAAAGGCTAGATGTGTGGTTGGCTTTTTTACAGGAAGCCAGATGCTTCTTATTTATAAATTAACTCAAAAAATTCTCCCCAATACTTAAAGATATCATTTTACCTGGGAAGAAGTTTTCAAAAGGTTAAAAGTATTTTAATATGAAAGTATTTTGCATAGTATAGGTTTTATTTTATTTTTTATTTCATTTGTCAAATGTCTAAAGATAATTTATACTATTTTAGTAAGAATCGACACCCATTTCTTACACTTTTTTTTAAAATCCAACTAAGATTTTTTTTTATCATTTCCAAGAACAGGCATGTATAGCTTGTAAATGTCAACTTGGTGGTAGGTTCTCATTTCCTTTTTCTGCTCTCGTGTGCTGTTCCAGAATTAAACTGAAACGTGATGACTACAGAGTAAAACCTGTTCTAAGAAAGAAAGCTCTGTACTAGACTACATCTAGTCACAGTTATGAGTCACTCTGGCTTATTCATGCTCTTTCCATATAAAGGAAACAAAACACCGATCATGTTTCTGCTGCAGCATGTGAAACTCTTAAAACCTAAAAGTCTACTGCTGCGCCTGCTGGTGGCAGCATCAGGCTGCAGTTGGAATCAAAGATGGAAGTCACAGAAAAAATGCATAAAATTTTGAAACCGCTGGTACAGAAGCAACATTTGTCTGCTGCCTCCAGACTTCAGGTGATATCTTCAGATTTGTTTTTGCTGTCTGAACAGATGAAATGCACAAATAAGGATTTTTTTCTAAAGCAAAGGTAAGAAGTTTCAAGTGTGTCATGCTGATGTATGTGTGAAGATGCTTTTGCTGCATTTAAACCAAAGTGTGAAACCCTGTCATGGGATTCATGATCTTATGGCTGAATTTAGTCATTGACACCTTTTTTTCTAACAGGAAGACCAGTGTGTGTCAAGACTTTCAGTGTTCGTATCTGTCTTTTCCAAAATGGTGACTGTGAATGCTACAACTCAAAAGAATTTAACAGTGAACCATTCCAGATTCAAAAATATTTATTTATTCGACATCCAAATAAACACAGATGTTTCAGCTCTTGACTTTCCTCATAGACGTCTCATGTATTTGTGCAGGACAACAGCTGAGCTGATAAAATATGAAGATTAGGGCGATAAAATGCTCAAAATATTAGATATGATATAGGTAGTTGTTCAGGTCACATTTAAGTTTACAACAAAGACCTATCAATTCATTCATTCTTTTCCACTTGTCTGGGATGGGGTCACAGGGCAGCAGCCTAAGTAGAGAAGCCCAGACTTCCCTCTCCCGAGCCACTTGGGCCAGTTCCTACTCAAAGCCCCTCTCGGATGACCAAACTTGTCACCCTATCTCTAATAGAGAGCCCAGACAGCCTGTGGAGAATTTTCATTTCGGCCGCTTGTATCCACGATCTCGTTTTTTCGGTCACTACCCAAAGCTTGTGACCATAGGTGAGGTAAGAATGTAGATCGACTGGTAAATTGAGAGCATCGCCTTCTGACTCAGCTCTCTCTTCACCACGACAGACCGGTACAAAGCCTGCATCACCTAACCCTAACCCTATCAATCTTGCGCTCCATCTTTTTGTCACTCGTGAACAAAACCCCAACATACGTAAACTCCACTTGAGGCAGGACCACATTCCTGACCTGGGGAAGGCATACTACCCTTTTCCAACTCTAGACCATGGTCTCGGATTTAAAGGAGCGGATTCTCATCCCAGCTGCTTCACACTTGGCTGTGAAAGCCAGAGATCACGTTCTGATGAAGCCAAAAGGACTGCGTCATCTGCAAAAAGCAGAGACCTGAACCTTAGGCCACCAAAACTGATGTCCTCAACACCTTGGCTGCACCTATTGTGTGTGTGTGCGTGTGTGGTTTTTATTGCCAGACTGTTTTTAAAATTCTGGGGATGGGAGGGAATGTGGGAATGCGGGGCCTTTTTAATTTGTTAAGCACTTTGATTTGCATGCATTGTAGGATTAAGTGCTATATAAATAAAGTTGACTGATAGAAATCCTGTCCATAAAAGGTATGAACAGAATCTGTGACAAAGGGCAGCCTTGGCGGAGTCCAATTCTCTCCGGAAACAAGCCTGACTTACTACTTACTGCCGGTAATGCGGACCAAGCACTGACACCGGTCATACAGGGACCTAACAGCCCGTAACAAAGAGCCTGGTACCACAAAGTGCCAAAGGGCCTCCTGAGGATGAACGCCTTCTCCAAATCAACAAAACACATTTAGATTGGCTGGACAAACTCTCACGCACCCTCCAGGACCCCCCTTAGGATATAGAGCTGGTCCAGTGTTCCACGGCCAGGACGAAAACCACATTTCTCCTCCTGATTCCGAGGTTCAACTATCCGACGAACTCTCTTCTCCAGAACTCCTGAATAGACTTTACCAGGGACGCTCAGGAGTGTAATCCCACTGATGTTGGAACGCATCCTGCGGTCCCTGTTTTTAAATAGGGGACCACCACCACGGTCTGCCAGTCCAGTGGAACTGCCCCTGATGTCCACGCAATATTGCAGGGCAACACAGACACAGAACAAACAATCATGCATGCACACACTCACATCTAGAGACAATTTAGAGAGACCAATAAACCTGACATATTTTTGGACTGTGGGAGGAAGCCGGAGTACCTGGAGAGAACCCACGCGTGCACAGGTAGAACATGCAAACTCCTTGCAGAGAGACACCAGGCTAGGAAGTGAACCCAGCACAACAGAGCAAAAGGTTTTGCAAAAAAAAAAATTTAAGGTAAAAGTTATTCAAGATCATGATCAGACAAGTGACCTCTTACAGAAGTTCTTGATGGCAGTAATATTTATTGTTTTCAAACCATTCATGCAGAGCCAAAAGGAAAACACTTCCTTCGTGACTAAATTACATTTTAATTTGTGCATTTCTGCTCACAGCTTGCAGTAGAGAACATCTGTTGACACAAATGGTTTATTGGTTTTTTTAGACTCACAAGAATAATCACATAGATGAAATGGTCCAGATTAGATTACAACTATCTCGTTAAAACAATTGCTGGTTTTAGGATTTTGTGTGAACATGCTGGCTGCTCATCTCAGGAAGGTTTATTTAATGTGTTTGGGTCATAAATTGATCTGTAGTGCTGTCTAGTGGTTAATATTTGACAGTGTTGAATTTAATAATTATGATGTGAGGGATTAAGCTAATAGCTTTTAACATTTTAATTATAAACTGTCATTTCAGACCTCACTTCAGTCAAATTAGCTGTTTAGTACAGGAACATGCAGTTGGAAAAGCAAAACAAGTGGCCTAATGTTTAAAAAGAAACTCAAAGGTTCACACAAACTTTTCCTGCATGACTTCATATGCTGTAACGTCAGTCACATTTTTTTCTCACACAAATCTTAGTTTTTTCATCCATGGCTGTGACTGGACAAGCCTCTCCAGACGTGTGTGTGTGTGTGTGTGTGTGTGTGTGTGTGTGTGTGTGTGTGTGTGTGTGTGTGTGTGTGTGTGTGTGTGTGTGTGTGTGTGTGTGTGTGTGTGTGTGTGTGTGTGTGTGTGTGTTTTAGACAAAGCAGCAAAAATGTGAAAAAGCCAGTTTGGCCTGCAGGACAGACTACATATCTCTGTTTCCACCCTGTTGTCTCGTCAGCCCTGGTGTATCTTTCACCTTCATACCTGCAAACAAAACATCACAGTAGCAACTCCACCCGGCAGGGGAGAGAAAAAATATAAAATGAAAGAAATTCCTGTCTTACAAGAGCCTTCTAACATGAATAAACATTTATTTCCTTTAACTGCCTACAGAAGCTGGCTCTTGGCACATGGAATGTCACCTCTCTGGTGGGGAAGGAGTTGGTGTGTGAGGTTGAGAGGTTCCGACTAGATATAGTCGGACTCACCTCAACGCATGGCTCTGGCTCTGGAACCAGTTTCCTTGAGAGGGGTTGGACTTTCTACCACTCTGGAGTTGCTCCAACTGAGAGGTGCCGAGCAGGGGTGGGCATACTAGTTGCCTCCCATCTTGGTGCCTGTACGTTGGGGGTTACCCCAGTGAATGAGAGGGTAGCCTCCCTCCACCTACGTGTGGGGGGGATGGGTTCTGACTGTGGTCTGTGCTTATGCACCAAACTACAGTTCAGACTACCCACCCTTTTTGGAGACCTTGGAGGGGGTGCTGGAAAGCGCTCCTTCCGGTGACTCCCTCGTTCTGCTGGGGGACTTTAACGCTCACGTGGGCAACGACAGTGAGACCTGGAGAGGTGAGGTTGGGAGGAACGGCCCCCCGATCTGAATTTGAGTGGTGTTTTGTTATTGGACTTGTATGCCAGTCATGGATTGTCCATAATGAACACCATGTTCAGACATAAAGGTGTCCATATATGCTCTTGGCACCATTACACCTTAGGCCACAGCTCGATGATCGACTTTGTTGTTGTTTCATCTGACCTGCGGCCGCATGTCTTGGACACTCGGGTGAATAGAAGGGTGGAGCTGTCAACTGACCACAATCTGGTGGTGAGTTGGCTCAGATGGTGGGGGAGGATGCCGGTCAGACCAGGCAGGTCCAAACCAAATGGAGGCGGGGGACATTGAGTCTGAATGGACCCTGTTCCGTGCCTCCATTGTTGAGGCGGCCGACCAGAGCTGTGGTCGCAGGATTGTCTGTGCCTGCCGTGGTGGCAACCCCTGAGCCTTCCTGGTAAGGTCTATTCAGGGGTTCTAGAGAGGAGGGTCCGTCGAATTGTTGAACCTCAGATTCAGAAGCAGCAATGTGGTTTTCGTCCTGACCGTGGAACACTGGACCAGCTCTATACCCTTAGGGGGATCCTGGAGGGTTCGTGGGAATTTGCCCAACCAGTCTACATGTGTTTTGTGGATTTGGAGAAGGCGTTTAGCCGTGTCCCTCGGGGGGCCCTGTGGGGGGTACTCCGGGAGTATGGGGTAACAGGCCCTCTGATACGGGCTGTTAGGTCCCTGTATGACTGGTGTCAGAGCTTGGTCCGCATTGCCGGCAGTAAGTCGGGCTCGTTCCCAGTGAGAGTTGGACTCTGCCAAGGCTGCCCTTTGTCACCGATTCTGTTCATTACCTTTATGGACAGGATTTCTAGGTGCAGCCAAGGTGTGGAGGGCATCCGATTTGGTGGTCTGAGGATCAGGTCTCTGCTTTTTGCAGATGATGTGGTCCTGTTGCTTCATCAGAACGTGATCTTCAGCTTTCGCTGGAGCGGTTCCCAGCTGAGTGTGAAGCAGGTGGGATGAGAATCAGCTCCTGTAATCCTGAGAACATGGTCTTGATTCAGAAAAGGGTAGAATGCCTCCTCCGGGCCAGGGATGAGATCCTGCCCCAAGTGGAGGAGTTTAAGTATCTCGGGGTCTTGTTCACTAGTGAGGGAAAATTGGAGAGTGAGATCGATAGGCGGATTGGTGCTGCATCTGCGGTCGTTGTACTGGTCTGTTGTGGTGAAGAGAGAGCTGAGTCAGAAGGTGAAGCTCTCGATTTACCGGTCGATCCATGTTCCTACCCTCACCTATGGTCATGATCTTTGGGTAGTGACCGAAAGAACGAGATCGCGGATACAAGCGGCCGAAATAAGTTTTCTCCGAAGAGTGGCTGGGCTCTCCCTTAGAGATGGGGTAAGAAGCTCGGTCATTCGGGAGGGGCTCGGGGTAGACCCGCTGCTCCTCCACATTGAGAGGAGCCAGTTGATCTGGTCAGGATGCCTCCTGGACGCCTCCCTGGTGAGGTTTTCCGGGCACATCCAACCGAGAGGAGACCTAAAGGTAGACCCAGGACACGGTGGAGGGACTATGTCCCTCACCTGGCCGGGGAACGCCTTGGGATTCCCCCAGAGGAGCTGGCCCAAGTGGCTGGGGAGAGAGAACTCTGGGCGTCTCACCTGAGGCTACTGCCCCCACGACCCGACTCCGGATAATCGGATGAAAATGGAAAATGGATGCCTACTGTCAGGTGTTTTTTGCTGATCCGCTGATGATTCTGCACAGATGATCAAGCATGGTGTGTTAAAAGCATAAAATGAAAGAATAAAATACAAAAATCCTGTTTGTTGGTTAATTTGTTTTTGAGAACTGTGCAAGGACAATGTAAGCTTGAGAGTTAAAATCTAGGTATTGAATATTTAATTTAAAAACTAGCTGTTTTTACCTTTTAAAATCACCTTCATCCCATACAGGCTCAAGTCTTACTGGGCATCAAACTCACAGACATCATATACTTAGACGCATCGTGGACTGATGCTGCCTATTGGAGCTGCTGTAGAGGTTGGGCTCCATCTGGGATGGCTTTCCATCCCCCAGTGTATTTATTTCTGCAAGAAATGTGTGTACTGAACTAAAAAAACACACATTTATTGTGCTTTTTCACAAAGTCAGTACTATCATGCCATACCATGTGGTATGGCATGATAGTTAAAATTTAGATTCAATAAATCATATAAATTAAAATATAAAATCCCTACAGGTAGGCTAGAAAAGTCAATAGTAGTCCCACATGATCTGTTTTCAATAGTGCTGATTGTTGCAACCATAGGCTGCACAAAAATAAGCATAGTTGCTCACCCTGCGTTGACTCCAGTTGGGTTTGGAGAGTCAGGTATCCATTCAATATGGCAGCAACATTGTTATGCTCTCCACCACCCAATAGCACATCTACGTATTTGTGTCTATGTTCAGACTATGGACTATACATGATTTGATAATAAATATGTCTTTTTTTTTGTATTTAGATTCTACATAATTTCACAATTTTTAGATTTAACAATTTTAATTTTTATATAAAAATATTCAGGTTACCCTAAGAGAGATGAAACTGAATCAAAATGTTTAGATGGAACCTCAATTTCAATATTTAAATGTATGTAGATTAGATTTTTAAAACTTATTTTACATACTATTATTCAAAGTTAATGGCAAAAATGTTTTTATGCAATCGGCACCCCATATAAGGGCATTTGCAGCTGCATACCTTTTGTTTTGTTTAAAAAAAACTGGTTTAGACAGCTCAAACCTTGCAAACTTTCGGCCAATCTCCAAATTACCGTTTTTGTCTAAGGTCCTTGAAAAGATTGTCTATTCACAGATTACAGCACACATGAATAGCTTTTCTCTGGTTGATGTGTTCCCGTCTAAGTTTAGGCCACTTCACAGTACCGAATCAGCCCTTCTTCGCGTGACCAATGACATCCTGGTGGCTTCTGACTCTGGGTCGCCTGTTTTGCTCTTACTATTAGATCTTTCTGCAGTATTTGATTGCATTGACCACGATATTTTGCTGGATAGACTTGAGTCATGGGTAGGGCTTAGGGGTACCTCACTTCAGTGGTTCTGCTCATATCTGTCAAACAGAGTTTTCAAGGTTCAGTTGGGTAATTGTTCCTCTACATTCCTTCCACTTCCATGGGCAGTCCCGCAGGGATCTGTGCTTGGGCCTCTCCTGTTTTCAATTTACATCCTCCCCCTGGGTTTCATCCTGAGGAAATATGGCCTGGGCTATCATATTTATGCAGATGATTGCCAGATCTACCTGGCTTTGAACAAACCAGGCTCCCTCTCTCTTCTGGACCAATGTTTGGCTGAAGTGAGGGTTTGGCTTGCCAACAATTTCCTTAAGCTAAACGATTCTAAGTCTGAGGCACTCCTGATGACCCCTAACAAAACCACACGCGTATCTTCTGATTTGGCCACTCTCCCTTTTGACCTCAAGCAGTGTGTTACCTACCTGGGGGTGAAACTGGATACACACTTTTCCATGGGCCCTCAGATTAATGCAGTGGTCAGATCGTGTTTTTATCAGCTGCGCAGACTAGTTCGCTTAATACCGATCCTGAAACGGGCACACCTGGAATCTGTAATTCATGCTTTTATCATCTCCCGACTGGATTATGCAAATTCCATTTTAATTGGTTTACCTGCCTCCGCTCTTAACAGGCTTCAGGTAGCACAGAACATGGCAGCCAGGTTTTTAACACCCCTAGAAGAGACCATATCACACCTGTACTGGTACGGCTCCACTGGCTACCCGTAAACTTTAGAGTCAAGTTTAAAATCCTGACTTTTGTTTTTAAGGCCCTGAACGGTCTGGCTCCGGAATACCTGTCGGATCTTGTCACTCGTTATGTGCCAAACTGGGCGTTGAGGTCTGCTGATTGCCTGCTGCTTCGTGTTCCATCAATGAAATACAAAACGCGGGGGCAGCGTGCTTTTGTCTACGCTGCTCCGACACTCTGGAATGCTCTTCCTCTTTCAGTGAGGCTGGCACCATCCCTCCTCCGGTTCAAGTCGCTGCTTAAGGCTCACTTTTACGACCAGGCATTTTTAAATCCCAGACTTTTATTATTTTACTATGTGTCTTTTTATTAACTGTGATTATCTGCCTTGTTGTGCATTTTATTGTTGACTGTATTGTTTTATATTGTGTTTTTACTTTTTATTCTGTACAGCACTTTGGTCGGCTGCCATGCCGTTTTTAAATGTGCTTTATAAATAAAGTTGGTATGGTATGGTATGGTTCAGTAAAATTACCATTTTAATTACTCACAATTTATTTTATTTCCATTACGAAATCCAAAGCCGAGTGAAGTGTCACCTCCACCCACCCACCAGTGATTCATGCCTGAGTTTAATTTCTTGTTTTGTGTCATTGCTGCATTTTAAACCCAGCTGCTGTTGAATGATTATCACCAAAGAAGCAGGAGATAATCCGAAACCTCAGTGATGTGGAGGAAAACCTGCCTGTAGATGGATGATGATGATAATGAATATCCCGTCCCCACCTTTTGGGGGCGGATCCGCCTACGTCACACAATCACTCTCCTACGTCTTCCTCTTCCCTTCAGTCGCGGCGCATCAGCAGTAATGAGGCTGCAGCTCGGAGATGTACTTGACCCACTCAACACGGAGTCTAGTTAGAACAGCCAGCAGCAGTTTGGACCTTTCTTGTGTTTGTCGGAGATTAGTAATCATCACTGAAGCCGTCGGTACCGCCTGATAGGATGAACACCATTCACACGCGCGTGAAAAGCAAGCGGACCGAGGCGCACCTCGGAGCGGAGAGGGATAATTTTGACAAGCAGCAGGTAAACAGAGAGGACGGGTGGTTCTGGTTCTGCTGGGATGACCTGGGCTTAATTTGGGGCCTGCTGGGGCTTTACCGCATAGGCCACATTCACTGTCACCCAATTAACTGAACCATTTGATGTTTTAAGCTCACAAAAGCCTTTAGCTTCGTTATATTAACTTAAAAACAGAAATGATGAGTAACTGGGTTCGTGTCATTTCTTTGGTCAAACCTTTAACTGTAAAATGTCCCTTTGTAGTAATAAAAGTTAACTGGTGTTTTTGACATGCAGACTGAATGCCAGTGCTGTCACGGCATTCATTCCTCCCCACACCAGTCTAGTCCTTCCTGTTTGGCCACCTTTCTCCTATGACTGGTCTGGCATTGCTCTCTCTCTCTCTTTGGATTGAACACTTCAATTCTTCATCCCACAGGTGTGATGTGACACTTTTAGTTGCCTTTCACTGTAGTAAAACACCTCAATGTGACAAAAATGTGATTCAAAGAAGGCCGAGTAATAAAATCAAACAGTAGAACAGCTGGCTCTTCGGCACCTTCTGTGTTTTGTTATCTTAAAAGGGCAAAGCTTTTCCCTCGCCCAGCGTCTCTTCCTGTAAATGTTTTATTTGCCTTTGAATCACAGAGAGGAGAAGCTGAGGTGGTCAAACCTTTTCAGATTTGCCACCCTTGACATTTCTTAAATATTTTCTTTAAATGAGTTGCTAATATATTAAAACCACCGGTTTGATATACATATATCACAAATTCAAAACGTATTTTGAGTTATGTACAAATTGCGCAAACCCAAGATGACAACAGCAGTTTGAGGAGTCGATTAAAACCTGTTACACAAGTGTACGACGAAATGTGCACACCCCTGCATTAATTTTGGCCGGCTGTGATCATTGTTGCAATCAGATTGTTTCTTTATCTTGAAGACAAAAATAGCAGGATGAAAGATGACTATTTCTCCATCTGTAGATTACTTTTCTCTGTCTGCTGCACTCCCTTCCTTTGCTGTGGGTTAATCACACCAGATGTTTATCTCGAGTCACAACTGATTTAGTGTGAAACGCCACACGGATACCACTGTCCAAGATTCGGTGCCTGTTAGACAAAGAAAGCTTTATGTGCAATTAAATCGAGATGGCAAATGCGTGGTAGTTAAAGATGCTTATTTTCAAAAACAGTCAGTTTTAGGGGCAAACTGTTCCACAATCTGGGAGCCAGGCCTGAAAGTCTCAGCCCCCTTTAGTTTTCAAATTCGCCAGAACATTATCTTGATGGTCCTACAGACTTTTTGAAAAGCATTCTGTGAGCTGATGGACAAAAGTGGAATGCATTCCAGAAAAACAAACCAGAAGTTAAACATGGTGGTGGTAGGGTGATGGTCTGAAAAAGAATAAATGATCGTGCCTCTGAAGATAAAAATCACAAGGCGCTTCACAAGAACAAAATTTAAAAAATAGAGGTTTTAAAATATCAAAATTGGGAAAAGTGGGGAAAAAAAGAACAGAGTTGTTGTAACTGATGGAACAATTGTCTTACCTTTGACCTTAAACCGGCTGTTGGTGCTATGAAAATAAACTGTAATTCGGCTGAATTCTTCCTCCTGCCTAAAGTTTAGGTGGTCAGGTTGGTTTGAAGAGTTTTCTATGCCTTATAAATGACATCATTGTCATTTCTAAACTGCATTCTGTCTGCTCAGGTCGTCTTTGTCTGATATTGGAATTTATTTGCTGATCTGGTACAAATAACTGCCAAGAAAACTTGATTGGACAAAAAAAAACTATATTTGAGTCTTGTTTATGGCTCAGGTCATAAACCCGAGCACTACCCGACTATTGTTTCAGCAGAACGACCATCTACAGACCTACGTTTCTCTCTCTGGTTGTACAAACACTGTTTTAACTCTGGTTCCCGTCTACCTCCGGACCACACAGTAAACCTTTTCACATGCCATGCTCAAGGCAGGACTGATGCACCTTTATTGCAAATCCACGCCTTGTTTGTAAAGCGAAGACGTGGAATGGGAAGGTCAGCACTTATACGTCAGCAGGGAAAGTTCACCCAACCAAAACAGTCTGCGTTTGTCCGCACACCTCGACACGACCCTAAGCTGCCTCTGTTCGCTCTCTGAGAAATGTCAAACGGGAGCGGCTGTGGCTTTACTTGTTTCCTGATGAGGAAACAAATGAGTAGTTTTCCTTTTAAAAAAACTGGAAAACAAAAGCAGGCTTACAGGTGAGCAACACATTTCAAAGAGAAAGGGGGCTGAACCCTGTATCCATGTTTAAATGACACTGCAGACTTTATTTACTGCAGCTCTTTTCAATGGATTCACTGGGCAACATGCAAATGAGGTGGAGAATGAATCTGACATCCTGACTTGGAAATCCGATTACTCCCAATAGAGAACGGCTTTTCCTGAGTGAAAAAATTGAATCGTTTTTAGTTGATAAATCAGCTGATTTTAGCCTCCTGTTGACCGAAACTCCTCTACTGCACATTGTTTCTGCTCTTTATTGTGACCTCTATATGTGTGTGTGTGTGTGTGCGTGTGTGTGTGTGTGTGTGTTTGCTTTCTTTTTCCTCCTGTTGCCTGAGCAAGCACCCATCAGGGATAGAAGAGGGGGATGGGAGTCCTGTAGAGGGTAAACACAGCCTCTAAAGTGGGAGTGAAGACTGAATTAAAAGCACAGAAATTAATTTATTCACTTGTGGGATTTTGTCCACATAATTGATAAATCAGATAAAATGAAAGTGTTGAACACTGAAAACCTGTTTTTTAAATCTGGTTATTATCAGTCACTCTGAGTTTTTCATGCAGCTTGAACATGAAAATAGTCTCTTACACCTTTCTCCAGCATTAGCTTCTGATAGAAAATAGACGGTAGAACGCTAGGATTTGAAAAACCTGACAGATCTAGGTCACACTGCCACTTGATATTCATGGACCTGCCCATCTTGGCTCATGATGGGGAAAGCTTGTTGGTTTAGCATCCAGGAAACAAAAGGACCTTCTCCTTTTGATGTGAACTTTTTCAGTTTGTAAATGAGCATATGTGGTTTATGGTGTCATCGATGGGTTTTATTAGTGTTTCCTGTGTGTGCACTACAATAGTAGGTGAAGTGGTGAGAAACGACACATCCACTGAGTTCATGTCAGGGTTATTGGCTGCAGTAGTTTAGCCAGAAAAGAGACACAAAATAGAAAATCTGCACGTTGCAGACTTGTTTGATGGATGGTGGAATAATGAATTTAAGAACTAAAATCTGAGCACTTTGTGCCCTGCTAGGACGCATCGTGACTCTAACCTGAGCGACTGGGTGCGAGCTGTGCAGAAGTCTGTGACCTTGTAGGCCAGATCCCGAGCAGCAGACTGTTGAATTAAGCAGATAAAGATCCGTAATAAATGCTCTTAGCTCAGGGCTTTATGTGCACAGAGAAGCAGCGGAGATGCAGTACTTTGACTTCCATCGATGTTTTAAAACAAACTTATGGACCCCCTGCTGAAAACCAAAGGGGACATGGTGAGCCACGACACCTCATTAAATCAACTTTCACTGTGTGTGTGTGTGTGTGTGTGTGTGTGTGTGTGTGTGTGTGTGTGTGTGTGTGTGTGTGTGTGTGTGTGTGTGTGTGTGTGTTACCGTGCTAATGCTTGCTGGCATTAGACCTTACGGTAGGTTTCAGATTCATCTGGGGCTCTCGCTGTCCTTCCTGCTGGTCCAGGAGTGAGGTGTTTGCTGTCATTTATCTTATATTTTTGGAGACAAACAAAAGTTTGACAACTGAAGTGAGACCATAGCTTATAGTATTCTGTATTCAACCACCTTCCAGCTCGTTTTGGATTTTGACGCCCTGCTTTCCGTCCCTTCTTGACCGGCAGCCATGCTGAATGTTCGATGAGGTTCCCTGTAGCTTCGCTGCTCAGCAGCCATCTGTTGGGGCTTCTGTGCCAGGCTCTGTATGCCAGAGTGCTTCCCCCCCGTCCAACCCAATCTTCTACCCCTGCTGTCTGCCTCCTCCCCCCAACAAACCCCTCATTGTCACACAGACATCCACGCCGGCCCCCTTCACTCGCGCTGAGTAAACGAGGGGCTCGCATTTGATTTGAGCCAGAAAGGAGGCAGAAGGATGGTTCTTATTAATCTGTGGAGCTCGAGGCTCAGTCCGAGTTACTGTTTTTGAAGAGAGCTTCAGAATAAATTAAGACCTCTCTGTCTTAATCTGTGAAGTTTTCAACAAGGTAATGGATATGATTTATTTTTAAAAAGACCAAATAACACAAACAACCTCAATCAATAGATGTTTTGGAGCCGTTTGGGATTTTAATTGGGAACATAAGACTGAACATGATGCTAGTAATACCAGAGCAGTTAATGGGATAATTAGTCTTGGCATATATTTTGACATTTCCACAGACGTTGGTTTTTCCAGCTTTCTGGCTTTGTCTTAGACAAATTATTAAAAATCTATTTCTTTTGAGCCCATACTGCAACATGAGGTACATTCTGGCAGCAATCCAGTTTAAAAGTACAAAAAAAAGAACTAAAGTATTGTGGTGGGTTGTACTGGCTCAACCATTTGATCCTTTATTTGGTGTTTGTTGTATCTGAAGTGGGTTAAAACCAGGAGAATAGAGGTCCTGCATTGTCTTGTTTTGTCCATCCCATCCTGCTCATTCTCAGCAGAGCTGGCTTTACCTGCAGAACCAGTTGAAAAGCAGCTTGTTCAGTGTCTCGTGGTGACGCACCATCCATTCTCCCAGGTTCATTAAAGGTGTCGCATTTTGAATTGGTGTTTGACCCAAGTTTTCACAGAAACCTTGAACCTATTGTTTCATAAAGGCGGCACCAGTGCTGCCTATTTATTTCTGTTGTATAACACAGATCTGCTCATCATGGACGTTTCAATGACGAGATAACATTTGGGTGATTTTAAAGTAAGCAGCTTTCTCTCTATGATCAATTAGTAAATCTGTACTGAATGTACATTAAACTAAGCCATTATTGCTGTTGCTTCAAAACAGTTGGATCCTGTTGATGCATGTTTGTGTTGCATTCATCATCACATATTGGTGGTTTTAGTTTTTTTTTTTGTACTTTAAACTGATCAGGCCCTGCTCTGCACTTTGACCACCTGATGTAATTTTAAAAGCATGAAAACAACGTTTAAACATGTGTTTAGTGCTTTAAAATACACCAGACATCACATGACTGTTGTTGCATGGGTTGTAGGTGGTCCTATAGCTGGTTATGTGGGTGAAAAATAATTAGATTTTGCCACATTTTCATATTATTAAAATAATTTTCTTGAGCCATTATGTGCTAAAGTGACCCTTTACAGGATTAATGAAAGGCCACCTTGCCCCTATCGCCCTGTGGCCAGAATATTCCACAGAGTGGGCTGCTCTGTTGGGACTTGCCAACAGCTGACATACCTGGTGCTGCAGTCTGCTTCCAGCACATTTCCTGCATGTTTTAGGTCACGAACACAGCTGATTTGTTTAATTTAGTGATGAATCACTCTTGTAGACGCTTTTGAACGCTGGGAGACGTTTCAGCAGTTAGACTAAGGTGTTAAAAAGACAAATGCACAGCCGAGGAGATACGTTTTGCTTTCGGTTCTACAAACTTAGACTAGGGGGTGCTAAAAGCAAGCCAAAACTGCCTAGTTCTAGCCTGGCAAGCCAGACTAAATAAATGTATTATTTAGTTGCCAGACTAAATAAATGTATTATTTAGTCTGGCAACGCTCCATTGACGGCTCTCGGTTGTGGGGCGGGTTCTACCGTTGTCTTTCAAATGATCTCCGCATGCCACTGGACAATGAATGTGACATACTCTTGTTTCACTCTGTTGCATCATTCCACCCACCAGGCATATAGAGTGCCCTGATTGGCCCACAAAGCGGATAAAGCTCTGTGATTTGTTCACTAAGCAGACAGAGCACTATGATTGGGCCACCATTATGGACCAATCACAGCTCTTTATGTGTGTGAAACCCCTCTAGAGAGCTGTGATTGGCCAGCCAGAATGCTGTTGGGGCTGCAGAGGTTCCAGTGGAGCGTTCCTAGACCAAACTTTGCAAAGCAAGAATTTGGTCTAGTTTACTAGGCTAGCCTAGTTCCCCAATAACATCTAATACAACTTTTTTTTCTCCTTCTTTCAGCTCAGCAGCATCAGCAAAGCCATAAACTCCACAGAAACGCCCGTGAAGGAGAAACATGCACGCCGTATCCTTAATTTTTTTAATTTATTAATAATTATTATTTAACAAAACTGTGACCAAGAAGCACTTCTTGCACTAAGAAAGGCTATTTAAGTGATGCACCTATGTGTGCTTTTAAAGTTAATGTCTTATGCAGACACAGTTGAAGCACACTGGACTTTTATCAACAGTCTTGATAGCCAATAAAAGGCTCTCTGGAACTACTTGTGTAGAATGTGATTTTGGATGTAATCATCACAAAGCTGCAATTTGGAACAAAATGCTTTTGCAATTCCAATCCGACTCCTTTGATAGAGAAAGCAGAGAAAGTCAGACTGATACTAGTGGTGTTTGAAGGTTATTTCTTAAGCTGTAACCAAAATCAGGGATGAAATTTGATAGCAGACAGGCATAATAAAATGCTGATTATGAAATTCAGTAGTTGCACATGTCCAGTTGTATCGGCTGTGATTCTGTGGTAGACTTTTTAAATTATTCCTGAATGATGAAAACAGGAATCATCCTGGGGACACACAGGGAGAAGGGAGCCTACACCTTCTGGTCCTACGCCCAGGGCTTTCCTCTGGCCAGCAGCTCCATCCTGGGCTGGAAGTTCTGTCACGTACTGCACAAAATCCTGAGAGATGGACATCATAATGTAAGGACCAGAGCCCCTAATCCCCTTGTTGCTAAACTCTACAAAGCACCAGACATTGCATGGTTAAATGTTTGTCCAACCCTCATAGGTGCTACAAGACTGCATGAGACATCACAGTTCTCTGGTTGAAGTTGGAAAACTATGGGTGAGTCCCAGAATCTCTTCCTAAACCTTTTACTTAAAGTTAAATCTATTCCAAGAGTTAATTTGTGTTTTTCTTCTCCTGCGGTTTTCAGGGTCAGATCCATGACAAATATGGACAGCTGGTGGTTCTGTACACCAAGCTGCTCTGCAAAAAACTGGAGTTTCATTCAAAGGTAAATGAATTTCCGGTGCCTTTATTGAAGTAAAACTTTAACTCGAGCTAAATTTAGGATTTTTCACTTGCCTAGCATGCAGAAATCCCCCCAAACCTGGAGGTCACAGATGAAGTCCTCGAGCGAACTGCAGGTTCAGACGTTAGTAATGTGTACGTATCAAAACTTTGGTAAAGTAACAGCTGGTTTAGGGATTGGTTGCTCATCTGTTGTGTGAGCCTCATTACTTTTGACATTTCAGTAGTTCGGTGCAGCATTGTGCCGTGTGTGAGGCTTCCTTTCTATTTAACAAAGATATCAACTTCTGTTCTGCAGGTTCCAGCTCACAGTGGAGGTGTTTGATTACATGGACACAGAGCTGCGACTGGCCGAGACAGGTGAAAGCTAAAACTCCTCCTACCTTTTCCCTCATCAGGGCTCTCCAAACAGGAGAAACCTGAACCTCTGGCATTATCTATTGATGCGCAAAAGAGCTAACGTAGGAAGCTATTGGTTTGCTTTTTTTTTTTTTTAACAGACTCTGATCAGTGACTTGAATTGAAAAAGGGTAGAGTGCCTTCTCCAGGTCAGGGACGAGGTTCTGCCTCAAGTGGAGGAGTTTTAGTATCTCGGGGTCTTGTTCATGAGTGAGGGGAAAAATGGAGTGTGAGATCGTCAGGCAGATTGGTGCCGAGTCTGCACTGATGTGGGCGTTGTACCGATCTGTCGTAGTGAAGAGAAAACTGAACCGGAAGGCAAAGCTCGATTTATTGGTCGAGCTATGTTCCTACCCTCACCTATGGTCACGAGCTTTTGGTGGTGACCAAAAGAACGAGATATTGGATACAAGCGGTCAAAATGAGTTTTCTCCGCAGAGTGGCTGGGCTCTCCCTTAGAGATAGGGTGAGAAGCTTTGTCATCCGAGAGGGGCTCGGAGTAGATCTGCTGCTTCGCCACATCGAGAGGAGCCAGTTGAGGTGGCTCATGCTTCTGGTCAGGATGCCTCTTGGACGCCTGCCTGGTGAGGTTTTCCAGGCACGTCCAACTGGGAGGTGGCCCCAAGGGAATACTCAGGACACGCTGTAGGGACTATGTCTCTTGGCTGGCCAGGGAACACCTTGGGATTCCCCCGGAGGAGCTGGCCCAAGTGGCTGGGGAGACGGAAGTCTGGGCCTCTCGACTTGGGCTACTGCCCCCGCGACCCGACTCCGGATAAGTGGCTGAAAATGGATGGTTAATTAGCGACTTGGTCTAGTTTGAACTCTGCTTTGTTTTTGATTTTTACTGGTAAGGAAATGCCTGTACTCATTACAGCGATTTCCTCCTATTTAGCGGTAATGACATCTTCCTCCTGCATCTGCAGGGTGGAGGCTCAGAACTAAATTTGCAGCATGTTGAGGATAAATATAGGTCACAACCTTGGTTAAGGATTTAAATTTTCGAGTAAAAATGTAAAAACTGAGAGTGACCTGGTGTTTCTTTTTCCTCAGCAGAGCTGTTTTAGGATTGGGTTGGTTTAAATATTGCAATGAGCCCACATTAATTATCCATGGAGGTTTGGACACTTTTGTGAGAACACCGTTGACCTGCACAAAAACGTTTAAAAACAAAAGACTGAAAACTCTTAAGACACCTAAATGTGGCATTTTTTTCCCATTTTTGATTATTTTCCTACAGTGTTGCGGCAATTGAACTCGTCCATTGCCGTTAGCAGTCTTACATCAGGTCAGTGCCGCCTGGCTCCCCTCATCCAGGTCATTCAAGACTCCAGCCAGCTCTACCACTTCACAGTCAAGCTGCTGTTCAAGCTGCATGCCTGTAAGAATACCCGTCATCCCCAAATAACGCTTTATGGAAGTGGAATCTTTGTTTATCTGTGTCTCAAATTTGCCTGATCATTTCAGGTCTCCCTGCTGATACCCTACAAGGTCATCGCGATCGTTTCCGCGAGCAGTTCAACAGGTAAGCCAATCCTTTAGAATCATTACATCAAAGTTTTCATTTAAGCCAAAAATATGCAATCCTGGATGATCCTCTACCCAGTAACCACGGCACCAATCACACGCCCCACCTTCTGTCATGGTGTTACAGTCGCATACTTTTTCTGTTGTGCCTTTTGGGTTCAGTGAAAGTCCTTCGAGGGTAATTTGTCCCACACTGAACAGCTGTGATTGTGACATTTTTTATATAGTTTGCTTTAACCTACCTCATTTATGAACAGCGGTGCCTCCAAGGGGTGGCCAAATGTGCCCCCCCCCCCACCCCCACCCCCGGCAAAATCTTTGGCCAACCCCCTTAATAAATCACATTCATCTTTAATCAAATAAGTGTTAAAGGGAAAAAAATACATTTATTTAATTTAATTTTGTTTAATCAATCACAATTTAGATATATAAAAATGTCACTGATGCTCACCATTTCCCCCCTAAATGTTTACGGTAAATGTGTTGGATGTATTTGTGTTTTTTCTTTTTAATGAAAAATAATGAAAGAGCAACACTGCACAGCTACAAGCTAACTCTACCAGAGTTGCCAAGGGGACCAACTTGGTGTGCCTTCCTAAAAATGTCACTGGCCCCCCTATGAAAATGTTTTTGGTGCACCACTGATTATGAAAGATTATACCTAAATGATGCATATCAGCGACAGCAGCCTGTGTAATGCTCAGTATTTTGTGCATTAACATGAGGTGACTAATGGATGTTTTCCTTTATTCAGTCTTAAGAACTTCTTTAACAGAACCAGAGAGATGGTGTTCTTTAAGAGACTGATCCAGATTCCCAGGCTGCCTGATGTAAGTGCTGCTGAGTCAGGTCCTCATTCTTTTCACCTGATGCAGCTACTTTATTTCTTGCAAGCGTATTATTTATAAAGTCACTTATTTTTTGCTGAGTTTTACTCAGACCGTGTTTGTGAGTAAAAAGTAATGTTCAGCTTTATTTTCCACCAGCTCTGAATGGTACTAATACCTTGTCCTTCTGCCATCAGTCTCCGCCTAACTTCCTGCACGCAGCCTCCCTGGCCAAACACGTCAAGCCGGTGGTGGTCATCCCTGATGATGACGAACCAGAACAAGATGAAGATGATGAACCAGAGCCGCTCGTTGAAGTCAGTCACACCTCAGCATCTAATGTTCAGACACAGCCACAGGTATGGGAACCCAGTCACAGATGTTTTCAACAGTTTTTTTTTCTTTAACCTTTTTTCTAATCTATTTTTCTTATTCAGCAAATGGACATATTCGATCAGACATTTGGACCTCCAAATGGCGGCTTTGATGAAAGGTGAGCCACATTTGTTTTCTTTCCCTCTGCATGGTTTGGCTTTTGAGTGTTGATGGTGGGTTTGCTGTCCAACAGGGATCTGCAGATCGAGTGCCTGAAGACGGAGCTTGAAATGTTGAGAGCGGACCTGGAGAGGATGAAATCAGAGGTAAGATTTGCTGAGTAGCCTGGTGCTTGAGAGTCAGCCTTCTTTTCCCTTGTTTGTGTAACAATAAAAGGCACAGTGATCTATGTGCACAGGAATCTGGGTCATGCTGCTTCTGAGCATGTAGAATGTACCAAGTAATCTCTAAAAGGAGTTACACAAGTCCTCTTGAGAAGTTTAGTTTGAATTGAAATGATTTAAATTTCATGACTATGTTTCTGCTGCATAATAAAAAATTCCCACTTTAAGTCTTTACTGCGTCTAAATTGCATTTTGTGTTGCAAAAGGCTCAACGCTATGTCACGCAGCTCAAATCCCAAATCAACAGTTTGGAGGCCGAATTGGATGAGCAGCGCGTGCAGAAACAGCGTGCTCTTGTGGAAAACGAGCAGCTGCGCATGGAGCTGGACACAACGCACCTTCGAATTGCAGAACACGAGAGCTTACAGATCACCTTCATCGAGGCGGAGAGTAAGTTGTGCCTTGAAATCCCATTTTGACCAGAAATTGCTGTGATCACAAGCATGATTACACGTTTGTTATCTTCGTTTGTTCAGAAAAGGCTCAGGCCACCGAGCAGCGTTACAACAAGCTGAAAGAGAAGCACACCGAACTGGTGGCCAGCCACGCTGAGCTGCTCCGCAGGGTATAGGCTCCAGACCAGTTAAGGTGTATCTGCTTTCAATTACACGTCAGCACCTGGCCTGAAATGTGTTAATGTGCTAACAGAGTGCAGACACTGTGAAGATGCTGTCGGTAACCCAGCAGACCCAGGAGGAAGTGGAGAGGACCAAACACCAGCTGTCCTTTGAGGTGGAACGGATCAAACAGGAGTCAGAGATGAAGGTTGGTTTGGGTTTTTAGGGACTTTATGGATGTAGATGATGGAATTTTTTTAAAACTAAGTAATGTTTCTATAGTTAGAAGAGCAGAGGTTTGAGGTGGAGCGAGTGAGAAGAGAGCTGCAGGAGAAGATGGCAGAAGTGATGCATATCAAAGCAAATCTGCAAAGCAGTGAAAAGGTGAGCGTGCATCTGGGGTTGCTTCATTGATTTAGTAATCAGAGGTTTCATCGTCCCTGCTCAAGGCGAGAGCCGTTTCCGGATGGACATCTCCTCCGTCTCAGCCATCTTCCCTTTCTGGCAACTCTCATTGCTCTTTTTCTTTTTCTTTGACAGACGTCGGAGCAAATGAGCAGCTCAATGACAGCTCTGCAAGCGGAGAAGGAGCGTCTGATGCGATCTGTGAGTGAGAAGGAGGCGGAGCTGTCGTCTCTGCGGCAGGCGTCGCAGCTGCAGCAGTCGTCACTTCAGCAGGAGCGAGAGAGGAGCAGCAGGGAGCTGGGAGAGCTGCAGGGCAAGCTGAAGGAGAAGGTCAGTCAGGACGGTGGAGCCTGAACACTCTGCAGTGCAGACATTTGTCTTCTCGCAGCAGCATTTTTGATTGCTTTATTAAAAGCACATTGAATCATAAATTTTGGTTTTGAACAAGTTGTTTTTATGTTTAGATGTTTATTTTACGCAAAGATAAGTTAATTTTCCGACTAAGGATGAACAAAGGGATGCTTGATGGGTTTTTTAAAATACTAGTTCATTCAGCCATCTTATTCTGCCATGATAAAAGCTCTAAAGAGCTCTTCAGATCACAAAAACAGGCCTGTGAATGAAGTCTTTAACAGAAGGGTCAATAGCTGGAAAGGGGCCATATAGAAGTTGTCCACATGTAGCATCCATAACTGGCAACCGCTTAACTCATTCACTGCCATTGACAACTAAAGTCGTCATTTTAAACCCAACCGTTCACTGCCAATGACGATTAAAGTCGTCATATGCATTTTTTTTACTGTGTGGGCATCGGAACGAGCCCCCACACTGTGAGAAAAAACATCTTAGCTCTTCTTAAAAAAACTGTAAAAACAGTGAGGAACGCTGGCATCAAATGAGTTAAAAAGGATGAAGGAGACGGGCTGTAAAGCAGGATGTGGGTGAATTTGTATATCTGGACTTTTGTTGTTACAGCACAAGCTTAGAAATGAATCATAAACATATGAGTGACATCTTTTCATCCAACACGATCATGGGATGTTGCCGTATTAGACGGACTTTTACTTTGTATTTCAGACTGAAGAATTTCAAGTCCAATGCTTTTTTTCCTATGGGGTTTGAGCCGGTTAGGAAATGTCAGTGAAAATCTTCTGTTCCGTGTTATTCCCAAAACAGTCGTGTCCAAAACATCAGCTGACATTGTTCACTTTTTGTTTATCAAACATTACCTGTTACAATAAAGTTGGAAATATGCAGAATTACTGTTGTGACAGTCCAGAGAAGAGTTACAGATTTTTTTTTACTGTTCTGAACATATTATTTGTAATAATTAGAAAATTCTTGAAAAAATATTTGAAAGGCCTGCCAGCCTGCACAGTTAAACGTTTTTTTGCAATTTTTTTCCTAACAAGGTTGCCACGGTAACTCGAAACACTTTGAAAAGCTATGTTTGGATGAGCACCCCAAAACCATATTGAGTCACCCCAAAATAGTTATTATTATACTCATTATCATTATTAATAGTAATAATCTAAAATGCTTTTAATGTGAGGATTGTGTATTCGTAGCTGGGTGGGTATCATTAAATGCTTGGATACATGCATATGCAGTCTAGCGTTGGAACAATTATGTAATCATGCCTGTTTATGTGTTCTGTTTTGTTTGTTTTAAACAGACGAGCCAAGAAGAGCAGATGAAGAAGAAGCTTCTGGAAGAGCAGTTTGCTTTGCTGCAGGGAGCCATAGCAGAAGCTGAAAACATCATCCAGGATGCTGCTGCCAAGCTGGATGATCCTCTCCACATACGCTGCACCAGCTCTCCGGGTCAGACCACCTCTGATGTTTCAAACTGAAATAAACCCATTACCAACAGATGAAATTAAAAAGAGAACACAAACTGATCTTTATTTCACATGGCTATGTGTTTGATTTAACTTTTTAATGTAACGCTCTGGCTCTCGTTCAAACAGATTACCTCATAAACCGGGCAGAGGCCACGCTGAGCTCCATCGACAAAGTGAAAAAGGGCCATGCAGATTATCTGCATAACATGTTTGGTGAGTTTCTCTAATTTCTAATTTAACTTGACCTCGAAACACCGTGTTCTAAATTCATCTGGTTTTCTAAAGATGCTTCTTTCTTCCTTTCTTCTTGTAACCAGATGCTGGAGGACTGCTGAGAGCTCTGACCCAGTTCTCTCACTTGGCTGCGGACACAATCGTTAACGGCAGCGCTACCGCACACATGGCACCCACTGATCACGCAGATAGTAAGAAGAATATCAATTTCCCTTTTATTACTTGTGCATTCTCCACGGCATTTATTAACAGAGAAAACAAATATTAGTTTACTAATAACACTCTCAGATCCATAGAAACAATTTTGGATACAAGATTGTTTCTGAACAGAAAATGCAGAAGTGTGAGCATTTGATGCCCTACAGGACTGACGGAAAATTGCAGAAGCTGTGCCACACAGAGTCTTGATTACCTGAAGGATTTGAAGTCCAAGGACACCCTCCAGAAGGCAGATCCAGCTTCTGTTCGCATAATCGTACAGAAGATCCTGCATTTGGGTCAGGTGAGAGAAATCTGAACAGACCTGCAGGTTTTTGTGGTGCAGTGTGACATTTGAGTCTAATTTATAGAAGTTTGGTGGCAGAATGCATCACTGCTAAATGTTTCAGTCCGAGGAATCCTCAGGAATCTGCTGCAAATAAAGACCAACTGTGCGTTATATTTAACTCACCTTTTGAGAGTTTCTGCAACTTCTGGTTTGCTTTAAAAACACACTCCAGCAATCCAGCTGCTGCCCAGACAAAGAAACCCATCCATATCCCCATAAATCCACTCATCCATTATAATCATAAAAAAAATGAAGCGAAATAAAGGGAGAAATGGAAAATGTAAAGAATGAAAACAATAAAACAGTATAAGTCTGTGCAAAGTTATGCATTTTAAAGGTTCTATGGGGGAAAATGAGCTTCAAAAATTGTGCAAAGATGCAAAAAATAGTGCAGGGTTGTGATAGAAACAATACAGCAAGAGCCACAATATTTGCTCCAATCAGCTGTTTAGGAGTCTGATAGCAGATGGCACAGTTTACACATCTCACACTTCTTACCTCTGGCATTAACTGTGTATTTTAGGTAAACTAATCAAACAATGAAATGGAAAAATCAATTTGATTTCTCTAGGAGCTGCGGCCTAAAGGAATGGACATCCGTCAGGAGGAGCTGGGCGATCTAGTCGATAAGGAAATGGCAGCAACATCAGCAGCTATTGAAGAGGCAGTTCGTAGAATTGACGTGAGCACTCGATGACCTGACACTATACGACCCGTCTGATTAAATGGCCCATGTTTAGTGTATTATTTGTAGATAACTGAAATTTATTATGGTTTGAATCTTTAGGAAATGATGAATCAGGCACGAAAGGATACATCTGGAGTTAAACTGGAGGTCAATGAAAGGTTTGTGCTTTTTAAATTAATTCAAATATTGAGTCAAATATTCCAGATTTTTATAAATATTTAAATCCAAACCCCGTTGCTTCTTGCTCTTTTATTTCAGGATTCTTTTTAGCTGCACAGATCTGATGAAGGTAAAAAACAGCCCCCCCCCCCCCCCCCCTGCAAACAATGTGGCATCTTTCAATGTGGGTGTTTTTCCTCACTCTGTTTTCTCATCATCGGCTCTCCTTCAGGCTATTCGCATGCTCATCATCGCATCCACGGACCTGCAGAAGGAGATTGTCGAGGGCGGGAGGGTGAGTCAGCGTGTTTCTAATTTTAAATCCAAAGTTAAGCATCAGTTTCTGAATAGGATGTTTGGTTCCTTTTAAAGGAGTTCATCTAACTGTGCTGATGTTTTGCTCTTTAAGGGTGCAGCCAGCATTAAGGAGTTTTACGCTCGAAACTCTCGTTGGACCGAGGGACTCATCTCTGCTGCCAAGGCTGTGGGATGGGGAGCCTCAGAGTTGGTGTAAGTTCCCGTTTGAAAATTTGCATGGCTGTTTATTGTTGCTGCTGCATTCACAGTTGACAGGGAGCATGCAGAGATTAATGTTTTCCTGCTTTCTTGCAGAGACTCTGCTGATAAGGTGGTGCTGCACATGGGTAAATATGAGGAGTTGATCGTCTGCTCTCATGAAATCGCTGCAAGCACGGCTCAGCTGGTGGCTGCCTCAAAGGTAACATGTGAATTATACCTGACAAAAAAAAGGTGTACAATCATGAAATGTGATGGATAACACTGTAGTTTATTAAATTGATAGAAAAATTCAAATATTTTTAAGGTGGAATTAATCCACTGTTTTAATGTTTTATCACTTGATTTAGCTACACATCAATTGATTAGAATAATTTAGCATTTTTTAGGGTCAGTTTCAGAAATCAGATAAAATTTGAATCCGAGATGAAGAAGCAACCAAAACAGATTTTATTCTCAGCTGATTGTTGCCTTGGTTCTTTCAGAGGGGATGGTTTGATCATAGTTCATGTTACTTTGACATAAACCTTCCATGCTTTAGTACGAACTTGAATATAAAATTTGTCAAACCAAGGTGAATCTTTTTTCTGTTAAAGTAACAGAACGGTTTCCTGCTTTTCTGCCCTACTGGTTGAAAGTGGAACTACAACTATTGTAAAACACCCTGCAGCAGCCTGCTGTAGCTAGTGCTAACAATGAGCTAACACTAACATTAGCCAACTAATACTAAAATAAACCACGATGTTAGAAGATCCCTTTTGTTGGACAAAAAATATTATTCCTTACAAGTCCAGTAGCAACAAAGCTAGGTCACCATCAGTCCGTGATTTCATGGTCTCCTTCAGTTCCTTCAAACAAGTGTAGGCCACGCTGATGTTCACTCTGGTTTTAGCTCTTTGCTTCACCTCCTAAAGCCTGAGTCATGCTTCTGCGTCTGCATCAGTGCGGAGACACGCAACACCATTATCCGTCCTTGCGGGGCTTCTGGAGGATCCCCGAAAGGACTGACTGAGTCGAGCCCTCTTTTCTAAACATCCGTCCGTCGAGATGGAGAACGCAAGCTTGTGATTGGTCAGGGCACCGCTGTCATCTACACCGCCGCCATTGCGCCCTCAAAAACATAAAGAGAGCCGAGGATAACCAGCGGCAGACACGGAGAAGCTTGAGGAATTCCTCGCGAAAAAAATTCTAAAAATACGAACGTTTGATTCCCCCGTGACTGGAGGAGTGAAAAGACGCGCAGCGAGCGTTTTATTTGTGGACAGAAATGACAGGAAACGTGGGTTTAGAGGTGGCGAGCGCATGAAGAGGTGGAGGAGAATGAGACAAATTTGTCTGTGTTAAAAAGTCTCTTATATACAAAAAACACAATATAAACACACTATCTTTGACCGGATACATGACAGTATACCACAGAACAGCGCTACGCCCTCTGCTGTCCTGGCGGGGAATTGCTTTGCAACACTCCCCAGGAGACGGAGAAGTATGAGGGCAAAATATCTCCGTCCGTGCGTGTGTGTCTCTCCCTTTTGGAGCTGACGGAGAAGCATGACTCAGGCTTAAGACATTAGTCTCTTACATTCACTTCCAGGCTCCGCCATTATGCCAACAGAAAAAGCAAAGTAGCTTATCTATTTTTTGTGTGCTTTTTATTGTCAATCGGCAAACTGAAATTGCTAACCATTCGCATTACAACCAACAGCCATAAAGCGGTTAAAGAACGCCCCCTGAGACACCTACCCACTCCACAGAACTATTAAGTGTGGGTTTTGGTCAGCAGAGGGCTGCAGAGTGGTGTCAAGAATATGAAACTGGTCAAGTTTCTAACTCAACAATCACTGAGATCAGTGTTAAAGCTCTAGCTTAAAGTTAAAAAATATATTACATTAACGTAAACCCAAAGCTTTTGACTAAACCGGCTTTAACCACTGCCCTTTTGCTCTCAGGTCAAAGCGGATCGCAATAGCACAAAGCTGACCGTTCTCCAGCAGGCCTCTCGCCTTGTCAACGAGATGGCAGCTAATGTGGTGGCTTCCACAAAGACGGGCCAGGAGAACCTGGATGACAAAGGTGAGTAGATTTATATTTGTGTTACAAGATGATCACAAACTCTGAAAAACCTCTAACCTGTCTGTTGATAACCTTTTTATAAATGAACAGAAACCATGGATTTCTCTGGGATGTCTCTGATTAAGTTGAAAAAAGAAGAGATGGAGTCACAAGTAAGTCAACGGATTCCGCAGTGATGAAAATCTTCTCACATTTAAATTTTGATTGTTATAGAACCAAAATAAATCCAACACATTTTCATTCAGTCGATGAGCTTTTTGTTTCCAAACCTTTCAGGTGAAGGTGCTAGAACTGGAAACTCAACTGGAGAACGAGCGCCTCCGTTTGGGTGAGCTGAGGAAGAAGCATTATGATTTGGCTGGAGTTCCTTCAGTGCAGGTTTCTGAGGGGAACGAGGAAACCTCCTCGCTATTCCGTTCTGCAACCATGTCACCCAAGCCTATCAAACCTGCTCCCATGAGGAAACCTCCACTGGCTCAAAAACCCGGCATCCCACCAAAGCGGTAGGTGGACCAGTGACTGATGCTTCAAAAGACTTTCTTTTTGTCATAAACACTGCAAATATTTATTGGGATTAAGCTAAAATTGTGCAAAATACTTATTTCGATGTGAATGAATTGTGTGATTTGAGTCAAAGCCAAACTTCTGCTGTTCTGATTTGTATTGGTAACTTTTATTTCATTCTTGTTGCAGTTGAAGTAAAAAAGGAGCAAAGGCCGAGAATATCCGACTACGAGATGCCTGGATTGCAAGTTTCTTGTAGTTGCATGTCGACAGTTTTGTGTTGTCAAATTTCTTATTGTTTTCGTAATTGGTCCTTTTTATTTTTGCCAAAATGGCTCAGAAGCCAGGTGTTGTTGTTTTTTTTTACCCTTTATGCCTACAGGGGTACATCTTTACCCCTTTGACTTTTTCTACATAACGCATTATATACATATATTTAAATTTTAATATTTAACATTAAGAACACACTTTTTTCCATTTCAGACTAATTTTAAATTATTTTCTGCATTAAAGAACTACTACTAGTTTCTCTTTTTTAGAATACAAACTTTAACATTGACCAGAATCCAATAACCTATGTTGTACTTGGTGGTGAACAGCTAGATTTGATCATGTTTAATCCAGCCTTTTTGCACACCATTTTGAACGTTCATTGTTGAGCACATCACACTTTTTAATGAAAACTGCTGTATTGCTGTTTCATGATTTGAGGGTGGGAAAGGAAACTGGGGAATCACTTTGTGTGTCCGTGTTGCTGCAGAAGTTTGACATACCTCTAGCTTTGCCTTCATGTGCAAATAGCTTTCTTAAGATTGTCTTTGAGGCCTTGAAATATACTTTACAAATGCATTAAATAATACTTGTAAAGATATGCAGTCTGTATAAGAAGGTGCAATTAATTCTACATTTATCTCTTGAATGTCCCTTTACAAAACAATAGTTAATGCCTATATGTAGATGTAATGCTTGCAGACAAAGTATATTGGATGTAGGTGTACTTATCAAATGCTTCTTTTTAGGCAAATATAAAAATGTTGGGTTAGTTAATATACAACATCAAGATGTCCATTGCCACTGGAAGCCTTTCTTACGGAGTCCTAAAATTTTTATGTTCTGTCCTTTCCTCTGTTTGAAATGTCTTTCTACTCTCAGAACTGTTAATATATTTTAGTAAAGATGTTGGTGGCTTTCCCTTGTAAGAAGTGTAAATGTCATACAAATAATAAATGTTTGATTTTATTTGGCATTGTTTTTTATTTACTAATCATTTAAATATAGTTTGCTAAAGAAATAGTGCAGTAGTTTACACTAAAAATTGTAGACGTGTATTGGTTAAAACCAATATGATTGATTAGATTTTCAGGAAAGTTTTCCGTGGCACATTCAATTAGCATAAATCTGACCAAATGTTTGTTTACGTACATGGTTTCCACCTGTGCAGGTTTGTGTTGGACAAATGTTGATAGTAGTAAAAAAAAAAATCTTGACATGCGCAATAAAGTGTGTTGCTTTCACGTGCCGTTGGAAAGGTTAGAGCACTCAAACGGCGTGTCCTTAACGTGTCTATTAAAGCCAGATTACAGCACATGTAGTACAAGATGTAAAACAAAAAGAGTGAAAAGTTGTAAATTCGTATTTTCCTCTTGCTTTTATAAACTTCATAAGCATGGGGAAGTTTTTATTTTTATTTTTTTACACACTTGAGAAGTTCACGTTTTCGAGTCTTGTCTTGGCATGAACTCATCAAAGGTAGCTAACCTCAGGAGTATGGGAAGTGTCGAAATGTAAACAAGTTTTGTAAGTACGCCTCGCTGAGCTTTTGTGCGCAATTTTTATGTGCACGTTAACGGAGGTATGTTGAATGACGGATGTGTATTTAAAAAGCACAGGACAGACGGTAACCGACGTTATGTCAGCGTTCGACAGAGCCGCGGCGGAGCTCACCGTGGTGGATGTGTACGACATCGCGGCGGTGCTCGGCCATGAGTTTGTGCGAGTCATAGACCGTTTTGGGTGCGAGTGTTTAGTGGAGGTGGTGCCCAGAGTTGTGCGGATTCTGGAGTTCCTGGAGGTTCTTGTAAGCCTTGGATCCACCGGACAGGATGCCGAGGAGCTGCGGAGGGAGCTGGACAGGTTGCGCCAGGAGCGGAGTGACAGATATGAGCAGGAGAGGAAACACCAGAAGGTAAAGTTTTAGTCTTTACTTTTGATTAAATGAATCAAGTCCTCTGATAAGAAACACTCATATTTGCTCAGGAGCTGGAGCAGGTGGAGGATGTGTGGAGAGGGGAAGTCCAGGACCAGCTCTCTCAAATCACTCAGCTTCAAACCGAAAACAAGAGGCTGCTGGCGAGTCTCTCTCTGAAAGAGTCCCCAGCCACAGATGTGGAGCTGCAGGAACATGAGGGTGGGTGCAGCAACAGCTCTCTGGCTCTTACAGTAGATGTTTTCATCACCTTTTAGATTTTAAAGTAAATATGACATGGACTTTTTATGAATAAGCATCTTTTAAAATGCATCTGTAAATGCAGTTGTTTAGCAAGGACAGACAATTCTTTTGTCATTTGAAAACTTCCAAGATCACATTATCCTTACCAGTGTAACAATAGTCCTACTAAAGAATTAGAACATGGGAATAGAGGGTATGGCTCCAAGGTAAATATCTGATTAGGTATTATTTTATTTTGGTATCTATGGTGTCTGTGAGATAATGAGTGACTTGACCAAAATAATTCATCATCACTGGAAACTTTTTGTCATGGCTACTATTAAATCAGTATCAAATTTAAACAACACATGTACATCAAGAAAGTTAAAGGTTTGGCTATTGCAATAAAACGTTATTTTGCTTAATAGATTATGTGAATGACTCCTGCTGCAAGTGCGTTGATTAGACTAAAGAGACATGCATACAAATAGAGTTGATCAGAAAGTAGGCCATGAAGAGACACAGTCAGGACATTTCAAGGGAGACTATTTTTGACGTAGACTTTAAATATATCTTGTGTATAAAACTCAGTGCTGCAGCCAACACACACAGACTTAATCACGTGTTAAGCCAAATCCAAGGGTATGGCATGATAGCAGTACTGTATCTACAGTTGCATTAGTGCTCCGGACACTGACCAATTCTTGAGCAACTACAAAAAACCCAGGGCCAGGAACAGTTTTGCAAACATTTATGTTACTAAGTATGCCTCTTTAGTGGTGGTTATTCAGAATTCTTATTTTTTTTTATAAGAGCAGGAATGTCAGAGAAGGAGAGCCAAGTGAGCAAGAAGCTGAAAGACTTGGTGGATAAACAGAGAGATGAAATCAGGGCTAAAGACCGGGAGCTGTCACTAAAGAACGAGGACATTGACGCAGTGAGGATTACATCTGTATACATCACAGCCCCTGAGACCAGTATTATTTAAATAATTTAAAATGTCCCTTTAAAACAGCTCCAGATACAGCAGCATCGGATCATGAGGATCAACCAGGACCTTCTTCACAGAATTGGAGTGATAGAGGCTCAGTGCAAAACGCTGATTCAGCAGAGAGCGGAGCTGGAGAACTCGGCCCAGGCTCGACAGCAGGAGTATGGAGCTCTGCATCTGGAGGTCACAAGGCTAAGAAAGGAGCTTCAGGAGAAGGAATTTGAAAAACACATCTCTGCAGTTGACGAGCTTCCTTTTTGTAGATCTGAGATGTCATCCCCATCAATCACAGTAAAGAAACGTCAGCGTTGAAGCTATGTTTAAGGTTAAAACTCTGTTTTAGTGTTTGCTGACTGGATGTTCTGTGTTCCAAATGCAGCCAAAAACACTTTCTAACTCTGCAAAGCCAAAGTCCGTGTGGGTCGAATGCAGAGGGGATCCTGGCTTTGTGGCAAAGTGCTTAGAGTGTGACAAAAGCCTTTCCCTTCTGCCCAAGTCTGCAAACAAAGACAATAATGGGAACGCCAATCTAGATGAAAACATGGTAGGGACTTTCTTATCGTAATCGTGTAATATGAACAGATTTTTATGGTTTCTTTCTGGTTGGCTGGTGCATTTACCAGCAACTTTCTTTATTATTGGTGTACTGACAGTACAGAAAAAGGGCTTAATGTGTGTTTGCACCACAGAGGGGATCAGTGGATACAGAGCCAGGAGAGGAATCCGACAACTCAGAGCCAGAGTCGGACAAACCTCGTTTCACCTTGGAAGAGCTGCGTGATGTCCTGCAGGAGAGGAATGAACTCAAAGCCCAAATGTTCCTGCTCCAGGAAGAGTTGGCATATTATAAAAAGTGTGATTTGGCTTAAAAACACTAGATGCCACTGTTTTACATGAGTTACATGAAGTTTGTCTTGTCCATTTTGCTTCAGTGAGGAGTTTGAGGATGATATCAATCCTAGTGTCTGCACAGCTTCAGCTTCTCAGGCAACTTCAGCTGATCAGCCTGAATCAGGAATCAGACGCATGTGAGTAACAAGTTTGGTATTTTTAACAATTTAGATTTTATAAGCTATGTTATTTTTCAAAAATCAGTAAAACATATACATTATTTTAATTCTTATGTCCTTTTTGTCCTCATTACTTCTCTGGACAGAATCTTCACTGCCATAATGCCAATGGTGGCTGCTGGTTTCTTCACAGACGACCCCACCTTGTTGCCCATCAGAAGACTATCATTTGTCTGATCATAAATTAAAATAATTTATTGCTCATCTCAGGAAATTTTGCCACCTTACACTTCCACAACAACTGGTTCAATTGTGGAATTATTCAATAATTTTAAACATATTTTATAAATTAAGTTTCTTTAATTGTCATCACTGAAAGCTTTGTATTAGGCTGAATATTTAAGAGTTTTAAACAAATACCGTATAACCCATTCAAATGTTTGATGGAGAATAAGTAAAAGATCTTGTGCTTCACCTTATTTTATTTTTTTAACATAATGGTTTCTGACAATTTGATTTTTCATGATGTGCCTGTTTAAAAGCAAGCTAACAGGACATGTTATATGATTAAAGTTTACATAATTATTATCTAGAATGTTAGTGTATTTTCTGATTGTCCTGGCAAATTGTGTCTACATCACCTCAGTGTTTTCAATTTAAGGAGTGTATGAAGCATACAGGTATTCTCTCAGGCACCTGTAAAAAACTGTTTGGTTGGAATGACATAATACATTTTTTTATTTTTACTCTTTTGAATTGTCATTATCAAATATCAATAATTATGCAAAATATAATAGTAAGTAAAACTTTATTTATGTAGCACTTTTCACAGATAAAATCACAAAGTGCTTCACAACATACATAAAAAGGCAAAACAGGACAGGAGCACAAGGTCAACTTACATAAAAGCTTGTCTAAATAAAAGTGTCTTCAGCTGCTTTTTAAAAGAATCAGTCGGCCACACGAAGGAACAAGGGCAAGGCGTTCCAAAGTCTGGGAGCTACAGCTGGAAAGGACAGGTCCCCTCTAGTTTTAAATCTGGTCTTAGGGACCTTCAGTAGGTTTTGATCCGAGGACCGTAGAGTGCGGCCAGAAGAGTGAGGGATTAAAAGGTCTGAGAAATGTTGTGGAGCTTGTCCATTAAGAGCTCTAAAAGTCAAAACTAAAATTTTAAAATCAATTCTAAACTTGACCGGTAGCCAATGTAAAGAAGATAAAACTGGTGTTATGTGAGCCCTTCTATTGGTTCCTGTTAAAAGCCTTGCAGCATTCTGGACCAACTGGAGACGACTGACATCTGATTTATTAAAACAAAGATAGAATTACAATAATCTAAAAGAGAAGAAATAAAAGCATGGGTAATCATCTCCAAGTCCGATTTTGAAGTAAAAGCTCTCAATTTGGAAATGTTTCGCAAATGATAAAAGCAGTTTTTTACTAAATGTTTTGAGTGGCAGCTCAAAAACATGGATTGGTCAAAAAGAACACTAAGGTTTCTGAGACTGGCCTGGGCTGAGGAGCTCAGGGAACTGAGGTGTTGTTTGATTAAAAGCACTTTCTGTTCAGGAGCAATGATTGTTTCGGTCTTGCTTGAGTTCAACTGAAGACAGTTACTGGCCAGCCAGTTCTTAATACGCTCAATCATGCAATCAAGTAGATAACTAACTTGTTAAACCGTGTCCTTGAAAGAGCAGTACAGTTGAATGTCATTCACATATAAATGGTAGGACACATTAGTAAAGCTTATAATAATCTCCCCATGAGGGCAAATGTATAAAACAAAATTGGGCCAAGGACCGAGCCCTGGGGAATACCGTGAAGCAAAGATGCGACTTCAGACCTAATCTTGTTTACACACAGAGAATGTTCTGTTATTTAAATAGGAGGAAAACCACTTCAGAACCGTACCAGAAAATCCTAAGTCATTGTGTAGTCGATGTAACATAATTTTATTGTCAACCATATCAAAAGCTGAAGACAAATCCAATAAAACCAGTACAGTATATTGGCCAGAGTCTGCCGCCATCAGTACATCATTAGATACCTTTAACAGAGCTGTTTCAGTGGAATGCATCTTACGAAAGCCTGACTGGAACTTATCTAAAACATTAAGATCCAGAAAAGTAGTCAGCTGCCCTGCCACCAACTTCTCCAGAACTTTAGCCAAAAAAGGGAGTTTTGAAATTGATAATAGATATTTACGACAAACGTATAAAATTCAGGATCAAATCATTCCAAATCAGCAATTAATTTCAGTTATAAAACAGTCCCTTACTCTGAGTATACTGCATGGTAATTTAGCCAAAACCCAATTTTGTCAAATGATGCTTTTCACTCCAAAAAAAAAAAAAAAAAGCAAAAGCATGAAATCACGTGGTTTCTCACCTGATTGTTTACTACTTGACATTTCTAAATAGCAAGAAAGAAAATTGGAGAAGAGAAGCTTCACTCATATTCTCCCAGACCTGTTGCTTTCCTAATGTTAAAAGCTGAAGGAGTGAGTTCTCTTGGTCGTAGACGATCTTTGGGTTTACCTGTCGCTAGGATACTTTGCCCTCCTCTGCTGTCCATCGAGTCACGTCATTGGAGATTGAGTGATGGAGGAAGTGCAGTTTTGCTGGAAGTTGGTTTGCTCCGTTCAGGAAAATATCTCAGCCGAAGTCTGAAGAACTCTGCTCGTATTGTCGAAAACAAGTAAAAGTCGCTGTTGGTTGGAGGTAATCAACTTTTATCTGCGGTTTCAAAGCGCCATACCGTCCCGTCATGGAGTTTGGTGAAGAGTCGTCGCCCGCTCTGGCTTTTGAGAAGAACGCTTTTGAGCTCACGGTCGAAGACGTTTATGACATTTCGTACGTCATCGGACGAGATTTGTTGAAAATAAGCAGCACGGGAGAAGAAGTGTCAGATTTACAGTTCAGGATCGTCCGAGTTCTGGAAATGTTTGAAACTTTGGTCAACAAATATAATTTGTCTCTGGAGGAGATGAAAATGGAGCGGGACAACCTGAGGAGTGAGCTGGACAGGATCATGAAAGACGGTTCCTCCTCCGGGCAGAGCATAGTGAGTCTCTGCTTGAAGCTGTGATCACAAGTAGGTGGACTAATTCATTATCATCATCTTTCATCCCAGCAAACAGGAGGACCAAATCAGCTGGTGGTGGACCTGACAGACCCGAACAGACCGCGCTTCACCATGCAGGAGCTGAAGGAAGTTCTGCAGGAGAGGAACCAGCTGAAGGCCCAGCTCATGGTGGCTCAAGAGGAGCTGCAGTTGTATAAGAGGTAAATGATAAGATGTATTATAGTATAATACTAACTGCAGATTGAAAAATGTTCATAAGTTATTAACTAGGAAGACCATCAAACACATTACAGTCATCCAATTAAAAAAATAACCCCTATCTATAATAATCAATTCTAAAATTAATACACTCAATTTTTATTTATGATATAGGAATACATATTTAGTAAGCTGTTGTAATCTCAGAACCCAACGTGATAATGTAACACTCACGCCGGCCTTTGTTATGACTGACAATCATGCTGAAACTTTAGATCCAGGCATGCCTAACTTGTGGTTGTTACTGCTTCATCTGCCACAGACCTGAAAAAACAACTCACTAGTTTCAGCATTAATTTAAAACATTAATTATATTAAATTGTTCCAGATTCTTTAATTTCTAATATCATTAATTATATATTTTACAGATAAATCCTGATAACTTCCTTCCAACTCAATAGCATTTTATTGTAATTTGCATTTTTATTTATTGATAGCTCTTGTTGCATAAAATATTATTAGATACCATTGATAGTGTACTATTTTATTCCCCTGCAGTGGAATTCTGCCACAAGCGGAACCAGCCTTGGTGGAAGTGGACCTGACCCCGCCAGCAGCTATAGAGAATAGTCCAGCCTCAATGAATGAGAAGACAACTATAGGAAAACTGTAAGTATTGTTACAGTATGAAAATAGCCAGGGTTCAAATCACACAGTAATTCGGGGGAGCCCTGTGAGAATGCCGTAAGAGCCTGGACTAGGGGTGAGGGTGGGGGTAAAGTCGCTTGTCCAACCATTTTCAATATAGCGCCATGAGAGTGGATGGGTGGGGACGGGAACATTTTTCAGGCTCCTCCTTGGTGTGTTAGTTGAAGGCTCTCTGGGGATAGTTCGAATCTCAAATATACCCCAAAACAGCCTAAATATACCACTTTTATTTCCGTTAAGTTTGCTGCAGCCACGTTATAAACGCTGAAAGTTTGCTCACAGCCCCTCTTCAGCCCACTAATCATGTACTTGTGACCCAGTGAAGTCATGCTGGATGTTTGAGTGAAGACTTGAGGGGAAAGGAATAGCCTGGAACGGTTTGTCCTCCGACCTGCTGCAGTCAGTAATTACGGTTTACACGGACTTATTAAATCCACTCTAACTCTTGACTTTTCTGTTTTTAGGTTTTCATTCAGACGAAAATGAGAAAAACCTGACAGAAGAATTGACACATCAAAGACAAACTGGATTTGTCGCAACTGTTCACCCATCTTTTTGTAATGATTTTTTTTAATGTCTCATTCTAACATTTTGCACAAGCTATTTTTATCCTTATCCTTTTTAGCTTTAGAGGGTAAGCAGAACTATAAATATGAAAATAATTTAGCTCGAGATAACTGGAAAGTATTATTTTACTTGTTTTAAGTCATGTTAGATGCACTTGCTGAAAATTAGTTTTTACCCTTCCACCTTATATCGTTTGGCTTCATTGTAAAAACTTGTTTCTCTCAATTACAAAAAAAGTAGATTCAAGGCATCATATTTAATAGGACTTTTCTCAACACTGACCATGTCTCGCTAAAATTTAAATGCAACAATATTTTATTCTTAAATACTCAACACTCTAAAAATGAAATATTGAACTTACTTAAAGTGACGTCGACTGGTTCCACCAAACCAAGTTGCTTAAACATGAAGAATGATATACATTGTTAGACATGTTAAAAGTAAATATTTCTCTTTATATTTAAGAAACTTGGTTTAGTGGAACCAGTTGAAATAACTTAAATTGATTTTATTTCTTACAATGCAGCTCAGGTCAACTCAGGTCACTTACAGCACCTAGAAGTGACTCCACTTGACAGAGAAAAGCTGCCAGACAGTTAATCACTTCCTAAAAAAATGCTGCTCTAAGCTTACATCTACCTGCTACAGTTCATCTCCCAAAAATGTAAAAACGCTTTAAAATACTCAAGTTGCAGCTTTAACTTTCAAAAATCTTACTTCATAGAAAAAACATTTTACGTTCATTTGTGGCTTTTCTTTATGTAAAGCCCACATGTGTAATGTGACACTGGCTACCTAATAATTTACCTAATTTTTTAATAAGATGAAGGTTTCAGTATTTGAGCCAAGGGTGTGCAGAGATGGAGTCTTTACTCCGATCTCCATAGTCGTAGAGTAGCTCCTCCTCTGATTTAATGTCTCTGGAAGCCACCAAGATCAAATGAGGTTTCCCGTCGATAGAATGGAGCCTTGTCTGGCAGTTTCCATTTTTACTGTGGTTCAGCAGTCTTCCATAACGGTCAGTTTCCTTTGTAGCGTCCACGCTGTAATGCATAAAGATCAGTCAGTGCAAACAGGACAGTCATTCATGGTTTTTAAGGCTAAGCAGAAATAACGTCTGATTGCACTTTTTTTTTTGTTGCAAAAGTAAACAAAAAATACTGATAAGAGATGTAATGGTAGCAATGCTAGCAGTTTACTGTTTTTAAATCCATTTTGGCCCATATGAACTGTTAACGCTGTAAAACGGACGAAAAACATTTAATTCACACAAAACCGAATAATGAAATTGTAATTAAGCAGCTTTATATATATATATATATATATATATAAATAATTTATATATAATTTTTTTAAGTAAATAATTCTTTATATTCTGCATTTCCCCAAATAGGACAATGTGAAAAATCAACTGAAACATGGGACAGAGATTGACAAACAGACTGTAGTCTTGGTTAATATGTGTTAAATATCTGCATTTATGATGTGTAGAGTACTTTTACAGTGGTACAGACAACATCTGAACTTACCAGTAAGTTTTAGACTGATACTGGAAGTAGTACATGTAACAGCCTGTTTCAGGATCCTTGGCATACTCAGCCTCCCTCTTTTTAGCCTCAGTTAAGTCCAGAAGGTCACCGTGGTATTCGACTACAAAATCTCCCTTTTTGAAAGCCTTAACAGCAAACACTCCTCTTCCTTTTCCCTCTATGTGTTTGACCTGAAGACAATGAAAAGTTGATTTGATTTGACTGCTGTATAAATACAGACTTGTAATAAACAACTCAACAGTATGCAGCTGATTCAAAGACATTAAAACATCCGATATTACCTGCATTCCTTCTTCTGTGCTGTTCTTTATCAGATCATCTATGTATTTGTGCTCTTCACTCTGGTGACACAGTTTTATCCAGCAAAATATAAACATGAACATTTTTACATTGTTGCTGTAAATTATTGTTGCTGCCAAACATTCATACAGACCTTTATCTCAGTTTTAGTTTTCCTGTTACTCCGTCTGATGGGAAAATAGTCTGTGACCTTTCTGTTTTGAAGTCCTTTATTCTCCACCCTGAGAAGACATTGTGAGTGTGTAACAGACTGTGAAACAGTAATGTTTACTGCCAAGCTGTTCTGACAAGTCAGCTCAGTAAAAACTCACTTTCTTGCTCTGGTTTTACGGCCGGTTTTAGTCTTAGTTTTTGGTGCTGAATCTTTAGCATCCACTGTAGATTTGACATCAGATTGTTTGGTGGTTTCTTTTTGCTTAGGCTGGTCAGAAGCTTGCTTTGTCTCCTCAGGACTCGGGCATGTCACTTCAGATTTCTGCTCATAGCTTTCAGATTTAATTTTACTGGGCATGTCTAAAATGAGAGAGAAACAAAAGATTAACCTGTCCCTTAGCCTTAATTTAGAAAATGAGAGCATCAAAATGCTATTAAGTCAGGTCATGAGATGGGTCAGAACACTGCCGTCATTCTACTCAAATGTTTCTGTGGTATACACGGATCTGCTGACTATTTGGTGGTGAAGAAGAGGTCAGCAGCAAAGTCTGAGCAACCAGCTGTCTGGTCAATTAGGTTTAATGCTCACCTTTTTTAGGCTTTGAGGAATCCGAACTAGTTGCCTCCGAACCATTTCCCTCCTGGATTAGCGTGCTTGAATTTTCACCTAATGGAGATCTGGGTTTGCTTGGACTCTGCAGAGTCTGGAGAATTGATGGTGTTTTAACTGCAGAATCCTGTTACATTATAGGATTAGGAAACAAAAAAACAGGTATGGTGAGAATTATGCAGCTAACAAGTTTAATCTTTGTACATCCACCAGACGCTGAAGTAACTAGAATAAACAAACTGTTTTACCCGCCAGCTACACAAACTGTTCAAAATCAATTTCTTGTGCATGCATTCACTTCACTGTAGTAAATGGCTTTTTGTACCAAACTGGGAAATACAGCGAATCTTTGTGATGAAAATGAACTAAAATTATAAATGGAGCACAGTTGAAAATAACTGACATAAAAAAAACTAGAAACTATTTTCACCAATGGAGAGTCTACTCATACCCATCTACTTAGAGACCAGGCAGTTTTGGCTTGCTTTTAGCACCCCCTGGTGTTCATTTAGTAGAACCAAAAATGAAACCTCTCTTTGCTGTGCATTTATCTTTTTAACACCTTAATCTACGGCTGCACAATATATTATATATTATATATCGTTATCGCGAAATCAGCATGCACAATATGCATATTGCAAAGATCAAATAAATATCGTAATGAATGGTCAGCTCAAATGTTTGATACACATAATGCATTATGGCAAACGGAAGCATTATGTTTTTTTAACAAATCAAATAGAGCTCTTCACCCATTTGGCCAGTTGGGTGGGTTCTCATAGGTTAGATGCCCGCCCCCGAGGTGGACGGTACTTAATTTTGATGGTTAGCAAACACCTGAGTTTGCTTTGTTCTGCTCTTTTTGCTGATTCTGCCTTTTCCCGGATCCACTGATTGCTTTTCTTGTTCATTTTCTTTTTCCCTTTCTCATTTTTAGGATTTTTTTATTTCTGTTTTTGATTAATTTAGTTCCTGAGTTAAGTTTTTATTTATTGCAAGTGATATCGTCATCACAATATTAATCACCGTTATCGAATATTGCAGGTTTTTCCTAATATTGTGCAGCCCTACCTTAATCTAACAGCTGAAATGTCTCCCCACCCTTCATTAGTGTCTACAGGAGTGATTCATCACTAAATTAAACAAATCAGCTGTGTTCATGATCTAAAACACACAGGAAACGTGCTGGAACCAGACTGAAGCTCCAGGCATGTCAGCTCAATTTATTTGAAGTCCAACAAACCGGACCAACAACTGTGATGTGGGCTGGGTGGTCTTTCATTAACCCTGTAAAGCAGGGGTTTAAATTTGTTCAAGGGTTGGAATTTTTTTTCAAGCAGACACTGTGAGGGCCAGATGCTCCTCTAAAACAAAGTACATAATTAAATAATATTTTAAATAGCTTTGTTTTCCATCAAAACTGTTTTAGTTGTGTTTGGACAATGTAAACAATTAATGATATTTGGGACATGAATTTTGCTAAGCTTCAAATTCCCCCAATTGGGGGGCATTAGGGTCCACAGGGTTGGGAGGATGGGTGGAAAGGTCTGGCGGGCCGAATGGGGCCCGCGGGCCACCAGTTGAAGTTCACTGCTGTAATGGGTAATTTTAGCACATACTGGCTCAAGAAAATGATTTAAAAATATGAAAAATTGCTTTATAGCCCCATTCACTTACATTAATGCTTTTTATTTTGTTCATGGGATCCATGAACCAAACGGAAGTGGAGAAAAGGCTCCCTTTTTAAACATGCTGAGATATAGCCCTTCAGCTGATTATGTCACAACATTTTTCAGCACAATTCGCAGAATAAATATTAAAAAAATGTGTGTTTTGTTGGTAGTTTTTCTTCAATCAGAGATTTAAGTAATCTGATATCCGATATTAATATCACTGTTAAGGCCGATAATCGATATTTGCCAATATCGATTTACACTTCTGAAATCATGCACGCTGAATTTTTTTAAAGGGAATTTACAGAGTTTTGAATTTTTATGCTCGCGACTGCCCCCCTCAGGCCAAAAGCGTAACGGCAGCTTCAATAGTAGGCTCGTGCACGAGGCGCGCATGCTGTACGTGCACACTCCTTAACGAAAATAACAGCTGAATAACAGCTTCACTTTTGAAGCTGACAGGTCAGTTTCACAGAGCTGAGACAGCTCCGTGTGTGTGTGTGGCCCGGAGGACAGAGGACAGGAGAACGTGCAGCTAATTAATTAAATAATTTGGTTCTGTACCTTTCTCTTCAGCACAGCCGACAAAGGTTTATGATGGGTCAGTCTCGCATGTTCAGATCATTCCCTTCCCTTGCTTGAAAAATTGTTCCAAAATGAAAGTTGAACCCGCATCTTTTTTTATCTGTGAATTTAATGCCGTTCGGCGAGTCTCAAATAAAAATTTGGGCATCTTACTGTAAAAAAATATACCATTAATGTAAAAAATAAACTCTTGAAAATCTATGTTCACATCCAGAATCAAACCCGGATCTTCCACACAGGAGTCTGATGCATTACTGAGTGAACTATAGCGCAAGTGACATCTCTTGTATCTGTAACATTTATATCCTTGATGACAGCTGAAACAATGTTCAAAGAATGGTTTAGAGCGAAAATGGCTATTTTGTTGCTAATTTGCAGGAAATATCTCGAACAAAGTAGCTAAGGGTCCTCAGAAATGTAGCTAGGTTCATCGCTAGGCGTTAGGAACAGCGACAAAGTCGCTGAGTTTGCACTACCTCACTCTCTGCTGCTAAAGCTACGGATAGGAAATGCTACGGGCTATGCCTGAGCGTGAACGTGCATGAAGCAGCCTGCTCAACCCGAGCATCTCTCTTTTTCTGTGATTTTACAGAAAAACAGGCAATCACAGTAAAAATGCCAGGGCTCATTCTACAGGACCAGGGCATTGCAGGAGAATGTATGAAGAAGAAATTGATTATTTCTATACATGTTTTGGCTGTCAAACTTCCATAATGCCCCTTTAATGTTTTGCTATTTTTCTATAAAAGTGGAATTTGCAATATGTTATTGACACACACACATTTACACTTCTCTGATGATTACAATCACTGTAACAGGACTAAATTACACATCATCACCCCCTTACCCTATGAAACAGATACACAAACAGAAACAAGATGGAAAAAATATCAGTTGTTAATATCAGCCTAGTTATACTTATCGGGCTGATACAGATATATTCAAAAATGACTAATATTGGCCGATACCGATATTGATGAAGATATATTGTGCATCTAGTTTAAATGTTTAGAATGATTTATTTAACACCTGATATTAAACAGAGCTGTTTTACAATAGGTAGATAAATATAGGAAATAATGAAATAAAATGTTGTGCCAAGTAAAACTCTGACACTGTATTTTTTTGTGATATCTTATTTTGCATATAACACAAATGTTGTATTTTCCAGTGGATCCATTTAAATGTTATCTCACTTAAATAATAATGTATGGGTCAAAAACAGAACTAATTAATAATATTATGACTTCCATCCTGGAAATAAGAAAAGTAAAATTATGTTGATAAAGGCTGGGGTTCTGACCTTTTTTTAATGGTAAAATAGTAACAGCAACAAAAAAACTAAAGCTGCTCTGTATTATCTTTGGTATGTGCTTTGTTTAACCACCCATTTTCTTTATATATTGGCTCATAACCAGCCACATTTTATAGTTTTTTTTTAAGTTGCATTAACTTATTTAAATGTAACTTATCATAGTTATTTTACTTATCGTCTTTGGCTGCCTTTTCATTCATTCACTTAAATTTAAAACTTGGGTAAAGGCAGTAGGAGGGTCTAGGCTGCTGTTTTTTGCTTCATAAGGATGTAAATTCTGCAGACATTTAGAACAGATAAGACCGTGAGAAGAACATTAACCAAAACATAATATGTTAGAAAGTAAAGGTTTGTTAGCTAGTGAACACCAGCAGGCGTGTAGACAGTCAACATACCTTGTTTGCTGGCTTGTTTTCCTTTGTTTCCGTTTGTGACGTGACGGTATGTTCGGTGTTCTCTGACCTTTTGACGGTTCTCGGCCCACGTTTATTATCTTTAAAATGGGACATATCAACACAGAATTACAAATGATACATTATTAAAGTGTAGTTCCGTTTAAGTTAGTTAAAAAGAACAAGGTTCGTTAAAGCCTGCTCCGTTTTGACTAATTAGCAATGAAAAATAATAAATATTTTGCAGCTGAACACGAACTCGAAAAACTACGTAAAAGAAAGTCAACCTTTTGCCATTTCAGTTCCTATAATTCAGTCTGAAGACGGTATGGTATCTTTAATATTGCCCTCGGAGTCCAAGTGAGCTTCAAGAAGCGTGGTTGGGTTAGACAGCCACATCAAAATACCACACAAGTGTACTTTTCAACGGTGAGCTTGTGGGGGATTTAAAAAGCTTTATCTCGACTCTCATTGGCTGTTTTCGTCTGACAGGGCGGGGCTGGAACAGGTTAGCAGCCTTTTGATTAGCCGTGGCTCTGTGCGTCACGACGCTCTCTCAGACCATGTCTCAGACACACGTGATGCGGCAAAACTTTGAAAATGTAGTCGTCAGACATCAAAAGACCAATGCTACATTTATGTTGCATTGATCTATTAAATAAAGGCTGAAATAATAACTCAGAAAATACGTTAACACACTAAATGTAAGAAAGTATTTTTAGATCTTGATTTATTAGCTATATCTTTCAGTAACCTCAGTGTTGAAAAGAACAAAATTAATTAATTAATTAATTAATAATAGATACAGTTTTCGCTGCTGTCAAACTCTGAGTTTGTTGTTTTACCTAAAGTATGATTATTATCATTTGATACTAGAAATTCCGGTGCAGTGAGAGATTAATGCTAAAATTCTAATATTGTCTAATATTGTCTCTTGTTTTTTGTTCTCATGATTATTTAGTCTCTTATGCTTTAACGTGTCACAATATGCTCATTTCTTGTCTTATCTCTACAATGTTTTTCCACTTCTGTGAAGAATCCAGAATGAAGAATACTTGACGGTTATTCAAGGAAAAGCTCATTTGCTGACATCTAGTGGTAATGCAAAATAAAACGTCTTCTACCAAGAGAACCTGTTCTTTTACAATAAAAAATGATAAAGAATGTTCTACGTTGACAAATTCATTATAAAAATTAAAACATTTAGAGTAAAAAAAAACATATATTAATACATTTTTGGAAGATTTGATCCAAACCATTTTTTGTTTCTTCTTTTCCTGGGTCATTAAAAATGGTTGCAAATAGTAAGTAAGTAAGTAAGTAAGTAAGTAAGTAAAAGTTTATTTATATTGCGTCTTTCACAGACATAAATCACAAAGCGCTGTACAACATGATAAAGATCAGGTCAAATACCTCTAACCAATAAAAACATCTGAAAAACAATAGCAGTGATAAAGTAGAAAATTAAATCATGAGTATAAACAAAGTGAAGGTGTGAACCCAAACAAAGCCATCTTTTTGAAACATTTAGGGAGGGAACGCCTGGATGAAAAGGTGGGTTTTTAGATGATTTTTAAAGACCTCTACAGTGTTAGAGAGATGGAGATTTGAAGGTGGACTGTTCCAAAGTCTGGGTGCAATAGTCTGAAAGGCCCTGTCCCCTTTGGTTTTCAGTCTGGTTCGAGGAACAGCCAGGAGGTTTTCAGATGTGGATCTAAGGTTCCGAGAGGTGGTGTGTGGGGATAAAAGCTCAGATAGGTAGCTTGGAGCCTGGTTGTTAAGAGCTCTATAGGTCAGGACTAAAACTTTAAACTGAATTCTATATTCTACCGGGAGCCAGTGGAGGGACTGTAAAACTGGAGTGATGTGAGCTCGTCTGCTGGATTTGGTTAGGAGTCTGGCTGCTGCATTTTGGATGGCTTGAAGGCGTGAGAGGGAGGTTTTGCTGAGACCAGTAAAAAGAGCGTTACAGTAGTCTAAGCGTGATGACACAAAGGCATGGATGATTTTTTTCCAGATCTGCAGTAGAAACCAGTTTATGGACTTTTGAAATGTTTCTCAGTTGAAAGAAACAAGAGCGGGAGATGGTTTTGACGTGTGAGTCTAAACTTAAAGCTGGATCAAAAATAACTCCTAGGTTTCTAATGTTGGCCTTGGCTGATGGGCAAAACAAGACAATTTCCTGCTCGATTTTTGGCTGAAGTTCCGGGGGTGCAGCAATCAGGGTCTCTGTCTTGTTAGCATTGAGGACAAGAAAGTTGCTAGACAGCCAGTTACTGATCTGGGTCAGGCAGAGTACAAGTGTGGCCAGCCTGTTCAACTGGTGTGGCATTAAGGACATATAGAGCTGAATATCATCAGCGTAGATGTGGTAGGAGATGTCTGAGAAAGACTGAATGATGCCAGCTAGGGGAAGATGAACCTTGTGGGACCCCGCATGTTAGAGAGGCAGTATCTGAAGAGAAGGTTTCGGACTTCACTGTGAATGTTCTGTTGGTGAGATAAGAAGAGAGCCAGTCTAGAGCAGAACCTGAAATCCCAGCCAGGGCCTTTAACCTGTTTAGTAGAACGTTGTGGTCTACAGTGTCAAAAGCTGCACTGAGGTCTAGCAGGACCATGACAGAGCATTTCCCTGCATCAGCAGCCATCAGGAGGTCATTATGCACCCTTACTAGAGCAGTCTCAGTTGAGTGCTGCTTCAGAAAGCCAGACTGGAAGGGGTCAGAGATCTTTGACTTGGAAAACCAGGATCTGAGTTGGGTTTCAACAACCTTCTCCAGTACTTTGCTGATGAAAGGTAGCTTAGAAATGGGCCTAAAGTTACTGGTGGAGCTGGCGTCAAGGTTGGGTTTCTTTAAGAGAGGAGTCACTACTGCATTTTTAAAGTAAGATGGAACACAGCCTTGGCTCAGTGAGCTGTTGATCATAGTCAACAGAGATGGACTGATAGCGCCAAGGGACCCGACTATAACAGAGGGAGTTAAGATATCTGATGTGCATGATGAGAGTTTCATCTGACTGATTATTGAGGTTAAGTCATTTAGTGTAATTGGGGAGAAGGAGGTGAAAGACTCGGAGCACTGAGGGGCCTCCCCTCCCGAGGGGGTGAGGGCTGGTGGAATGCTGGATCTCAGATTCAACACCTTGTTTGCAAAAAAGTGGAGAAATCTGTTACAGTCATCAGCTGAAGATAGCTGAGCCTGCTGCGGAGGAGAAGACACGATGCTGGAGATGGTATCAAACAAAACCTTAGGATTATTCTTATTTTGGCATATGAGGTTGCTGAAGAAAGAAGACCTGGCATTTTCTACAGCTTCGTTGTATGACTCTAGAAGTTCTTTAAAAATATTCGCAATGAACAACCAGACCTGTCCTCTTCCACCGTCGTTCCGCTTTTCTATAGGAACGTCTAAGTTCAAGAATCTGGTTGTTCAGCCAAGGTGAACTGGAGGCACTGGAACTGCGGCCGGTTTTGTAAGGGGCGACCTGATCTAGAATTTTGAGGCAGTGATCATTAAAGCCCCATTCCCACCTGTACCGGGTCGGCCCGGGCCGGGTAGCATAGGTTGTTTACATATCTGGGTGGCCTGGAATTTTCCCGGGCCAACCAAGGCTCATTCTCGGCCCTCTTCCCGAGGGGTACTGCTTCAGGCCGACCAGGGCCAACACGCCCACTGCTGACAGCAAATTCACACCTTCCATTAGAGCAAGCCTCTGATTGGTGGGTAGAATCAGCCCATTCACACCTTCCATTAGAGCAAGCCTCTGATTGGTGGGTAGAATCAGCCCACATGGGCTTAAGGCAAGGATGTGTGGAATCAACCGGGCCAGGCTGGGGCCGACTGGGGCTACCCGGCCCGGGCCAACCCGGTACAGGTGGGAATGGGGCTTTAATGAGTTGGTAAGGAGCTCTACATCATCAGAGGAAGGAGGTACAAAGTCAAAGAGGGAGGAGAAATTTAAAATGGTAGAACTGTTGATAATACGTCGTTGCTTAGCAGAGACTGGTAAAAGATTCAGAATTTAGGTTAATATGAAAAGAAACTGACTTATGGTCACTGAACACAACATCATTTATCTGCAGCTTATCAACAAGAAGTCCGTAGGAAAAGACCAGATCCAGGGTGTGGCCTGCTCTGTGAGTGGGACCAGACACGTGTTGAGAGAAGTTAAAAGAGTTCATCATGTTTAGGAACTCCCTAGTGGAGCTGTTAGATAGATCCTCAGCGTGGATGTTGAAATCTCCAACAATGATTATCCTGTCTAGTTTAATAGTTGAAGATAGGAGGTCCTGAAAGTCTGACAGGAAGGATGAAGTAGATCCAGGTGGGCGATAGACCAGAATTCCATAAATTGGTTGAACTCGATCATATTGTCTGTTCCATGCTAACATAAATATAACAATTTTATTGTTTATTACACATCCTATTTTACACTAAACTATTATTTTCCCAAACCAAGTTTATATTTGTTGAAAAACTCTTGTTATATTTACACCAAATAAGCATTTGACTGTAATTATTAAAGCATTATTTTTTCTATTGTTAGTGTGTGCTAGTTCAAAACCTTCCTTTTTCATATCTTCTTTAGTGGTATACCCTTCCCAAAAAGTTATTTTCATATCTCCAAACCCTCCTCCTATTATCATGCGGTGTGGAATGCCTGGATGTGCAACCATCGCTTTCATTTAGTTTCTGTGTACATTTCTGTAACATGCATTCATGTTAACATGATAATATTCTATATTATGGGTTGAAATGAAAGTCTTTTTTCCTCGTTTGTAATTTTTTATTTAAATTGAAACAGTGAAAAGGTAAATATCATTCTTGATCGTTTCCCACTTTGGAGTGTGCAGCCAGAGCTTCCTTAAACAGTCTTTTTCTCTCCAGATTTTCATTCACTTTTCTTCTTTTTTCCTGTTTCTTTAACACAGATTCTTTCTTCTTTACAAGAACTTCACTGAACTCTCCTTTGCAGAAAACGTCAAGTTTCTCCCTCATGATTTCACGGGCTCGCTTTCGATTAATATCCACAGATCGGGTCTGATGACACTGGAGGGAAAACAGAATTAAAGCTAAAAGATGGGGCCTTTGTTCTTAACCTATTTTTATCTACGACTCTAGCGTTATTTACCTTCACCACAATCCCTGTGGGGATGTGTTTAAGCACCACACAGTTGCTGGTTTTGTTGGTGGCTTGTCCTCCGGGCCCAGATCCTCTCACAAACTGCTCTTCCAGCTCATCCTCAGCTAGGACTGGGAGATCCGTCAGATCCTTCTTGCCAACAGCCAGAACACACGTGAGTCCAGGTGGGTTCGGTCTCAGCAGACAGGGAGCAGCTCTCCACATGAGCCACCTAGACACACTCAACATCCGGCAGGTAAACGAGACAAGCAGTGACATAACATCCCAAGCTACTAGACGCAAGGAAAGAAATATAGTTGGTTTTAGATTCTCTCAGAGTCACGGAACGATTATTTACTTATTTTTTATTTAACTTCCGTGAACAACCGTCCAATCAGCAGGCTTAAAGTTTTCCTCGTGGTTGTGTTCAAAGCTGTATTGGGTCATTACCGCCCCCATGTGGACATTAGTGTAATTTCACAAATTAAACAAAAAATGTTTATGTCGTGAGTCTTATTTCTTTATCGGTAAAATTTCATAACTCACTAGTAAATAACATATTTTAACTCAAAGATGACAAAAAATTTGAACAGTAGAGTAAAGTAAAGCAGAGTAGAGAAATCCATTTGTTGTCCTTCTGTAGTGAAATTCTGGTGTCACAGCAGCAAAGCAGATTCGCAGCATGAAGAATCACAACAGGAGCAAAGAAGAATAAAGAAAAACAAATAAAAGACTGTACAGTGAACAAAAAGCTTATGTGCAAAGATAATTAAAAGACTAAACTGAATTGACCACATTTAAAAATGTGAAACCTATGTAAAAAGACAACTAGATTTTTACAGGGAATGCGAAAGGAAACATTGTTGCAGTTTTAATGATGTAAAATCAAATAAAACATTTTTGTAAAGCACTTTTAGTGATAAAATCAGCACAATGTGATTTACATAAAAAAACAGCAACTATGTTTATAGATTAAAAACACAGCTTCCACACATCAAAATTTCACAACCAATTTAAACATTTTGTACACAGCACACACCCTAACCCCCACCCCTTCGTGGGTTTATGATTATGTATTATTTAGCAGACGCTTTTGTCCAAAGCGACTTACAAGTGATAATCGGCATGTTGCCCTTGAGACTAACAACAACAATAATAACAACTTGACATCATGTGGGTCATTTAGTTATTAATGATAAATTATAGTCTTTGAAATTTTGAATTATAAAACACATTGAAATAATTTAATAGAACTGTAGATGTTTCTACAATCACTCCTATAGCATCCCTAATTTTATCTATCTATCTATCTATCTATCTATCTATCTATCTATCTATCTATCTATCTATCTATCTATCTATCTATCTATCTATCTATCTATCTATCTATCTATCCATCTATCTATCTATCTATCTATCTATCTATCTATCTATCTATCTATCTATCTATCTATCTATCTATCTATCTATCTATCTATCTATCTATCTATCTATCTATCTATCTATCTATCTATCTATCTATCTATCTATCTATCTATCTATCTATCTATCTATCTATCATCTGTCTGTCTGTCTGTCTATGTATCATCTATCTATCTATCTATCTATCTATCTATCTATCTATCTATCTATCTATCTATCTATCTATCTATCTATCTATCTATCTATCTATCTATCTATCTATCTATCTATCTATCTATCTATCTATCTATCATCTGTCTGTCTGTCTGTCTGTCTGTCTGTCTGCCTGTCTGTCTGTCTGTCTGTCTGTCTATGTATCATCTATCTATCTATCTATCTATCTATCTATCTATCTATCTATCTATCTATCTATCTATCTATCTATCTATCTATCTATCTATCTATCTATCTATCTATCTATCTATCTATCTATCTATCTATCTATCTATCTATCTATCTATCTTTATCTCCCCCACCTTTTTCAAGAGGTATTGGGCTAAATAAAGAGTATCAGAACAGATACACGCACAATTTTGAACATTTTGTCTTTCACTTTAAGGACACTGAGTGCTAAAAAACAGTATAACTTGTCAACGCGCTCGTGTCTGCGGAAATGCGTATACCCACTTGTTTGAAGCGTTTTGATGCCAGCAGGGGGCAGTAAAACACGGAAATGATTGGATGAAGGTGTGTTGTCAAGTTTTCATATAAAACAAGAAAGACCGGAACTTACGTTGGCATGCATTTCGAAAAAAAAGTAATTGGTGTTTCTTGCATAAGTTACAACTCAAAATTTTGTGTGTAAATATTAGGTAGTAAATATTGTTTAAATCTGTAACCCTAAAGGGCAGGGGTTAATAAAGAGGCTTCGACTATGTGTACGCTGCATAATTAGTTCGGCTTTTATTTTGAAATTATATCCGGAAGCTTAATTGCAATGACACTTTCACAGAAATTTGTGTAGTGTTTGGAAGGTCTGAAGTCTTGCAGTGCCTCAGACTTGAGAGGGCTGTCAAGTTATGATGGTGAGAGGCCCTCATCTTTCTTCTTGTCGTCCTTCCCGGTTTTTTGGACGGAGGAAGCCGCTACTGAACGGAGGCCGTCGCTATCTGACAACAGGTCAAGTCTAACCGCCAACTCACGCGAGCGCAGCTTGGATAGCCAAGGACCTTTTAACATTTTTTGCAACTTTGGCTCTTTTTTGGGGGGCGATTTAGGAAAACCACCGTGAGTTTCTCTCCGGCGCAATGGTGTGGCCAAATTTTGTAAACACGGGCAGACTGTTGATTCCATGTAACACACTCCCGGGCTGATAATGTGTCTCTGCGTGTCATCTTTACACGTCGTACCCGCTCCTCTTCCTCCGCCGCGGGGACAAACAAACAAGCGGCGACGGAAAGGAAATCAAACCAGTCGCTGAGTTTCGATGCGCTTCTCTCTCAGCTGTGGTGGGGATGTCGTTTCCAGACATCATCTTGTCGGAGGCTGCTTCACGCTGAAGGGATTGCGTCCGTGTAGAAAGTGGTGACCAGAAAACCTCCACAGAAGGGCTGCGGACGAACTTCGAATTACCGGAGTAGCGAAGAGCAAGAGGCGGTGCATCAGGTTCAGGTATGTTATGTACATCAACTGCCATCACTTTGCCATGTACCGTGCTGCCATGTTGCTAGGTAACTAAAGGACGATGGGTTTACTCCAGTTCATTTCTCAGAGATGCAATGCCACGTTAAACGAATCAGATGCAGAAAGGGTTTCAGAAAACACCCGCTGCCATTACTCATCGGTGTTTAGACTAACTTTGCATTCCTCCTGTGAGTGTGAACGCTCTGCAATGATGGCTTTGTTCTACTGCTGCACAGGCATGACTGAAGACATGTTCCGGTTTGGTGTCCTGACTGTAGGCTCTGCTTATCTTGTCACACACATGATCGTGGTGGGATTGTGAAACAACAGACCACCTCAGTGGCGTGTCCAGATCTTTTAAAATGGGGTGGTCCAGGTGAGGCACAACTTTGTGCATGGGTGGCACCAATGGTTATGCTTTTTTGTTTTACCTCCAAGCCTTTTGTGGACAATGAAAAGCCTATTTAAAGGTAAATTAGTGTGGTGGCACCTGGGGTGGCCAATCAGATTCCAAGGGTGGCGTGTGCTACCCCAGGCCACTCCCTGGACACGCCCCTGGACCACCTTTGGGATCTCTCTCTCTCTCTCGCTCTCCCCTCTCTCTCTCTCTCTCTCTCTCTCTCTCTCTCTCTCTCTCTCTCTCTCTCTCTCTCTCTCACACACACTTTCATTTTGCAACAAAGCCTAAAAAGTCTGTATGTGCTTATTTCCTATCATTTATCACATCTTAACCATTTTCTCTTAGTGGTTGTTCTTAATCTGTTCTCCACTGACTCCTTTGACTTTGGGGCCTAATTCAGTAAACATGCTCATTTTTCTGTCCACACAGAAAACAGTGACACATACAAGTGTGAGACTTTATGTAAGACCCTGCTTCAAATGGCAACACTCTCCAAGAGAGACTCAAGGTTTATTTGGGGACAAATAAGCTTCAGTTTGCTTTAGACTTCCCGCCAAACTTACATGCTGAAGACTTGTTCTTCCACACCTTAGGAATGGTTCCGTGTAAATGTGACTTAATGATTTTTGTCTGCATGAAGCATGTCCCTTCACTCGAGTCAGCAGGGCCTGGGTGAGTCATTGAAGCAGTGCTGACTCGCTGGCTGTGGCGTCTGTTCTCCAGCCGATTGCTGTGCTGTCAATCCACTGTGGCCCTCTGCTTTATGTCCAACACCGTTGCATGTTTTTGATATAGGATCGCAATCTAAGATAGTGGTTTTGGGAGTCAGCGCTGAACCTCATTGGAACATGATGTGACGTGAATGTGTTGGAGACAGAAATGCAGGGCGTGCAGGGGAAAAATTGTTTCTCAATCAGGTTATGAGATTTTGTTGACATGTAAAAACTTGAGTTCCAGCTGGAAGCTATAATGTTTAGGATTTGTGTGACAGTAAGCATCAGCATTACTGTTTTTTTTTTTAAATATTGGCTTTGTGCACTTTGCAAACACTTCTGTTCGCTGAGCCTTTAATAATGACATCTGGTTAAAGTGCAATTAGCTCTTAAAATTTCCTGTCATTTTGAATTCCTAATGTAATCTAATCTTACTGTCAGGAACAAATATTTCATCATTCTTTTTTCATGAGTGACCAACAACAGACACGGCTCGCTGCTGTTCTGTCCTCTCTTGAGGCATTGATTAAAAGCTACACTGATATAATTAGAGTTTAGATTCAGTGGTATTGCTGTGACCTTTAGGATATTGTTGATGTTTCTCTCCTGTGGGCATGACAGCTCCTGTTTCATGTGCCAGTGTGTCAAACCAGTTTGTGGAGGTGGATCTTCTCCCTTTTCCCTCCGAGGTGTTGTCTCACAACGTGTGTCCTACATGGAAAGGGCTTTTTCGACTATGCAAATTTCAACATCCAAAAGCCGTTGGAAAACAATTCTGCATCTATAGTTCATCAATTACAGTTGGATTCTGTTTGGACTCGTTTTGATGCAATCCCACTTTGCATGGACAGAAGCTTTTTGTTTTTTTGCTGCCATCATAATGTAAGTCCTCTGTTCTGTTTAATTTTACACTGTTCTTGATTATGATCTTTGCTTCTTCAGCTTCATGACTTCATCACTACACTAGGAATGACTAGTAGTTTTTCATTCCCTCACTGACACAAAGTAAAGTGCTGACTGGACTAAAGTCCTCATTACAGAACTTGCAAAAGTTTCTTTTCATGTCTGTTTTAAACACTCGTGAACATGTTTCAAAGATGGCTAATCTCATTTTAATTTTCCGTTATTGTTGAAACAATGAGTCACATTTTCTGACATTGGCTCTTTTAATGTTGCTAAAGGTGTACTTCACTGAAAACACATTTTTAATGATTATTTCTGATTATAATCAGGCACTCTTTTAAGTTTTTCCTCTGCAGTTTTTCATGCAGGCTGAACATGAAAATAGTCTCTTACGCTTATCTCCTGCATTAGCTTCTGATAGAAAATAGACGTTGAAATGCTAGGATTTGAAAAGCCTGACAGATCTACGTCACTCTCACTTAAAGAGACAATCTGTAGTTTTTACCATTAATCTCTGGAAATATTTATCAAAACGTTGTTGAAAATGAAAAAAATGATGTCCAGTTGTTAGAAAATATTGGTGGCTACATACCTTATAACCCCCCCCCCCCCCAAAAATCAGGTTTAAAGTACCTATCTTTGGGGGACGCCATATTAGGTGCCATGTTTCCTTCTGGCCAGTTTGGTCCAGCACCTGTCAATGATGTCACACACTAGGTGATTGTCTGGACAGATAGATTCCATCAACAGATTGTTTTCGGTTGATGGAATAAACTGAAGGGTCATGAAAGTCTGAGGTTGCATGATTCTGCTCCACAGGTAACAACATTTAGCATAAAGTTTTTTAAAACTAGCAACAGCCATGGTGATATGGTGTAAAACTACCCTGAAATGTATGTATATACTGCCCCCTATCGCCAGGAAATTACAAACTGTAACGTTCGCATTCATGGACTCACCCATACCGGCTCGCGACGGGGAAGGCTGTTGTTGTTTTAGTATCCAGAATCTGTAGAGGACGTCTTGGCTAGCAGAAGCTAACCATTAGCATTAACAACTCAACCATATGGCAGAGGCTCCTCCAGGCTTGAGTTATTTGTGGAGCTAAAACATCCATATCGCAGCGCAAACAGAGTCAGGGGTCGAGTCACATTGCTGTTATCCAATCTGTGGCAAAATGTCCAAATATCAGGTAAAATAACATAAAATCCTGTCATGTTAAGCTCTTCTCTGATGTGGCAGATGCAGGCGTTTCTGGGCTTTTTTTTTACCCAAGTATGGCTTCCAAGACGTTCAGTCCTACCAGAGACTTCTGCAAATTTATTGACTAAACAAGTTTCCCCACAACTTTAAAGCAACACAACAAAGCAATATTTTCTACCTTATCTGCATCCTTAGGGTTAGAGTCTTTTATAACAGTGATTGCAAACAATCCAAAACTTAATAAGTTTTTGAACAATAAATTTAACAAACTCTTAAATGTTAAAGCATGGTTTCTCAACCTTTTTCAGCTAAACGCCCCCCCAAGTCATGCTGAAATCCCTTACTGCCCACCAATGTCCCATGCAGAGAAATGGAAAGTTTTTTGAAATAAAAATCATAATAAAAAAATAAATAAATAAACAATTCAGCCTTGAGTTTGAAACTGTTTCATACAAATATGTCATAAAAAGTATCATAAAAAGTGTTTTTAGCTATTAGCAACAAGATATTGTAGGAAGCTAATAATCCTCGGTCCAGTAAATTCGAGCTTCGAGCAAACATACTGCTAATGCTACCTTTCTTAGAGTGTCTCTCTTTAATTACCTGAAAATAGTTCAGTTCCTTTAAAGCTTTCTCTGGATGCATTTTGGACTCCTTAAGCCGGGAGGGTTTCATTGCTTCGTTTCAAAAAACTTTTCACAAAGCGGGCACATGGGGAGTTGTGGATTCGTGGGTGAAGGAATACGTCCATACCGAAGGTAGTGCACATTGTACTGTCGACACTTCTTTTTATTCTGAGCCATTGTCTGTTATGAATGTCCTGGACTGCTAGCGCCCACCATTAGCATCTCAGCGCCCCCTTCAGTGGCAAAAAACTTTCACCGCCCCCTTATATAGTCTGAACGCCCACTGGGGGGGCGCTACAGCCCCCGTTGAGAAACCCTGTGTTAAAGGAACAATGTGTAGTTTTTATTTGTTAATCTCTGGAAATATCCATCAAAATTTTGTTAAAAATGAATTAAATGATGCTCAGTTGTTGAAAAATATTGGTGGCTTCGTAACATATAACCATAAAAATCTGGTCTAAAATACATGGTAGGGGGGTCTAAGTCTCTGGGCGACGCCATATTAGATGCAGTGTTTCCTTCTACGGGAGCCCTTGAGGACAAAATGCTTTTGCTGGTTTGTAACAAACAGTTTCAAAACTTTCACCATTTATAAACGTTGTTGTTTTACACATTTATCTCTTTACTCATTGCCACTGACGAAAGGGGGTCTGATGTGCTTGTTATTTTTCTGAAGTTTGCACTCCCCAGGGCTTTTTGACCCTAATGAGGATCCATAGGTAAGGTCTTACTCCAGCACAAAAATACTGCTTGCTTGCTACAATTTAGGTATGCACTGCCCCCTATCACCAGGAAAAATACACGCTCACACACACACACACACACACACACACACACACACACACACACACACACACACACACACACACACACACACACACACACACACACACACATATATATATATATAAGTCCCACTAGTCATCATCACACACTGGTGAAATGACATTGCCCCATTTGACCCATCCTCACGGGGAGCAGTGAGCTGCAGCAATAGCTGCGCTCGGGAACTTTTTTGTGGTTTAACCCCCAATCTAACCCCTGATAGCTGAGTGTCAAGCAGGGAGGCATTGGGTCCAATTTTTAAAGTCTTGGGTATGATCCGACGGAGATTTGAATCTCTATAAAGTTGTTTTCAGGAAT